TTACCGTGAAACAAACTAGTGCAGCTTTACGGGTTGTGCTAATATTTCTGAATAATATGTATATATATTATATATTCACTCTAGAAATAAACATACATGTTGAACAACCTCACCTGACTTATGGACTAATTTACTTTTATTAAAATAATTGAGAACGAAACAGCCAAGCGAGTAAGCATCCACGCCCAACCTATACGAATTGTAGTAGATCTTCATGCACAAGATTCCCTGAATATAGAACACAAGCGTCCCGTTCTCTCTATTTACTATAAGAGCACATTTTGAATAAGCTTAATTATAAATCTCTTGACGTTTAGGTATAGTTAAAACAATGAAATTGAATTACAACTAGTCTATCAAGCTTGGGGTTTGATTAACGTCTATAACGAATGAACTTGTGTAAGTAATAATAAAATATTATATTCTACAAAACATTAAATACATAATATTTCACAATTAAAATTGATTGTACATGTAGCATTGTAATTTACTCTAATCACAATTATATAGTGTCTGTGATGATATGTTTTGTTGTTGTTTGTTTTTGGGGGTTTTTTTGGTCGATGTTTTGTCTCATTGGCCCACACACCCAAGACTTACATACTAATATACACAACAATGATATTATCTATATGACCTAAAAATGGAACAAGTACGTCGGGTACGGTATATATATAAACCATCGTGTTATGGTAATCATGGCTACTGTAATATAAATATCACCGGGGATGTTTTATGGAAATTATGAATACAGAATATATCAAATAGTTATGAATGACTATTCAGGTGAATAGATTAGTATGTGGTAGCAAATTTAACAATACCCTTGACATCAAGAACTCGTTCACTGGTATAATAATAAAATCCTTGTTTGACCCTCCACAATGTAAATGTATGTATGCACCAACACGATGCTCGTCGACTATTTACCCTGTTGGTTTGCGTAGCAGGACAACAAGTCAACTGTTAAGTTCGCCTTTAGTCATAACAAATATCCGCCATGGTTAGGACACAAACACGCCACTCTTCAAACCTTTGACCACTTTTGTCAACTTTTTTTAAAATCCATTACAGCTACAGAATGCTCACAGGTCTATTCATGCACAGTTGTACTTATAGTAGTAAACTGGCTGATGGTTTCCACATTCTATGTACGTGTTTTGTTTCTTACCCTCCTGGCCGTGGTTTATGAAGGGCTACTCGTTGTACGTACGCACGGAGGCATATTGTGACATTGATTGCTACTATGAACAATAAACATATATAACAAGGATGAGAAACGTCCGGTGATATAGGCGGGGCGTAAATGTGGGGGGTGGGGTGGTGGTACACCCCCCCCCCCCCCCCAGGAAAAAAAATAGTCGGGCGCAAAATCAGTGCAGTCGGTCGCAAAATAAGAGCAGTCGCAAAATCAGTGCAGTCGGTCGCAAAATAAGAGCAGTCGGTATCAAAATAATTAATAAGTGCTCACCGCACACGTCACGCTACTCACGCAAAACTTTAGTATAAAATAACCTTGTCAACTTAATGTGTTTCACTCTTATTCTGTTGTGAGTATGTAGGTCTAAGAACAAAATTTCCCCCAGGGAGAAAAATAGTCGGTCTCAAAATAAGTGCAGTCACTGCAGTCGGTTTCAAAATTATGCATCGCCGTCTTAATGAATTAATGAGGTAAACAAATAATGCCAGAATAGATCCCAAATACTAGTCGGTCGCAAAATCAGTGCAGTCGGTCGTAAGATATGAGCAGTCGGTATCAAAATATGCTCACTGCACACGTCACTCTACTCACGCAAAACTTTAGTATAAAATAACCTTGTCGACTTATCATGTTTGAAAAAAATGTTTTTCACCCCATGGCAAAAAAATAGTCGGTCTCAAAAAAAAGTGCTCACCGCAGTCGGTTTCCGACTAAATGAATTAATGGGGTGTTTTATGACCATCAGAATTCTGCAAAATCTCTCCCAAAGTCCAGGGCATTTCAGAGACCAAGTAAGCGCCCCATTCAGGTAAAGTGCCCTCAGGCCCAGTCCTCAAAAATTAAAAGCTCAGTTACATATCGGCGCTCAATTCCATTATGCCATCATTCTTCAACTCCTTCTCTGTCTTATACTATCTCATCACTATCATGTTCACAGTTACAGTGAATCTCCCAGTTAGTAGTACCACTAGTGAGTGAGTCGTGGGTCAAAAGACTGTAGAATTGTTAGTTCTACTCTCACAAAACAGGCGACATTGACAGATAGGCCTCAAGACTCTGTCCCGTTTCTTATCCTCTCGTTAACGAGAATTTGGATCCATATTTGCCATGACATTGACTAAAATTGTCAGGCCCAGTCCCAAAAATTAAAAGCTCGGTTACACATCTCAAATTTTTTCGTCCACAATAATTTCTCCCAGCAATGACCTCAAATGCCAAGATATTGACTCAATTTTTCAAAATTTTCTCAGGTTGCTCAGTGTTATAGGCACAATCATATATGACATAAACTTTATGTCAACTTAAATAAAACTGCTTTCCAGCGAGACAACGATCGACAACTATATAATTATACAATGCCATCTATGTTCTACTGGGACGCTTAATGTTATAGCCAGTATTTTGTTGACATTCATTGTGGGGTGGGATTGTGGCTGGGGTGGCGCCCTAGATTTGGACGCCCCCCACCCCATCTAGATCCGCTACTGCACATGGCCCCTACAAAACTCGCACCTGTGGTGCTCGGTTCCTGACTGCGTCACTCGTACTAGGGGTATGGGCATCAGTCGGTCGCATTTTGGCTAAACACCCCCCCAAACAAAATCGTTATGTACGCCCCTGAGTGTGTTAAACATACGTGACTTTCATTTCCATCACGGAAATAGGTACATACGTAAAGCACACAGATCTACTTGTCACTGTTAATAGTGAGTTATATAATTCCCATATATAGGCTATATACTACTAACATAACTAGGCAGTTCAGTATAACCGTGAATATGATAGTGCTGAAAGTGGAAAAATGATGTTATAATGGAATCGAGCGCCGCAGGCGCGAAAAAATTTGAGATGTGTAACCGAGCTTTTAATTTTTGGGACTGGGCCTGACAATTTTAGTCAATGTCATGGCAAATATGGATCCAAATTCTCGTTAACGAGAGGATAAGAAACGGGACAGAATCTTGAGGCCTATCTGTCAATGCCGCCTGTTTTGTGAGAGTAGAACTAACAATTCTACAGTCTTTTGACCCACGACTCACTCACTAGTGGTACTACTAACTGGGAGATTCACTGTAACTGTGAACATGATAGTGATGAGATAGTATAAGACAGAGAAGGAGCTGAAGAATGATGGCATAATGGAATTGAGCGCCGATATGTAACTGAGCTTTTAATTTTTGAGGACTGGGCCTGAGGGCACTTTACCTCAATGGGGCGCTTACTTGGTCTCTGAAATGCCCTGGACTTTGGGGAGAGATTTTGCAGAATTCTGATGGTCATAAAACACCCCATTAATTCATTTAGTCGGAGACCGACTGCGGTGAGCACTTTTTTTTTGAGACCGACTATTTTTTTGCCATGGGGTGAAAAACATTTTTTTCAAACATGATAAGTCGACAAGGTTATTTTATACTAAAGTTTTGCGTGAGTAGAGTGACGTGTGCAGTGAGCACTTATTTTGATACCGACTGCTCATATCTTACGACCGACTGCACTGATTTTGCGACCGACTAGTATTTGGGATCTATTCTGGCATTATTTGTTTACCTCATTAATTCATTAAGACGGCGATGCATAATTTTGAGACCGACTGCAGTGACTGCACTTATTTTGAGACCGACTATTTTTCTCCCTGGGGGAAATTTTGTTCTTAGACCTACATACTCACAACAGAATAAGAGTGAAACACATTAAGTTGACAAGGCTATTTTATACTAAAGTTTTGCGTGAGTAGCGTGACGTGTGCGGTGAGCACTTATTAATTATTTTGATAATGTGTTATTCTAAGTGTGGTAATAAATTCACAATGCACAAGATTAAAATGTGGCTTGTGTTATTTAAAAGAAAGTAAAGTAACGGGGAACACAGAAGCAAACAAGCAAATGGTAGGCGGAGAACGGTTAGGTACCATACTCCCTATCATTCACATCAATTTTGACAATAATCGTCCAAGAACGTTAGCCTCCATCGCATTTACAGGTACTCAATGGCTCATGCAAAATTTGATTTTTGTTTGTTCTCCAAAAAATGTTGCCCATATAGCATTAATAATAAACTGAGGACAGAGAGAGATGGACGGACAACGACCAAATTAATAGGAGTAACATCTGAGACCTGTTCAACTTAAGTTCCATCTAAACCGGAAGAAAACCATGGCCTCATAGGGTCCGCAAGTTTTGTGGAGTACATACTACACATTTTGTGTAAAAGGCAGTTCCGTACCAAACTTTAGGTGGTGCTGGAAATACGTCAACAATACAAAACTTTTGAAACAGAAATCGAAAGTGTTCGATGATAATAATGATAGCTTGTAACTGCTTCGTCGGGTTACAAACCAGTTAGACCTGGTTATAACCAATTACGGACGTACGGTGTATTAGGAACGGGGTACAACTGATGCGCTTGGACCACTTGGAAATGGCAACTTAATACGACCGGACCGTGAACGGGGTACATACGAGATAGACGCATTGAAGACAGTTTATGAACGCACTAGGGTCGTATTATAGACATTACTTACAGATTGTACCCCAACCACAATCCGTTTTACAATTTTCTAGGTTCTTTTCCAGAAGGTAGTGAGAACTGGTTTGGTGTGAAAGAGGCCTTAATTTTTTCTCTTTAGAAATCATTTTACGATTATTCACAGAAGTCGTAATCGACACTTTTACACCACTGCACTGCTTAAGCATATTTCTTTTTCAGATCTGGGCTAAATTCCTTTATTTATAACGGTATTTTATCCTACAGTCTACACAAAAGCAGATTTGTAAATCATCGCTTCTGATTTTCGGTAAGAGCCGAATCTACCCATCATGGTTTACTCCAGAAAAAGAAGCAAACAATTCAATGTTAAAAATTACTTAGCTTTTATTTGTGCAAAAATAAAAAAAAAATAAACCGGCATTATATTACGGATACATTTCGTATGAACTGACAATAATACATCGTCAAATATTAATGCTATATATATAAGTACAAAAATGGCTCGGATTTTATACAAATTGACATACAGAATTCCTTAATACTGTGTTTTTATTAATTTACAAAATATCACTATTATTGCCAAAGCAATAAAATTAGACAATTTTGCGGCTATTGATAGCTTGTTTGTAATGCGACAAAAATCTCCTCCAATTCTGATAAATATCATTTAGAAATACATTATTACACACCCATTTTTATTCGTTCGTGAACTAATACTATATATAATATATAATCTTGGTTTTTGTCAAGCTACATTGGATATGATTACCATGTAAACGTAACGTAAACATTAAGTTTGGGGTATCTGCGACCTCAAATATATAAAAACGGTTGTAAGCAAACTTCCCATGGAATCTCTTCAAACTCTGTTTTTACCAGTTTCTTGTTTGAGTTGATTTAAAATGTATTGTCTATCTCTACTTTCCTACAAAATAAAATACAACATGAAAATATATTTGTTTCAAAATTGTTGCCAAAATTGTTAGCTTTGAGATCTCCTCAAAACAGATTTGGTATCAACTGTTCTAGAATGCTGTAAGCATGCCCTACAGGTGCATAGAATAACAGCCATTTAGCACAGAAGGGATTCCTGCCGAAACCCACTTGTTAATTAATTTCCAGGTATGTCAATTTCTGTACACTCTTGGGTTCTTAGAGATGCATTAAGTAAGATCCAGATAAAGAGCGGGCCATTCTTGCTACAATAGTTTGAAAAATGAATATATTGTAAATTTCAGTCAAATTACTTTACTCTGAGCGCAGTTATGCGTCTTTGAAGTTTTGACAATATAGTCTCGATTGTGAAGTACCATTGCTACGATAATGAACAAAGTCTCGATTGTCAACTTTTAAATTAATAATGGGTTTGTCAAATGAACAGATATCTAGTTAATAATTTATGTGACATTTGAAGCCAAGACCTACAATAGGCAAATCTAGCTCTTACATAATGCATCTTTTACTATTTTTCATATATGCATTCAAGTTATATATACTTACAGTCTCAAATTTTTGTCTCAATATCTTATTTCTCTTTTGGTGGGCTACTCTCATATTGGAGCAAAAATATAACAATAACCTGAAACATAACAATACACGTTTATTCATTTCTCTACTGTCAGACCAATTTAATTTAATTGCACTTCAATCATACTAAATATGCACATTTAATGGGAATTTCTGTTTCAGCTAGTTACATAAAAACCCCAGATAATATTCTTTTTTTTATCTCTCGATAATGTTGTTAAATAAATGTAAGCAAAAGATATTTTGGTTGCCAGTTAATTTCAGAACTGGGGTTTTCAAACACTTGTTGGAGGTCCTGGACACGACGTTTTTGCGCTGTTTTTTTTTCTTTTTTTTAAAAATTATTATTATTATTATTATTATTATTATTCATCTTCTAGAGCGCTTCATTATATCCGGTGATATTTCTAAGCGCTTAACAAATGTCACATCACAGTTTGTAATAATACTTAAACATGATCTCTAGAAGATGACTTTGTACAACTTGAAGACGGTTAAGGAAGAAATCTGCGTACATTATACTACAGTAAATACAAGATCCCCAAAAATATAGTTGACAGCGAGTTCGAATCGGCTAACATCGTAATCTGTGCCATCGTCATCATAAGATTCACCGTCTCCCCAATAGCAAACAACAAATGCATCTTTCATCTCGCCTGTTCTCTTCTATCGTATTTTCTCCAATTTTCCATTATAGTGAACACGTAGATTGCTGCTATCATCATGCCAATAATGCCCAATGTCTCTTCCGACAGCAGCGCCCGAAAGAATGTCACTTAGTGCAGATGTCTGATCATCTGTCAGGTGGTATTCATCAGCTAGCAGAGTTAGCAGATCTGAGGAACAAGTTTCGCGGATTTTCTTTTCAAGTTTACGTCTGTTTGTCATGTGGTGCTTCTGGGATTTGCTGGCACGACGGAGTGACACTTCTTCAACAATTTTTTTACTAGCTTTCCTACTTTTAACATTATCTTTCCTGGCATGACAAATAGCAAAGTTTATCATGTACTCTTGCTCACAAGTAGGTAACGTATCAAGGTAGGTGTTATATGTAACATAATAGCACCTTTAACACCTTATATTATCTGGAATTTGACTTTTCAGTTAACGTATGAATTGTAATTTAAAGACCAAATTCAGACCTGCAAAATATCAACCATTCGTTAATATATTTCATCGCCACATCAAATTCAGGTTAATATCGTTAACTGTCATAAATAGAAAGTCTGAATTCTTACAATAGTATAATTATAAAAGACGCCGTCACTGCAGGAGATGTAAGAATATTATAGGCCTGTTGAGCACCATTAGGTAATGTGGCAATACTATCTGGTATAACTGTATACGGGAAAAAAGTACCACGGAAAGGACCACATCCATGGGACGGTTGAACGCTGAAATACCAAAAAACATATTTTAAATATCAAAACCTATCTTATGAAAAATATATAGTGCCGTCGAGTTTCTAGGATTAGGCAATGAAAGACAGTAGTTATTGATCGAATGATTTCAGTCGATAACAAATACCAATCTTGTTCGCAAATTGTTTTTATAAGGGGGAATGGGAAAGATATTACAGGTCAATACAGGAGCAAGACCTGTGTCATACTCCTCGCAGTGTTTCGTTTGATTAGACCTAATCCCACCCATCGCTGCCGTAATGCAAGCAAATTTCTGTTCCAAATTATGACTGGTCAATAGTCCAATTAACAACCAATACCTAACTGCGTAACAATATCACTCGGGTTTAAACAGAGCTCCAAAAGTGTTTACATAACGTTACGTTATGACTCACGAAGTTTATTACCCACAATTAACCAGTGCATAGCAGAATATTGCAGAAAAACTAATTGCGTGACGGTACACTGTAAACAATACTGCTGGGCGATGAACAATACTTTCACCGTTTTTAATACCTACAATCACTGTCCAAAGTTTTAGGGAAGACCCCGGCCGAAAATGGGTTGTCATGTTGCTAGTAGGTTTTTTTTATCGATTAGTGATGGGTCAAGCTAAAATTAAATTTTTGTTTCGAAAGATTGAACTGAAGTCGGCTTATAGACATTACGTTTTCAAAGAAAACAAAGAAGACAGACTGTCATACCGTTTCAACAAATGAGCATAGAACCAATGAAATCGACAAATTTATTTTTAACCAAATTCAAAGAGTTCCTGTCATTGTATGATCATTCTGCATCTTAACTTAGCAGTTTTGATCTTGGTTTTATATAGCCTAAGTGGGTAAGACGCTGGCTCGCTAGTCTGGAGGTCGAGTGTTCGATCCCGCATTGGCCGAGAAAGTTCATCCAGATTTTCCGGCGTGGTTTCCCCTTGTCAGTGATGCAGGACGGACAAGGACAGCTGTCTAGTCCTTCGGATGAGACGAAAAACCGAGGTCCCGTGTATATATTGGAATGTACGTAAAAGATCCCCTGGCAGTTGGAAATCGATATAAGAGTAGGCGATAGTGCCGCTGCCCAGGCAAAATTTCCCTCATAGCACACTGTATGGCGTATGCCCGTCTTCATTAGCCCAGTATAGGAGCAGAACAGTAGGACGTTAAACCCCATTTCATTTCATTTCGGTTTTATATAGCAGTATATGGGGATTGGATGGCCGAATGGTTAGTACGTGCGCGCTGTATCATGAGGTCTGTCATTGAGTCAACTGACATGGTTTCGATTCCCCGGTTGTGCGTGACAAGGAGTAGGGTCGCCTGTCGAACCTCGTGGGTTTTTTCCGGGTCCTCCGGTTTCCTCCCACTTCCAAAGACCCCTACGCGCAAGCAAATTATTGAAATAAAACTAAACAATGTGATAGTCCCGAAATGGCCTAGTTTGTGTCGAGTGGACGTTAAACCCCATTTCCCGGCTAAACTGAACACGAAGTGTTTTTCTATTATGGAATATGGAATCTGAGATCTATACGTACTTGGCTATAGAGTAAATTACAGGAAAACAGCACATAAAGAAAGCCAGTATTAATACTATCATAAAGAAACTGTTGGTTCTAGCTGCTCGATAAGGACGGTTTGGTGGTGCACAAGCATACAATGCTGATAACTGTAATAACAAAAGCATGGCCAGTTATATACAACAGGCGTGAAAAATAAAAAATTCATATAGGTATGCCTACATGTAGCCCCTTCCATTTTTGATTTGATTATTCATTCTCGAGTCTTGTCTTTGAAAAGGTATATTGGAAGAAACAGTGTGGACATAAAAGATAGTTTACAACTGCCTGGCAACAAAACATATATAAATTTCAGAGAGAGAGAGAGAGAGGGAGAGGGGGTTAACGTCCACTCGACACAAACTAGGTCATTTCAATAATTCGCTTGCGCGTACGGGTCTTTAGCAGTGGGAGGAAACCAGAGGACCCGGAGAAAACCCAAGAGGTTGGACAGCCGACCCTACTCCTTGTCACGTACGACCGGGAATTCGAAACCATGCCAGTTGACTCAATGTCAGACCTTATGATACAGCGCGCACGCGGTAACCATTCGGCCATCCACCACCACCCCCACCCCTAGGCTAACTGTAGAAGTCTCTTGTGTAAGGCAGTAGACGTCATAACAAAGGGGCATAAGCTTTGTGTAAAAAAAATGGATTAAGAACCATGGGCATACATCTAAGTATATATGAATGCCATCCCTCACAATCAATCGAATTCTTCCTTTGATTGGGTTATACAAAACAACTCAAAAAATTTCAGAATTGCCGTATCATAATGAAAGCTTCTAATAAAGTGCTTTCACAGTAACATAACAAAGGGGCATAACTCGGAATGCTGAACAACTTAGGAAAGCCTGGAATTTACGAAAGATACTAATGAAGTCTTTATTGCGATAACAAGAAATGTGAGCGAACCACCGACGGGCCGACACGACATATAAAAATATAGGTGTATAAAAAGTTTTTTGGCAACGACGATCTATTAGAGAAAATTATACCTTTTATGTCACTTAGCTTTTGTGTTTGTGAAATTGAGTGGAGTCAAATACAAAATACGGACCATAAAATGCCAGAAAACAAAAACATCTGATTTTAAAGGGATTGTTGCTTTAGAATATAACTCACCATTTTTGTGTAAAAGATGACGGTAAGTTTAATAACGTAAATAGCTGGAAACAAGGGAGCAAAGTAAAACCCAAGCCTGCAAAAAAAACAAAATAATTTTAATAAAAAGGCTAAAATTTCTCCCCCAAAGTGTCCAGGGTGCAACTTCCGTTGATACGATACTTTTTTATACTTAGATATATCTGTCGGTTGCTACTGCACAACCGGTGGACAAGAAAATTGTTAGCTTAGCTAATGGATAGAGTGGGATAGGAGAGTGTGGTGAATGGTCCACATGGCCTGCAACATATCATCGGCTTGATTATATTTTTGAAGGGGTGCCAGGATTTTTCTGATTCTGTACGTTGTTTTGTGCCCCCGCCTCCCTCCGTTAGGCCTACTTCTTGCAGATGAAAGGGACTGTTTCTGTCAATGATTTTCAAGATTTTGAGGGTTTAGCGCGTCTTTTAATGAGGTTTGCATAAACGCATAACTCGTGTTTCGTCAATCACAACGGGTGTGTAGCTAGTAAGGTGAAGATTAGTTTGAGTGTTATCATTAGAATCAAACACCGGTTCAATACGTATGCATATCACATCATATTTAGAGGTGGTTCTTGATCGCCATGCCTTCCAGTGATCTACTGCGTACTAGTTTGGAGTTCTGTATACAGATGCTCGTTTATTAAACCATTTATTTTGTTACTTTCCAATCTAACAATGCACCTGCAAAGCATCTTTATCACTCAAACCAACACGTAATTCTACATAACTGGTTATTCTATGTTTCACTTACCAACAAATAGACTGACCATATACCAGATCCAAAACATTCACAGGGATTTCAAACTCAGCAGGACCAAGCCATTTTATAAATCTCCACGAACACTTGTTGGCTAATAACCTATACAAGTATACCAGATCATCATGTAAAGAAAAGGTGATGATATTAATTTACCGTGAAACTACACTTAAAACAAGTACCACCGTACTATGGACAGTAACTGAGTATGACGTCATCCCGGCCAAATTGTAAGTCCCGCAATCGATGCGCAATTGTCCAAGGAACAAGAAGCAGGCCAAGTTTCATGCCGATTATAAATGAATTTGGGAAGCCTTTGGTATTTTTCGAAGAGCTTCGCAAGTCAAGAACATCAAGAACAATGTGTAGCGCTTATGGGCCATTTCCTGGTCCAAAAAAACCCTTTCCGACTATTTACAGCTTCACGGCGATTTCTGTGAATGCTTTATGAAATGAAATGGGGGTTAACGTCCTACTTCACTATTCTGCCTGGGCGAATACTTTATATTTTAGACAGCACATTATTAATAGACTCAAAAGTAAACAATATGGACTATATTTTAATGTAAAGAATGTTGGTATTATGTTAAACTCAACCTTCATGAGGAATGGGCTGGCTTGTTCGAAAAGGATAGTAGACTTATTATTACTTTGGCTACGACACATAAAGTGGAGGCGTGAAATCAATAGAAACCAATGTCAATGTCAGCTAATGAAGAAAGTATTTATCCATGTTGAGTAAATTTGAGTCAACAGTCATAATTGAATGTAGACACTACTCACCTCCGAGGAAATTCGACAATAAATACTTTGCCAATTATAACCACGAAATCAATAATTACAAGTTTGTACAATTCTTGTCCAACATACGTTTCCCAACACTGCAAAAAATAAAAGAATAAAGAAATTGACGACGATGGTGATGATATTGATGAATGGGGTAATATGCGAGCTCACAATGATCCTGTTGTCAGTTTTGACGACGAGGAGCACGTTGGTCATGATGTGGATGAAGATGAAGAAGTGATAAATATGCGAGGTCACAATGATGCTATAAGTTTTGAATGGAAATAATTTATTTGCAGAAGATTTGATTAGTGTAGACTTGACAATAATTCAGTCAGCCAGGTCAGTAAATAAATATTTCCTGAATAGTCTAGGTTATATTTAGAGCCTAAGAATTAAAAAAGTTAACCCCGCCATTGTTAATATTTCGTTGTCTCTGTCTTTGAAAGATTAAAAAAAAACAGAACGAAATTTAGGTCTGTATTTTAATCAAATTGACAAGTCACTGGGGCTGACGCACATGGACAAATCGCTCTTGAGAAATGGAATTCGAACGGAATAATGATCAAAAACCTAAAATAGCTAACTCGGCCAATTTCCGTCAACATGGTAAGATGTATCTATAAACATAGCTGTAGTATCCCTTTAAAGGCTGCGACTGTAGTGGACAGATGATGATATTGGTGGTGTATCAAAAATAAAGCATATTATACTACTGTTTATTGTGTACAAGATTCGCCCGACAAAGGTGAAGTAGAGATGTACGATGGCGAAGTAATCGTGTAACGATTGTACAGTAAAAATGCAACGATGTTACAGTAAAAGTATATCGAAGGTGAAGTTAGGGTGTGACAATATGGTCAAGTAAGATGCAACAATGTTCAAGTTACGGTGTAACTATGGTAAAAAGGTGATGTAATGATGGTGAAGTAAAGGTGAACCAATAATAATGCCATGATTCAATGGCAAACCTTATGATCTAACGCGCACGTGTTAAACCATTCGGCCATCCAACCCCCAGGTGAAATAATATATACAACGAAACGATGGTGTGAAAATTACGAAATAACGATGTTGAGTGAAATATGTAACGATGGTAAACAGTCAGTACCGTATTATCCTAAAGGCTGATAAGGCTAAAGGGTTGGTGTCGAGGGGGCCTTAAACATCTCGAAGTCTAGGGGCTATGCCATTGCCGCGTACATGGTGCCCCTGGCTGAACATATAACTGGGACCCGTTCATCAACAGCGAATAGGGGACATATTCTAGTCATTGTCTATCGCACTCACACAAATGCGATGTGGATGTCAGTATGGTGGATAGAAATATATTTGGCACAAACATCTACAACATAATAAATAAAATCATAAAATTATAACATTATATGCTTTATTTAAAAAAAATACAATTAACGCTTATTTTGTGGGCCCCTGTAATATTGTGGACCCTGGCTGCAGCACAGTCAATCCACGCCCCCGCCAATTCCCCAGCCTCTGGCCCCTCTTCAATCAGGGTCGAGGCCCTGCCATGAGTTAATACTTAACAGGGTACAGTACATGTGTAATGGTGGTGAGATAAATGTGTGACGATAGTGAAAGAAACGTATCAAGGGAATAGCTGCAAAAGTGAAATAAAGGTATAATTTACTTACGGTAACATTAGGGCAAGTATCAATAGTAGAACGACATACATCTTTAGGTTCACATGATATAACACCTTGATATATAGATACTACTAATATAATTAATGATGATAACTTTAAAAACACGGTTCTGTAATAAAATATAACAAAATCTTTACATTGCGTTGAGCTTGTTTGAGTTTAATTATCCTAGTTAAGAAACACAACTTCGCGTTTAAAGATCTACCAGGAAAATATCATTAAAGGAAAGCTTTTTTCTACTGCTGTCTTCATATATAACGTAGCCATACTGTATATAAGGTATAGCCACCGTTATGCATACTCCTCGCAGTGTTTCGTTTGGTTAGACCTAATCACACTTAACACTGCTGTAATGGAAGCAAATTTCTGTTCCAAATTATGACTGATCAATAGTCCGATTAACAACCAATAGCTAACTGCGTATCAATATCATTAGGCTTTAAACAGAGCTCCAAATTGGACCAAATATTGTTTACATAACGTTACGTCATGACTCACGATTTTATTACGCCCAATTAACCAGTGCATAGCAGAATATTGCAGAAAAACTAATTGCGTGGCAAACGAGGCTATCAAAACGGATACAATGTAAACAATACTGTTTGGAGATGAACAATCTTTTCACTGTTTTAATACCTTACATCACAGTCCAAAGTTTTAAGGAAGACCACCGATTAAACAAAGGTTTGTCATGTTGCTGTACTTGGGGTAGATTTGATTGAACGGGAAGATTAGACACACTCCCTCAAAAGCTCAAGTATCAGACAATGGCCAGAGAGGGATTTCTCAGGCCATTGCTTCAAGAATATGCTATTATGTAGTGATTTAATCTATTGCAAGGTAATTCGGCAGTGTTAGTTTTTAATTTTATCCCTCGTTGTCATTACAAATACAACAATTTCCGATCAAATGTCCAGAGGGTCGAACGTATACTTGAAGGAATATATTATCTATAATTATGATTTTCATTTGGCAACCGCAGTATATAAGAAAACAATATTTGACTTGTTTTAATGCAGAACAACGTATAAGGTGTTATTGCTCGTAATATATATATATAGCCACCATTAGTGTATGTATATTATATATTATATGTTATATATTATTCAAACGACCTAGTCATATCGTATTTTGATAATCTTTGTACTTACATGTAGATTAACTAACTGATATCGATTTATAGTTCTTGTCAAAAAATAAATGTCCATTAAACCAATATTTGATTTATTAGCAATACGTACAGATAAAAAGAAAAGAAGTGGAATAAATTTCAATCATGGTACCTATCGTCTACTTCCTTGTCTGAGGTCAAATGTCTATACGTCTATTTCAAGTAAAATTGTCATAATAAAAACAAGGTAATAAAATAAATTTACAGCCATGCTTTTAATAGAAATATACGTAGGTCTACTTCCGTGTCTATGGTAAAGAATATTAATGCCTAACGTTAAAGGGTTTGGTCTAAATATTAAGGCCAACTGCAGATTTCGTCATGGTCACGAGGTTTAAACAGGGCTAGTACTAAACCCCCCAAGACCTAGAACCAACCTTTACCTTGACCCTAACCCATCAATCACGTGCCCTAACCCTGTTTACATCTCGTAACCTTGACGAAATATGCTGGTGGACTAAATATTTAGATCTGACCACGTTAAAGAGGTAAAAAATTCAACAATCTTTTAACAGTCTATTTAACTTGTCGGTTTTATTGTGTACTATTAGGTTTTTAAATATTAAATTCCTGTTTAGCCTGATATGGAAAACGGTTGTTTTATATTAAACCGATGAGGAAATCAATACGTAACTAACGTACGAAAATTAAATGGCAGAGCTGGTTTTTTTTGCAGGTAGGGTGGGTCTGTCGTTCAGATTGGAGGAAATCTAGGCTGTGATTGTTCGAAAAGATCGCATTGCCTGCGTTCAGTCGAGGGAGCCACTGTGGCTCTATGGGTAGACCGCTCATTAACCAGGAGACTTCGGGTTTCCCCTTGTCAGTAGCACAGGACGGTGTCTAGTCGTTCAGATGGGACGAAGAAACCTTTTCCGGTGTACACATTGGTGTGTACTTAAAATAAAACCTTGATAGATGAAATTCGAAATAAGTATAGGCGGTAATTCAGCTGTATAGGTGTATGCCCGTCTTCATTAACCCAGTCGGTGCAGAAAAGTAGGACAATTTTTCCACTAATTAATTATAAAAGTATACATATGACCAACCTTATGAGAGAAAGTTTGATAACAAATTCTTGTGTATAGTGTTCTAATTGAATAACCAGTTCAAATACCAGAGGTAAAACAGCATTTAATACTGTGATTACTATTGATGGTAAAAACTCTACTATAAACACCAGGATCTGATCAGTACCATTTGCTACAGTATTCTAAAAGACAGGAAATAGGCGTATTAATATTTAATTATGGATAAATGCTTAGGACTGATATCACAACATTCGTTTTTATTGGATAAATACCTAGGACGGATATTACAACAATCGTTTTTATTGGATGTAATACTAGCAAATAATCAACAATAAAATTTATCGACTACAATGACGTTACAAACTCTGTTATCGAAACCCAATATGTCTTTTTCAATACAATCACTATATATTGACTATATATATTGAATGCAGTAGTGAATGCTGAACAATCGGAAATTTCCGCGATAACACTCATTTAGATGAGTAGAACAAACTATCCCCACCCCTCCTGAGAAACACGTAATCGTACTCAAGGTTCACAGATAGCTGGACACTGTGCTACTCTCCGTCCCTTTTCGGCTTTATATCTTAAAGTAGGGTCGTGGTAGTCGTCCTGCCTCGGAGCTGGACTCTCGATTAAGACACTCCGGGTATTGAATCCCGACATGGCCATCACATGCCAGTTGCGACTCCTGAGAAAGTGATAATGAAAGAAATGTGCCTAGTAGTCTGGCTGGGATGTAAAGCTGGGGTCCACCCATGGACAAATTGGCGTAGTAGTTCGGAAACGAAACGTAGCTGTACGGGCAAACTTCTCCTACCTCGCATTGGAATAGAAATAAAAAAAAATACCCAAAGTTGTCTCAAAATAACTGAAGTATTGATTGGACGAGACATAAATCTTCATTATATTCAATTGTATCTTAAAGTCATGACAGAACCATTATACAAACCTTGGCTGTCCATTCACTAGAGAAGACGGATGTATAATAAATTGAACAAGCTGCTCCAGCTAAACAGATTAAAACAAATATATTGACCAGTATCCGGATCATATATAATCCACATCTTGAACCACAACTCTTCATTTTATCATTCCTCTGTTTCAGAAATTTTTGGTCTTGAATATCACTCTGAAAGAAAAAAAGGGTTGGGAAGATATTAACGACAAAAATGCCGTTTAGAATAGCTATCCTAATACACGAGTAAAATGAACTCTCATCGGAAGGTTTTACATAAGTACAATTCTTGCATGGATGAACACTTAGCAGAGTATAGTTGCCAAAGTTTGAAAGTTCTAACTATTTCATAATCCCACTTATTTGCTGACCAGAGACAATGCAACTACTAATGTAACTAGAACATTACTTACGTTTAAAACATATTTGAAATTTCGTGATTTGATTTGTGCATTACGTTCATCTGATAGAGAATAATCCCATCCGCAAAATATCATGGTTATATATTCCATGTTGGTCACCTCACCTGATAATAAACTTTTTCGAAAAGCAGAAATCGAACTGAAAAAAAAATAAATTATTATATTATAATGCTTCGTGTTACTGGGGTTCTGGCATCACATTAAAGCCTCAAAATCAGCAAGACATAAAATTACGGTTCAGATTTTTCATTCTAGTTGTGTTTAAGGCCAATCCATACACATTCAAAGATACCCCTTTATCTTCACAACCGCCATCTTGACCAGTTCATTCCATTGTTATTGTTTTGATCTTTGTTTGTGCTTAATTAGCAGATTTCACAGAAAAACAGCAGTTTTTTTTTATTATTGATACATCTGTGAATCATTTGACTTCTTGTCCCGTTAGGAAAGGGTAATTCCGTTTAACATAATTACTTAAAGATACATTATGGGAGATAAGATAACGAGATGGTGGTTCTCGCTATAATAGTTAAAAACTATAGATAGTGTAAAGGTAATTTGCTGAAAATTTCAGTCAAATTGATCCACTATGAGCCGAGAAAGAAGCGGGTGAAATTTTGGCATAGTCTCGGTCATCATTACTAAAATCATTAATATAAACAGCTTAGTCTCAATTATCCACTTTTATTGATTTAATTATCAACGGCCGTTAGTGGCATATAGGAATCTAATCCAGCCAACATCGAAGGCTAGCCTTGACATCGAGAGTTTATTATGGTCTGGATAAGTTAATTAATGTCTAATTGATAATTTAGATAACATTTCAGGCCTAAAGAAAGACTTGTAATAAGCAGATTTTGCTCTTGCATAATGCATGTTTAAGTTGATATTAATGGGTGCACGTGTGTGTTGGATGGGGTGAATGGGGTGGAGGGGATAGCTAAAATAATTGTTGTCGATCTAAACACACAGAGACCTAAATACTCTAGACTGCAATGGTTTACTATATAGGGTTGATGCTGAAAATGATGATGTAGTAAATATACTTACTGGTTGGCCATCATAAATACACTAATCAACATACAACCAACAATAGCCAATAAATATAGTAGTGGAAAGTTGTAAAAGAATCCCACTGCATTTTTGTCCCCAACATATATACCAGAACCAGTGTAAAAACCATAAAATAAATATGATTTCTCCATCCATCCCTATAATAATTATAATACATAATCTTAAATTAAAATATTGTTTAATTTTAACTAACTTGGGTTATAAATAAGACTTCTAAAATCACAGTCCAGACCATTGCTTTTTTTACATATATATACCTCTGAGTGACCATGCAGGTACATCTTTCTCTTTCCTAGCAATTGTACCTAACATTAAATGTATGTACATCTCTCCATACTCAAGTAATGGTAACTAGCATTATAAGATCAATAACAATTACCACATTTAATTAAAATAAAACAGTCTTATGCCGACAAAATAGCAAGGAAGAAAAAACGTCTTGTAAATTAAAAAGAAATGGAACAACAAATTTTTAGTACTAAATAAACAGTAGCAGATGGTTTCATAAAGTCTATAAAACAAAAAGTAACCATTTATTGGATACTTACTGTTCCAAGAAAGAAATCTAGAAATTGTTGTAAAGGATCAGAAGAAAGTGTTACTGTATAGTTATTAGTACAAGTCTGTACTAAACTATAAGCTGGTAAACTTGTAGAATACACCTCTTCATTAAAGAATATAACAGGTACGTTGACGAAGAAAAAGGTAATAAGACATAAAACAATGTTAAGACCAAACAACCATCTTAATAGTACAAAAAACGACACCACACCAGTTCCTTGGTGACCTGCAAAAAGGAACAAATTTGGAATTGATAAATTTTGAAACATTTTTTTAGTTGCTGCACGTATATTGAGATAATATTAAAATGTCATTTAAAGGTTTAAGGCACAAAGACCGGTCGTTCACACATATCTCAAAAGTAAAAACCGTATTAATTTATTGTAATCAAACACATTAAAGTTAAAGTTACAATTTCATATTCTCTAAGAAAGTCAAAACATAATTATTTCTATGTCTTTTGCTCAATAGGTTGTCAACTCACTATTATATGATCATAGGTGTCGTTCTCACACTTAAAACTCATTTACATCGGATATAATAACACAATTACATCCCAATTACCCCCCTTGTTTTCTATTCTCCACCATGGAGTAGCTATCCTCAAACGTTTGAATTTGAAAAGGAAAATGATATTTTTGCCAATTTCTCAACTGACAATAGTGAATTATAGGATTAATAGGATTATTCTTTAACAAGGTAGGACTGTTTATAGATACCATCTATTTTAAGGCTTTATTTTAATGAATTTTTAAAATATAACGTAAAAATATGAAATTGCAACTTTAAATAGTCGTTATGTTGGAACGAAAAATCGACGTCCTACGTAAACGTTAACGTGCATGCTAAAGAAACAGTGTGATTTCTATGATGAATGCCTGTCGTCTTTATCCCAGTTGGTGCAGAAAAGTAGGACGTTAAACAGCATTCCATTTCATTTCAGCTGGGGCATTTTAATGCTACTTCACATTCCGTTTAAAGGTCAGGTGCTAAGAAATATTTTGTATTCAATGGTTTTTACACACTTTTTACAACTGCTATAACATTACCTTCAATACTTCTTAAATTTCCTCCCCACAGCTCGATGGTCTGGCTAATATTCTTACAAGCTAGTTTACATTTTACCCATCTCTATAAAACAGTGATAGAAACTATCAAAGTTTAACAAATGTTTTGCAGAGTTTACATTTCTTATTGCCAAAAAAAAACCCACATATATTATTATATGTTACGAGACAATGAGTGAGATTACCAGAGCACCGATCTGTCATCGATACAAGTCGTGAGTTCCATATCATGAATGTGCTGGACTTTCTTAGTAAAATTATATAAAATGGTTTTTTTACTTTTCGAGTTTAGTGAAATAGATATAGATGATATATCTGTCAAGATATATTCAGACATTCGTAATTGAACTATATATAATGTTTTATTAGTCAACGTAATCCCCGTCAGAAAAAATATTGCATTATCTGTTCTCATACGCATATCACGTCTTGACTGTAACATAGCAACAATCAAACTTACCCTACTGTGTTTCTCGTATGATTCTCCTTTACCGCAGTTATGCAGGTCACTTAAAAGGTTAAGAAAAAAAAAATATATATATATATGTAAAACGATCCAAGGTTCAGTATCAGAAATTAAACACATTTACACGTTTGTCGGTATAGAAGTTGAACACTAAAGATGCATTATTATTCTTCCTACAATAGTTCAAAAATAGATAATCAAAAATGAATATTTTGAAAATTTCAGTCAAATTACTCCACCCAGAGCGTTTGAAGTTTTGACAAGACGTAGCCGATTGTCAAGTACCATTGATGTGATAATAAACGAAGTCTAGATTTCAAAATCTTTCTATTAACGTTAGACGATTTTATGGCATGGTGGTCTAATCCATTCAATATCTCAGTAATCCGATTGTAGAAAGTTGTTTATTTGCCATATAACATTTAAATTGTTTCTATAACATTTAAATTGTTTATAACACTTAAAATCAGAAAAAAAAGAACTGCATCTAACTCTTGCATAACGCGTCTATTCAGTCTATATCTTTTGTAGCCTATCAATCTAACCATGGCAGATATAATTTACCAAGTTACCACACTTAAATTAACTAACTATTAATTATACCCACTTATTAAATCCACTGAGTATCTATTATCTCAATCACTCAGTTATTACGAATTCATTGACTGACTTGAGGTGCGTTCACACTAGGGGTTTAATCTGAATTGAATTCGGAATAAAGTCTTATTCCTGATTTATATAGGCGTCACACTCAATTCGATAAAATTCGAACTGAATGTGAAATAAGTTAGTATATTGATTAATATACCCGGCTAGTGCATTGATTAACACATAACTTTCATATTTGGTTATACTTCCTCATTAATTATTCATAACGATAATAATCTTAAGATGTGCAGAATTCGTGTAAAGTTTTTACACATTCAGGGAAAGCAATTGTGAAAAAGATATTGATACAGTTCCGGTAGTTTGTGAAAATTAATGAATTTATAATTCAAATCCATTCACTCTAATGCGTTTCATTTCATAAAACGGTGAATGTGTCTGGACAATTGTTTCCACAAAAGGTAAATATTAATGTTTAAGATCGATCTCTGATATTTCCCTAAAGTCTAATTGATAAATTGAAGTTTTGCGTCATGTTATATATTGAGTAACGTTATGGCAAAGAATCATTTTCATTACCAATCCAATCTTAATTTTTTCAATTTTCAAATTAATAATAGTAATATAATAAACCGAATAAGATTTATATATGCATCGGTATATTGATCTGTCTTGAATTTAGCCTTTGATTTACAAAGAAACATTTGAAAATAGCGTGCACTTATATATAATTAAAAAAATAATTTTCTCGCTGTCGAAACATGGTTTACGTGTGAATATCAATTATCTGGAGCGATTGCATTAAAGTAAAAGTATATTGATCTTTGTTAATTATTAATGAGTTTGATTATAATCGTGTGAACGCATTAACGTAATCACATTAAATAAAATGCCATAAAAAATACGACATCCAGTTTTAAACATGGCAATATTTTAAACATTGTACTATTAACATTTAAATCCTATTTCAAGCCCCCCCCCCCCCGACCCCGACCCCCCAACGATTGTCATTCAACAAGTTCTATGTTAGGCTATAACTATACTTAAAATTTGATTACAATATCATGTGGTGTATGTTTTCTGTCTTTTACACTATATTGTAATCTAACAATGATGTTCTAGCGGGGTGTTATAAATTGTATTTCAAATCGTCATAACCCCTAAACCGCTCGATATCATTCTCTTAAACAGTTTCCCGCAATTCACGATATGCAGCTCTGTGTACCATCATAGCCAATTCATTTTTAATGTATTACAAAATAAAGGATAAAACGAAACGGAATTAAGATTAGATATTAATCAGATTGTTCCCAGATGAACTCATTAAGATAAGTATCTAAAATAATCGATAATCTTTATTTTTCGTAATTATTATTTCATACATTCCCATTAGCCATGTTTGTCTGTCTACATTTTTTTACCCATTATTACCACAGATATTATCAAAACATAATGGCAATTAACAATACACAAAACTATAACTGTGCATGTTAACTAACTAGTTAATTTTTAAGAGAAATTAATGAAACTTGCCTAGTTTCCAAATTTTAATGCTTATACGTTTTCGAATATACACTGCCAACTGGATAAAATCACAAAAGTTTTCTTATCTATAAACTTATTGAAATTTAAAAGCACAAAAACTAATTTAGTAATTTAGCATACAGGCCCGGATCCAGGATTTTGTCGTGGAGGGGGGGGGGCATACATTGCAGCAAAGGGTAATCATCAGAGTGCCGCATGCATTAGTGGTTTAGTGTAGTCCCCAGAGTCTTCGTCGCGGCCTCATTAAACAGAAACTAAAATCTGGGAATCCCATTGCTGGCTGCAGGTGCTGGTCCGAACAGTGATAACCAGTCTCACTGGGGCTGAGGGGCTGAGTATTTCTTTATCTAATAAACATAAAATGAGGAACAGGAGCCAATGTAAATTTCAATTGGCCATACCTTAAAGGGGCATTATGTAAGATTAGATAAAGACCCGACAGTTCTCGTTATGAAAGTTAAAAAATAGATAATGAAAAAGGAATAATATGTTGAAAATTTCAGTCAAATTTAAAATACAAATTAGAATTTAATATTGGTCCAGTTAAAGTAATATTGATGGTGTTATCTTACCGTGAAAATATGGGATCATAATATCAAATATTTAAAACACAATGAACATTTTAAAATCAGTAAACGAGGTCGTGTACTATATGGATATATTGGTTTCGGGTGCCATATGTAATGAACAGAGAAAAACATCCCAGAAAACGATGCGGAAGTAATTGAAAATGGGTGACTCACAAACGACAAAATAATAATATATACAAAAAACAACTCGTGTAGAATGGATTAAGCAAGCGCATTTGGATTGTTCGCGAATTTCACCAAACATAATTGTTTAGAAATTTCAATAATTTTTTAATAACTGCATTTAAATCATTTTATATACACTAATATTACATTAATATGCGCTCTTGGGCCCCGTTTCGTATAATTTAAGGTGCCAAAGGCTTAAGCAAAATTTAGATTTTGAAGACGTAATACGTATATATCTTATGCAACCGGGGGCGGGGGTGGGGGTCTCTCCGCCGGGCTCGAAACTTTTTGAAAAATAAATGGTCTCTAGCGTTATTTTGGCATATATCTATAGGGTTAAGGGGGATCAGTTTGCTAAAACACAAAAATTGAGATATAACACAACTCATGACATACCAAACGTTTTAGTTTTACTGAGGCATATAATCAGATGTACACGATTTTAACAGGACATTTTAAGCAAACAAATGAAAAAACAAAAACCGTGGCCATCAGAAGCCAAAATATCACATAAAATATTCGGTTTTTTTTTTCAATACTAAAATCATGTTGAACTGGATTCAAACGGAATGGGGCTTAGATACACTGACGGTGACGAGGGCCTCCAGCAGAACGACGACGGACCGGAGCCCCACGGTGCGAAGACCCGGGCAGGTGGCTCATAGTTTTTAATTTACCAATTTATCCAAAAAATGTAGACTGACAGAATCTAATTCTAATCAAACCCATGCCACTAGGTACCCACATTAAATAAAGTCGCCGATTTTCTTCTGTACTTAACGATCAAATCACATTGTATTTTTTTTATTAATTTATTCCAAAATATTTTTATCCTGAAATTTGTGTCTTGTGAAAAGTATAGACTTTAGAATGAAATTAAATTTATTTGATTTTCTACTTTCTTGAGACAATCCTACTTTAAAATCAAATAGGCAACAGTAACTCACGAAATAAATATTTCTTAAACAACACTGATAATCGGCATGACAATTAAAATTAACTCAACCTTCCATCAGGATATCTCTCTTAGATAAACATACGGCTATGAATTTTATTATCCAGAAAAATGAACGTCATATTTTGACATTCTAATTTTTTGAAAATAAACATTTAACGTTATTAAAACCACGAAGAATCTCTTTACAAGATGCTTTCAAAACGTAATATTAATGTAGCATTGTCAAATCAGGTCAAGGAAAATAAAAATGTAAAATCGCAAATATATTTGTGATAAGAATGGGAACATACCGAATCCTTTTAGACAGTGGAGGTGTTTTGTGGAACAAACCGATAGGACCTCTTTTTTCTGTCACCATCATACTCTTTCGTCTTAATCTGGCTTCGCTGATGTACGTATTCGATACAGGAGAAGCAGATTCCTTTGTCGTTCCATCATACGACTTGATAGATGTCATATCACTGTGACCGATTCGATTCATTTCTTGTTACGATATTCCAATTTCTCTTCTAATTCAACGTAAAAAAATGAAGACAGTTTTCGCAATAATCCTTAAATGAACTAAATATCCTATAGCCTACATTAGGTGAGGACGTCGACCCGACGGGCACTTGTTATAAAATATATACTGGATGTACCCGGAAAGAACTTATCATAAACAGCATTCTGTTGTTAACATATGTATACGAATCTTTAAACTATTGACTGATATAAAGCGCTGTGGTGTAGCATAGACACAATATTGGTTAGTGGTTATTGGCTATAATAAATCACTTCAAACCCTGTGTAGTCAAACGTCAATCAATCCTTATATTACCACTTCGATTTCTATTTACTATCTGACCAAGTAAGTAAAGGCAGAGTCAGTTGTATATCACATATTCACACAGATCTACACTGTAAGATTGCCGTGTCAAACTCAACACTTCTTCACGTTTACGCGTTCACTATCTGGAGATGATGACACATCAATCTTAAATTAAAATGTGAACTTCTATTATCTAGGGTTAGTAACGTTGAAAGTAACGTATGGTTAGTTTTCCTACAATCGCGAGCGTAATTCTCTGTAGATGAGAATCTGCCCGGACAGAAACGTTTTCGACCACATTTTACTCAGAAATATTTATTGAAAGTATTTATATTTTACTATTTTGTGATTTCATTATCAAAGCTTTGTTATATGTACTTTCAATTATCCCGAACTTTATTACATCTATTTTTATTATCCCAAACTTTATTAAAGTCTTATTATATGTACTTTTAGTTTCAAAACATTATTATATGTACTTTAATTTTCAAAGCTTTATTACGTTTCCATATATTTTTCGAAAAGCTTTATTACCTTTCCATTTTTTCGATAAACTTTATTTCATGTACTTTTCATTTTCAAAGCCATATTCCGTTTTCAAATATTATTTTTACAGTGTACTAGTACGTCGTTTATATGAATTATATATGTCCGCCGATAAAGTACTGTTATCATTAACTCTGTTTATATTGAGAAACCTTGACGTAGATGTATGTAAAATAATAATTGTATGGAAAAACTATTATATAGAAGTAATATTTCAATAAACCATTCTGGTGAAATCAACCATGGATGATATAGTTCATTGTATATTAGCATGTCTGGCTATGGTCAGTGTTTATTGGACATACAATATAAATAATTGATCTTTCGATATTCAAGATATTTAAGTTATGTTTTCAGGCGAAAAATGACTGAGTCATTATTTCAACACAACTGTAAACAAGCATAACTTTAACAATGACTTAATATGAATATTTATTCAAAGCATATTATGACTGGGAAGCTAGGATAAATCTGACTCAAGTGGTTAGTCATAGTCTTCATCACATTAAAGTTTTTAAGCAATGATTTGACATATAAATTAGATATAAATTATAAAACCGACGCCAATTAAAGAATTCAGGGTACAGAATTGGTGCTGGAAGTCCAACCAACACAAACTAGGTCATTTCCGTTCTAACATATAGAATGGTATATCTTAATATCTTTATTTCAAATATTCGCTCGAGTGTTGTTAAAGTGTTTTATCGTTAAAAAACAAGACAAAACTATTATATAACTTTAGATTAACTGCATTCAGTACAAAAATAAGTTAAACAGACAATACTGTCATAATATATACATACAATTTAACCATCATCGTAGTTTCATAATAAAATAATGCTAAACCTGGGCAATAGAAATATCATAGAAATATCAAAAAATAATCGTCCTTCTATGTCGGTTTCAGGGAAGCCCTGTATCGCTGTTTGAATAACAATTGGATGGTGGATGGTTATTGGTTGTTGGTGGGTTTTTTTAAATAATAAAAAATAAAAATGTAAAAATAATTTTGATGAAAAATCATTAAAGATATATACCATCGAGAAACAATCGTCATCTTTTGAACGTTTAAATCATTTTTAATGAACAGGAAAAATAAAAGCACCCTATAACCTCACAATAAATACTGTTATCTACATTACTTCATTGGTGATTAAAGCCAGTGCTCGTCTATTCATTGTCTAATCACGAGTGTAATACCAAATATAGATTGTCGAAATAGCTTTCCTTGTGATTTTGGATATGTCTTCTAATCCATGATTATAATTATATTTAGCATCGCAGGGGAATGTATCTTTAACTGTATCTTTATTTCTCAAAAGGAGAAATACTGTAAGGAACAAATGGACGGAATGTATAGATATAGAATAACTTACATCTACAAAAAACAAACAGCATAAAGAAATTATATTGAGCACATCATATAACATGTATTTTGATAATTATAAATTATCACAAAATAATTGTATATACATCAACAATGGTTATATTTTACAAAACAATTTAAAATAATAATTCAATTGCCAATACGGCATCACCAGGATACTGTCCACGTTAAATTTGCCGAAATATATCATGATCTGACCAGATTGTTATGTCTATGTAAAGAGTCCCAATCGCGTTTACTAATACGTCTACAGCTGCAGGTAAACGTGATGAAACATATTATCTGAGTTGTAAAAGAACGACCATTGACCCTTGCAGAATTTCAGATACATAACTTTTAAACAGGATATAACATCAATTATATAACAAGTACGATATTACTTTATAATGGACCAGGAACCAGGAATCAAGCATGAACTCAACGCCACCATGTTGGAATCAAAAATCTAAGTCCGTCAATCGATTAGGAATTGTCCAAGGCACAAGCATGCCAAGTTCCTCATGTCGATGTACTTGGGCTTTTTTTAAGAGTGTCACCCCAAAGAAGAAGAACTACAATAAGACGAGTAGAGCTTGGGGCCCAGTGCCTGGTCTAAAAACTATTGCATTTCACAGCACTTTAGTTTTATTATAGTACGGAATCAAAGAATCGGTATTACAAGCAACTTTTGGTCATTATCTCAGAAATCAAAGTCATCATCTGGTAAAACCAAATTAGGTGGAGTAAACACAGCACCTTTGTTAGTACTATATATTGTATTATTACGCGATAGTGCTGTTTTGTTCTTGTTTTCAGGTTCTGATTCCAAGATATCATCAACATTCAATAGGGGATCTGTAGGTGTAATGGTAGCAATAGATTTTCGTCGAATAGTTCTCATTGGAACGGCTTCCCCCGTAGCATCCCTTAATCTATTCAACAAAAACTGTCTATCTTTTCCTTCCTACAATGAAGACCAAAAGATAATTTGAACATATTAATCCATACATGTGTCAAGATAGAACTCTTCCAACCATAACCTAAACATTTCCTTTCCAAAAGTTTCAATATTAAAAATAAAAGAAATGTCATCAGCTAGAAAAGCTCAGTCAATTAAAACCAGTAAAGTTTGTAGAATTGCAAGACCGTAAACAATATTGTCAGAATATTGCAAAATTGAAAGGGACATCACCCAAACAGATAAAATTACACTTTAAGATTCTTACCAAAATTATTTCTTCTCGGAGTAAGTTACTCATATCTTTGTGAGCTGACCTCATGGCAGAACAGTAATATATCAACAACCTGGAATTATAAAAACACAATGTAATAAATAATTATAACATGTGAGAAAAATACTATATCTGTATATGAACGCTAGAACAACAATAGGTTTACGACGTGGTTTAGCGGTATAAGATACTGGCCTCTCGACTAGGAGGACCCTGGTTCGAATCCTGACCGAGAATAACTTTCAAGGCCGTTTTTCACTTACGGGGCTTACAGGAAAGTTGTCTTTAGGGACAAAGACCAAGGTCCAACCATCTAGACATTAGCGGACACGTAAAGAAGCCTAACTGCGGTGCTTGGATAAAAACGACATTAACGTTTGTTAATAATTTATCCCTTTAAAACAATACTCTAGGTTTCATGTCATTGAGTTTGTTTTTGGTCGAGAAAGTTTATAAGGATTCTCCGGCGTGGTTTCACCGTAAGTGTTGCAGGACGTATAAGGCGTAGGCCGTAGCGCCGCTGTCCGGGCAAAACTTCTCTCATAACATACTGTATGACGTATGCCCGTCTTCATTATCCCAATCGGAGCAGAGCAGTAGGGCGTTAAAGTAAACCCCATTTCATTTCATTTCTTTGATTTCCTACATTATACAGATGGATACTTACACTAGTATAATAATAATGGAAGCTGTAACGGCAGGTGATACAATAACATCATAGATGACTTGTAATTCAAATGGACCGCTACCAATAGCTGAAGTTATCGCCATATAAATAAAATTATACGATCGGAAAGGACCACAGCTTTTGGATGGTGCTAAACTGTAAAAATTGATAAATAATAACAGATGTAATCATAACAAATTCAAGATATTGTATGTACAAATGTCTTCAACGACAAATGATTGGACATATTTTAAGTTCCATTTTATAACAAAAACCTTATATACATAACCTTACTTGTATAAAAAATAGTTGTATATTTAAACTTACTTGGCCATAGTATACCCAACCGGGAAACAACACAGAAAAAAGGCCAGTATTAACACTATCATAAAGAAACTGTTTGAACGAGATGTCTTGAAGGGTTTTTCTGGTGGTTCACATGCAAATAACGCTGATAGCTGCAAAATTTAAAAAAAAAGTTTGTTAGCAATGAAATCAAAAGACCTGAAATAAAACTGACAATACGATATTAAAAGTGGTCTGAGTGATTTGAAATTTTCCAAATGAGGACCATTCGTGGAGTGTTTAAGAAATGAGTATGTTACTTCCCCAGGAATACATTTAAATATTCTATAGATTTACTAACATCAATATAAAATAATCCTCTTAAATATACAGATAAATATCTTTCATTAAATTTACCTTTTTGGCATAGAACACAATCAGAAGTTTTATTAAGGCTATAGCTGGAAGAATTGGGGCAAAGAAAAATCCCATCCTGAAAAATGATTTAAATTACAATAAAATCTAACATGTACTGTTACAACGCTCAAATACCATTATTATACTTAAATGAGTTTTGTTTTTAGCTGATATTTTGTTCAAAAAATAGTGTAAAGTTTTCTGTTGAATATTACCTTTGTCTTTAATTACATACGTAATTTATAATTTACATTTGTAGAACTGTATTATACACGAATCAATAAAACGATGTATTTCAATAAGATTAGATCTATAATTATTGTTTACATAGAGAGGTCGAACAGTAATATTGTACTATGTGACAGTAAAGACCTACATGACTTCCTACTTTAATCGGTGTGGTTCTAATTACAAAATAGTCATAGTGACCACTACTATATACACCGAATCAATTACTGGCTTCTGATAAAATAACAAAAAGCTATTTATTTTATAACAAGCATATATATTGTTCCATATAGATAAAGTCTATCATACATGAGTAAGTTATTAACTACATGTACATAGTAATCGACAAAGTGATTTTTGTTTACGGCTGCTGTACAGGCCTGGTAGACACATTGTCTACTTTCAAACATAATGTTATAATAAAAGTACACTTTATATTAAAGATACATTATGTATGATTTAGATAAAGAGCTAGCCATTTTTGTTATAACAGTTCGAAAATAGATAATGTAAAATGAATAATTTGAAAATTTCATGCAAATTACTCTATTGCGAGCAAAGATATTAGCCTTTGAAGGTTTGACAAGACTTGTGCAATAATTTCAACCACCGTACTGGTTGTTCGAAGCTAAGTCTCGCTCCTCCATTTTTAAATTAAATCCAAATATGGCTGAACCTTTCTAATCTATTTAATATCGGAGAAATCTGATGCCATCGAGAGTTGATTATGGCCTGGATCAGTTGATTAATGTCTAATTAATAATTTAGATAACATTTCAGATCTAAAGAAAGACCTGCAATATGCAGATTTAGGTCTTGCATAATGTATGTTTAATCATGTCATATTTATTAAATTTAACTCACCAACACAGAATCTGAGCGTAAACTAGATCTAAGACACTCTTTGAAATGTCGAACTGTGCTGCTCCGACCTTTTGGGCTATACCACAACTACATTTACTAACAATAATCCTGAAATAAAAAATTCAGATAATTAATCTATGCAGAGATAACTCGGCGGTTTTCGATTGAAAAATTTAAAATTTCGATAGGGTGTCCCCTATCAACTAAAGTTTTCCATCAAGAACTGTGTATTGTATCACGGCTACAAGCTTTAAAATTAAATGAAAAACCTAACCGGAAAGATAACCCTTACGAGATTTACAATCCCAAATTTTGAATTAACCATGTCATATTGACCATTCATACAATTTCGTGAATTTAAAAGTAAAAGGGGGACAATACGGATACAAAAATTTCCAAAATATATCATCTGAATTTTGATAGGACCTCTCTTCCCAAGTTTTAAACAATCCTACTAAGATGATTTTCCTGCGTGTTATCACATGGTGAATGGAAGAATAACTTCACAAAAAACGTCTTCTGAATTTCCGACCCCAAAGTGTAACTTATTATTAGGTCTTACGTTTCGTTAGGGTTTGTCCTTATTATGAACCAAACTAGCAGTGTTACACCACAGTTGTATAACACTGAAACCGGAAGTGTTACTGCAACGCCACCAGATCTATGTCATTCCCCGGCTCTAACTACCGTATACCCAAAATTTCAGTCTCACTAACCCTATCCCAACCTAAGCCTCTGGAAGTAGGACGAACAAAAAACCGGAAGTGGTAATGGAAACGCCACCAAACGCTCCGGCTCGTGCTGCCCTTATACCCAAATTTCATCCCCAGGGCAGCCCCAGTGTTGCCACCAACTCTGAACAGATAAACAAATGGCAGTAACAAATATGTATGTATAGACGATCCCTGCGACGTTGAACAAAATTCAAAAGGAACAGTGGTGTGTATAATGTAGGTTTGGGTTGACACGATCTTTTGTGAAATGCTATTTAAATAATTTACATAAAAAATCAAGCAACTGGCACAAAACAGCACCGGTGTGATGTCATATTTACATTGAACAGATTTTTACAATGTTTAATATGTGTGTAAATCATCAATCAATGAACGGACTCAATATTTTCTAGAATTGTTTACATTTATTAAAAGAAAGTATAATCCTTGGTTACACAATTTATTGATCAGATGTGTTTTCAAAAAATCTTGAATGTAAACAAACATAAAAACACAGGTGGGGTTGTCTTTGTTCAGCTGTTTAATACAAGACAGATTTAAGGTTGCTTTACCAAATGTAGAAATAACCAGTCTTATTAAAATTATACCAACAATACGACCCGTTTTGTTTTTCAGTTCTTTGCTCCACTTTACCGTCGTTTAAAAATATTAAAGTCAAGTGCGTTTAATTATGCATATAATTGGTCTACAACAAAAGTGCAACCCGACAAAAAAAAACTTTATATGTATAGTTTACTACATTTACCATAAAATGGACAAAAAATATTAAAAACAAACTATAAACCTAATAAATGTGAAATAACGTCTGAGTATTCAACAGTTCGATTCTTAGACCATACATGGCGTTCAACTTCGCATTAGAAATAAATAGTACACAAACTAGACCGTTTGCATTTTTTTTTGGACCAGAAACTGGTCGCTAACCACTGCTCATAATGTTCTTCTTCTTCCTCTTCTTGTGGAACTGGTCGTTAACCGCTACTCATCTTTTTCTTCGAAAAAGCCTAAGGCTACGTCAATTCAAGTCCGATCGACATGAAAATTGGCATGCTTGTTCTTTGAACAATTCTGCATCGATTTGGTGAATTAGATTTTCGAATTTCATCCAACAACTTGGTCAGTTCCTGGTCCATAGTTCGACCGTACTTGTTGAAGGTGTGTGGTAATTGGAGTGAGTTTCTAATCATATATTTGATTGATTCGTGAGTAAATTTTGAATGCAAGAGAAGTGAATAAGATTTAGGACTTAAAATGTCATTCAAATAGCATAGTGTCTGTTCTTAAGTGGAGCTAACTGTAGACAGGCAGCCTAGCTGTCCAGACAAGGTCAAGGACAATTGGGTGATTGGGTGACAACAGCATAAAAATAACAAGCAAATGAATTAAATTTTAAATGATAACAGAACTCTCCTATTTTTCGTAATTTTTATATATATATTTTAGAATTTTTTTCAGGGGCCCTTATATGTAATTTTATCTATATACTGCGTCTCGGTATATCTGTATCTGCTTTATTACCATCATTATGGCCACGAGATCTAGTGTGACAAAGTGCTCTATAACTTTCATCAAACTGAACGATCATTTAGGTGCTTAGAACTTATAGATTCCTAGCTGGTTTTTGATAATATGATATCGACTTTTCAACTCTGTATATACTTGTGTTAGTCACGACTGTCTGTGCTCTAATTAAACATACGCTCGTATAATTAATCCCATATGTCCTTTACAAGCTACATATGATCTGTGTACAACACTCGGATTGACGTCAAAGGAAATTGCAGTGGTCAGTTCATCATACCATGACCTGATAATGACTTCAAAGGAAATACGCAGTGTAATTACAATACCGATACCATAATCTGATAAATAAACAATACCATATATGATGATAACTCTTATACATTTTCCCTATTGTAGGACGCTATATAACCAGGAGTTTACTGACAGTCAGACTTGGAATGGAGCTTCTCCCGAAAAAGACTATAAGGTGAAGAAATAATATAGCCTAAATCAATGAAATAGGTTCTAAGTGAAAAAAAACAAAAAAAAAACGAAAAAAAAAACAGGGAACCAAAACAGTGCTGTACTATATTTGGTCGCCCGATATGCACCAAAAACATGTAGATGCATAACTGATGCTTTATTTATCGAGTCCCATACACACTGGACCGGGGATCACGGTGGCTAAGTGGGTAAGACGCTGGTTCGCTAGCCTGGAGGTCGGATGTTCGATCCCTGCATTGGCCAAGAAAGTTCATCCAGATTTTCCGGCGTGGTCACCCCTTGTCACTGATGCAGGACGGGGGACTTGACAAGGACAGCTGTCTAGTCATTCGGATGATACGAAAAACCGAGGTCCCGTGTACACATTGGCGTGCGCGTAAAAGATCCCTTGGCAGTTGGAATTCGATATAAGAGTAGGCCGTAGTGCCGCTGTCCGAGCAAAATTTCCCTCATAGAACATTGTATGGCGTATGCCCGTCTTCATTAGCCCAGGTCAGAGCAAAACAGTAAGACGTTAAACTCCATTTCATTTCATTTCACACACTGAACCGACCCAAAGTGGGAACCGAGTCAAACCGCGACAACGGCGAAGAGAAATGCAGGGCGTCAACACTCGTGTTTTTGTCGATTCAAGGGTATAGAGATTTGTGTGAGCACGTCACAAATATTTGATCACCCGAGGCGGTTATACAGTGTTTTTTTTTTCTTTGAAATTTCTCTGTTACAGAAAAGATGCATCGTTGTCCGCTTTTCAAATAAATGATATTCTCTGAAGGCTTGATCGTCTATGTGTAGACTATCCTAAATAGTATTAGTTTGGAAGAGTTGAATAATTTCATACATGTTGAAAGAAGAGATTAAGTCAATATCGATCTATACCCGACATAAAACAAAAGTTAACGGCTGGATAATTTTCACTATTTCGGAGCGACCCGAGTCATGGTACAAAGCATTGTATAAATTTGGGGGTTTTTTTCATTAACAAATTCACCCCTTTGTTGTTTCCACTTATTTGTACGTCAAAACCCCGTGGTATTTCCATTAATATTTCGAAGCGCATGTCCACTGGATAATAAAATAAACTTCAAAACTAGTAATTGGTATCCGTCTGTAGCAAAAATATTAAACATTCTTGGTTTGAGAATGTTCACTTATACGATGATATGCCATGTCTTTTTATACCTGCGTTTACAAGCCGAAGCAATGAAGGGAAATAACCAAGAGTATTGCTTGGAAACAGACCACCATTTTTTCGACGTGCTTTAAACCGAAGTACAATTACAAATTTGATTGGAATATAATATTTGGTACACATGTAACAGCTTTCTGGTATCATTTTGACATAGGTCTGGATAAGCAAGGACCTCAAAGTTTCGAGCCAGAGCCAACCATAGCATAGTACCTTTAAGAAAACAGTTTCAATCGGGGATTTTAGCGATCTTTGTTTACCTTCTTATCCGCCTGCTGAAATCATATATTCACCAAACATTATGTATTTATAAAAATCCTACCTTCTTGGTATTTCTACTAGTAAGATAACACCAACGCCAACCAGAAAGTCCATGATTACCAATTTATATAACTGTTGACCTACATATGTCTCCCAACACTAAATAAATAAATAAATATTTGATTTGTTTTCAAATTTACTGAAAATTGATACTTTATATTAATTAAATAAATAAATATTTGATTTGTTTTCAAATTTACTGAAAATTGATACATTATATTTACTTCTTTTAAAATTTCAAAGCAACCAAACTATAAAATTCTTAAATTACGGAAAATTTGCAATTGGGCTATTTATTAAACAGACATACTTACTGTTATTTCTGAACATGGTGAGATTCCTGCTCCACAACTGTTCTTAGTAGAACAGGTGATCTCAGAATACAGAGTTCCAACCAATACAGTTAGCGATGCCAGTTTTAAAAAGACCGTTCTGTAAAATAAATTTAAGACCATGCTCTAGTTTAATATTAGAACAGCTTAGTATTTTTAACACTGCATTTATTGATCATATTTTCCGGTGTAAAATGACAGAAAAAAACAATAAGTACAACGGAAAATATTTCTCCATGAAGCGGAATTTGCTCCATTTAGTGCAATCTCGGCTTATAATATTTGCTTTCAAATTTTGGCTTAATAGTTGGATGAATTCGTATAGTTTTTATAATACAAATTCTGATTATTTTGGCACTGACTTGGGTTGAATTGTTAAATGATTAGAACTACAACAAACTTTTGTTAACTTATTTAAAAGTGAGAAGCGGTATATTGTGTTGTAATTCACGCTCAAACACTGATCTTTCACCTTTTGAGAAATATTACCACTAGTGAAATGTAATAGGAGCACATACCTGATAAGAGAAAGCTTCAGAACAAAAGCTTGGCTATAATGTTCAAATTTCACTACTATTTTAAATACATTTGGTAATGCAGCGTTTAATACTGTAATTGTTATTGACGGTAAATACTGAACCAATAATATAATAACACTGCTCTGTTCATCGGTATTCTGAAAAATAAAATAATACTTCAACCATAGGAGCTCTTTTGAATTAACCACATTAATTTTTGTTAAACAGCACATTATTTATGATAAGCATGATGTCAGAAGGTATTTCTGATGAACTTTCTGTATTTTTGTGATTTTAATGAACGCTAACCCTCAACGTTGATTTGTGCTCAACACTTAAGCTCTCATTTTCCCTGATCACCGTGCCTGAATATGGTCCCAAATAAAAATACATATTAAATAAAAATTGGAAAATGTAGGATGGTTTTCTTACCGATGCTATATAAGATGATGACCATAAAGTTACAAAATATATCAAATATCCTGCACCACATAAACAGCCCAGAACAAATATATTAACAATAGCTCTGGTAGTATATAATCCACACATTTTACAACAATTCTGCATCTTCTCTGATTTTGCTTTCTCAAATCTCTGTTCAGCCATTTCACTCTGAAAGATGAAAACAAAACCATGTTAAAGATCTGTAAAGAAATAAGTGAAATTGGCTTGGACACAAGGTTCTGTTTACTCCAAACATGGAGTTAGTTAGCCATATATTTCCAACTTGGAAGAAAACCATCAGAACTATCAAAATCCTGTCGAATCTTCCAGTCTGGGGATTCTTCGTTAGTATGACTGGCTTTATAAATGAATTAACTTTATTATTATCACGCAATAATTTAAAACTGTGCATATTTTGCCATAAAATAATTTCGCGTTGCAAAGTATTCTTGCGTAACAGTAGTAGTCAACCATCTGTCTGGTTGAATACTATAATATCCGGTACACGAAATCATCACAGTAATATCGATATAGTATTTTAATACTTACAGCCAAAGAATAATGTATACTTTTTTGTTTAATATCCGCAGCATGCTGATCATTTAAACTATAATCCCAACTTGTAAATATCTGATTGCAATATTCCAGATTCGTATTTTCTGCATCCAATATGGTCTCTCTGAAACTTTTAGCTGTACTGAAATGAAATGAAAATGGATTTAACGCCGTCTTTTTCCGCATCATCTGGGATAATGACGACGGTAGCTGTACTGGAATCATATCAGTGTTTTCTTCTTTATTAGTAACAATAAAATTTATCTAAATATCTCATATTTTTTAAATATCAGTCTAAACTATTTTGGAGTTGTATCATCTCTGCCTTACTATACGTATAAGGCGATTGATACAATGGAAGCTACACACAAGGGTGTGATGGGGGTACTATGTTGCAGAAATGAAATGAAAAGGGTTTAACGTCCTACTGTTCTGCATATGAATATGGACATACGGCATACAGGGTTATTTTACGTGCACGACAATGTGTTCACGGTACTTTGATTTTTCGTCCAATCCGAACTCAGTGGCAGACATTTTACATCGAAAATTAAAATTATGGAAGATACTTACTGTCTAGCCATAAGAAATAGACTAAGTAAAAGACAAGTTACGGTGACCAGGATATATGCTAAAGGTAGATTGTAATCGTAATCATTTAAGGATGAATTTAAAACTACACCATCACCAGAATAATAACCATAAAACATAGCTGTCTTTTCCATCCATCCCTAGAAAAAAAACCCGAAAAATAATAACCAAGTATATGGCTCTCACGACGAGTCACGTCGCTAGCTCAAAGATGATAAGGCTTATTCAAATTTCGGTCGCTCACGATAAAATTGGTATTTTTGTTTGGCATTAGCATCAACCAAGCAAATTAATGAGATGAAGTTATCGTAGGTTTCGCGTAGTTTAATATTTGAGTAATTATTAAAGTTCAGTTTAAAATCTTATGCTAAGTTCCCACTGTCGTGCGATGCTTTGCGACAGCATTGTCCCGATTAACTCCACGATTTTGTACGTTTCGATACGATCAAAACGATTGCTACGACTGACCTCAATATATTAAAATACCTGATAGGATCACCATAATTACTCCACGATTAAAACCACGTTTTCAATCGTAGCGCCAATCGTGATACCGGGAACCTAGCATTAGAAATTGAGTATAGTTTATTGACCCTTGATTGGTATTCGCAACCAAATAAAATTGTATGGCTACAAAATAGAATTGTTATATTATTCACTATCGATTAAGTTCCTTATTTTTTATGTATTTACGTTGTTTATTTAATCATGACTAAAAGACAACTAACCGTTCCTTGGAAGATGTCTATAACCAGTTCAAGAGCCCCAGAAGATACATTAACAGAATAGGATGCTGAGCAAACAGCCACTTCAGAGCTGCTATTAGTAAAGCTAACTTCAGGAAACAACATCATGGGTAAATTTATCATGGTAAAGACCAACAGAAAGATGAGAAAGTTCAACAACAACAACCATCTTAATAAAACAAAATAAGATACAACGCCAGTTCCTTGGTAGCCTGAAAAACATTATTACGTTCAATTAACGACAGGTGTGATTTTGTGTAATTGGAGAAAATATACTACTGTATTTCTTGTGGGCGCTTTTAATCTGAATGACAAAGGGGGCTTTCAGTTGTTCAGTAACAACAATTTTGATCATCTATCCACAAAAAGGCTGAAAGTAAACAATCATACCTTCGATATGTCTCAATGAAGATCCCCATAGTTCCAATCGATATTGTAGATCTTTTAGTGATGCTTTAAATCTGGTCCAATTCTGGAAAATAGTAATATTAACAATAAAACAAATTGGTTACACAAATAGTGAAAATTCAAAGACAGCTTCCAAAATATGGTGTGAATGTCCCAGAAATGTGGCATCAAATATTTATCCAGCCATGGCATTTGGATGACTGAAAATATTGTCCAAGAGTTTCAGTTAAGCTGCGTGTTCATTAATCAAAACTACAAATAAGCTCTAAAACAAATGTGTCAGTGTGGTATATTCCTGACACGTGAAGCATACATTGGTCAAGGATATCTCCAAACCCGTAGATGGACAAGGCTGTAAAAGTGCAGACATAACAAGACAGGTACAAGTATGGAAGGGTACTTATCGGCTGCCGTACCCAAGTCATTTCCAGACTCAACATTCACAATTAGAAGCGTCGGGCGATTTACTGTTAAAAAGACAATTACACTATTTGCATTTGAGTTGTAAAACATTTTGTAACTTACCACTTTCTGTCTGTATTTCCAAGCTTCAATGCCATGCAAGCCTTTCACTGGCCCCGAAAATAATTTTGATCTGTAAAATAGAACATTTTTGTTAACAGAAATAAACTATTTTATATTTCATTCATTGACATTAATGGTCAATTTGTAAATTCTGTAGTTAGAATGGAAGTAAAACGAAAAGGAATTTTTAAATTGGGTCGTAAAAAATAAAGAAAAAAAGGAATACGAAAGTAAATTCATGCTGAATGCAAGAATAAAGAAATTGGTTCGTACTTCAATCTTCGTTTTGTGGGTATAGGTGTTGGTATCATCCGTAACGTCTGTAACACATCATATTGTTGTTCTTCATCAACAACAAGTTTCATATTTAATCCACGTGCAGCGTACTTCTGCATCTCAACATCATCATCATCATCGTCGTCGTATAATGACAACTTCGTTCTCGCCCTCATTGGCGTGATGCTGTTTTTACGAAACATTTTTTCAGAGGGATACCTGAAAGTAAATTACGACATTAAAAAGGCATATCAATTCTTGCCCACATACTATGATCAAATCACTAGCCCTAACCATGGAATGCCATTGGTCGACAACCTAGAAGGTATTGGGGGAAAGGGGTGAGTTAATCGCTGGCAGCCGGACAAGAAGGTTTTTTTTACATCAAGCCATATCAGACATAGGTTGTAATACCGTGTATTAAAGTAGCTAAGTCTCTAACTCAATATCATCCAAAATCTTCGACAATGAAAACACGAATTATTTGTCAATTTTAATCAACATCGGTGTTGTGATCTTACCGGGAAAAGATGGGCCTCTGATATCCAATATTTAAGACAAAATAAACGTTTTACCATTGGTACACGAATCGTGTATCATAATGCGTTTCAGCGCAATTTGTAACAAGCGACTCGGAAGAACGACGTTAGACATAATTCCACAAGTCATGTCAAACGGTGACACCATATTCTTCTCTGGAGAGCATGTGCAATAAATACTATCGGTTCTGACTGGAATAACCAGACGTTAGAGATTGCCATTCGATTGAGACTTCTGGCGTATTTCGCCGAACATAACTGTTTTGAAATTAGAGTAAAAACGGAAACGATTGAATGTAAATCAGTTTTTTTTTACATTCATATTACATTATTATATACGTTGCGACCCATTTGTGTCAATTTGTAGGTCCCAAATATTAGCGATTTAGCTCCTTTAAATATATAATCGGCTATAAATATATGTTTATGTCATATTATCTGAATTGATATAGATCACGTATTTGCATATACCTATATGAAGGGGTATATAATTGCCAGGCTACGGGTTGAGTGAATCAGGTTTAGGTCACATTGTAATAACATTACCCCCTGGGTATAAAACCAACGGTTACAAAAAGTGTTCAAGATTCTTCGAAAAAGGGGACAAAAATCCAAAACAAAGACAATGTTTTAGGTCTATCCATTAATTTTATCTCTCCATACAAATACACTGACATGTTGGATTAGCCTGTTATAATTAGTGAACCACATAGCCTTTACATGTAGTTTGATTAATTCCTGATACATGTAGTATTTACGAGATAAACTTATCAATTATATATAGAACAACAGTTTGAACTAGAGATATCTTGTCCATCAGACTGGGTTATTCCAATGGACAGAATGACTTGAACTCTTTCAATATGTATTACTATCTTTTATATGAAACCAGTCTATCATTACTAGTTTCAAACCTTCTATTTTGTGTTTTGTTCCAAACCTAAAAATTGTATTGATATAAATGATTTATGATATAGAATTAAAATCCCATACCTATTTTAACCGAGTTTGTAGACGATTGACTCTGAAGGTTTATAAGCGCTATGGTCTATATTAGTCGGTTAATATATTTTTAAATATATCCTTTAATTACATTAATTATCTCTAAATTGAAACAAGAAAACCATCTTCAGTCAAAATAGTCATTTTGTTTCCATGACAACTTAAAAACAATATGGTTTCTGCGTCAATCGAGAAAACTGTATCCTAGTGGCCAACAATTTTGTTATATAAGTGTTATTATGCCTCATATTTCATCAGTTCAATGAACAAAGACTAATCTCTTTTATAAAGTATGTTTTGCTAGAGTATACTAAGATAAATAATTGATTTGTTAGATCCGGGAAATAAAGAAACGTGATGCCTTGTTTCACTCGGATACCAATTAATCTTCTTGGTTATTAACGATAATCAGTTATATTTCAAGACGAACTTATATTACATCTTACAAACATCTTGATTAAAATTTTCGGGGATAAATATATATGGAAAATGTATACAGAGAATAAACTGTTAACGATTTGCAATGCAAAATGGCAGATTAATTACAGTAGATAAAGCTATGAATTATGTATTTCTTCCTTACCTGGTTTGCTTTAACGTATGTATCCAATTAGTATAATATAAATTATTTGCTTAAGGTACAAAATTTATAATGATGATACAGTTTGGTGACACTCTGGACACTCCATGGCGACCTTGGCGGTTGTGTTTTTAGCAGTTAATGGCGTCGATTCATTAAGTTGCTTATGAAGCCAAGCGTATGTTACTTAATCCTATTATATCCTATTATATTATTAATAGGTGGGTATAGGTAGTATACGGGTGATCAGGTATATTGTAGTCTTGTGATTGGCCAGGCTATACAATCTTCAGTTAGATAATCCAGTAGAACTTGTAAATAAAACAATTCACAGTTTTAAAAATTATGTCAGAATTGTCACGTCTATAAATTGTATTGTTTATTTAATCAACTATTTTGAAATAAAATCCCTATGTCAGACTGACTTTTAAAGGCGCAGAATTTAGAAAGGTTGGCATGGCCTAGTGGTCCAGAATGCCGCGCTTCGACCTCTAGATGGCCGGTCACCTCACCTCTGCCTTGCGCTTGTGGTTTCGATCTCTGCGTGCGCTAAGATAATGAACTTGTCTGTGATATCACCTTTGATGGTAGCGGACGTTAAGCACTAAGAACAACAGAACAGACGCAAAATTAAATTTTGTGATAGTTACATGCACTCACAATCAAAATTATATTTCCAAGATGTCGCATCACTGACAAAGAATTGATAGGCCTAAGATATCTGCGCAAAAAAGCTTCAGAGTTAACCTGATGATAAAGCTGCCCCTTAAATACTTATTTAAAAGACGTTATCTGTTATAATCTACAGGATATTTATTTAGTGGATGAATTATCTTTTCGAGGCTTTTTTTCTCAGTTTTATCAAACTACCAGTAATGTCATATCAATATAAATTTCTTTGGTTTTCCGTTCAGTGGATTAGTTAGCAATAATATGTATATATAATATATATATAGATATATTCGCTTTTAAAACAAATCCAAGAAAAACCAAACTGACTGTGTTACTATAAAAGAAATGGAATGAAATGGAGTTTAATGTCCTATTTTTCTAAAACATGGATCCACGCAGTGAAGAGGGAAATTTTGTCTGGATAGCAGCGCTACGGCCTAATCTTATTTCGAATTCCAACTGCCAAGCTTATTTTACATGAATGTGTGCACGGGGGCTCAATTTAGCGTACAATTCGAACGACTAGACGCCGTTCCTTGCCGAACCCTTTGACCCGCACTGCACCACTGACAAGGGTAAACCATACAGGAAAATCCCGAGGAACTTTCTCGGCACACATTAGTATAATAGCGAGACAGCGCCTTACGCACTGGGCCACCGCGGCTCCAAATAATGAAGTATCATGTCAAAACTTAAAATGTGTTGTTTTTGTTTTGTTCAGTCTCATTGAATCGTTATACTCGTGGCATTAAAAGGAACATCAGACTGGCCCGTACTGTCGAGGTGCGCAATTCTCAGACAGATTCTTGATAAATCGTCACATATTTTTGTATTGTCTTTTGTTGAGAAACTGTGACTACAATCAATAGTAATAATGATAAGTTTTTCTAAGACACTTAATTTGATATGTCAAGGAATACTAGCCCTCAACTTCGTTTAATAATTTAATTCAATCCACGAGGAAGAAAGAATATCAAGTTTCTTATAATCATGACAAAACTTGAAGCACAGAGGTTATTCTAGTTTTAAATACTGTGGTGTTCATGTCATGTATTTTATATACGAAGTTTTTAATGTCATTTGTACGGGTCCTGCCTTTTAAATAAACATAAGTCTATTAGAGCGTTTGAACAAATTTATTTTGTTGTAAGCTGCTTAACTGTCAGTGTATCTGCTATACATACTTGTATACATATATATTTTTGTAGTTTACATGTAGGCCTATACCAAATTAGATCACTTACAATTTTAAGTGATCTAATTTGGTATAGGCCTACATGTAAACTACCAGGATTGATATTATTAGTTATTTTTGCCCGGATAAAATTCCTTGAAGCATCGCGGATAACTATACTTATTAAATTAGTCATAGACTGCAGTAAAATGATTCTCCATTATTATTTACTACTTTGCAATTTTTAAAATTTGTTATACAAGTATAAAAAATATAAACTTGATTGAATGCTTTTTCGTGTAAAACCATCCATCAATACACTACAAATCTTGACTCACTCCCTATACAAGATAATTTACTTCAGTCTCATACAAGTCAATATTTGAACTAGGAACTGGAGGGCTTGAACATATTTCAAGGACAAATAAGTGGTGTGTTCTGGTCTCAATCTTTCAATATGTTTTGTAATGTTCTTTTTCTTTTGTGTTTGCCCGTGTAATGGGCCTTGATGGATTAAGTATTTGTGTTGGCGATAACCAATAGTGACGATCTATTAGTTTATAAATCTACCATTATCCTGGCGAAAAGTGGTAATAGGTATATGTCTATATAATTAAATAAAAAAACCCCACATGTCCTGTGTGTGTGCTCTATTTGGGGGATTGGGTTTCTCATTTAAAGATGCCTCTCGTTTTACAATCCCTGTTAACGCGATGCTTTAATTTTTAACGGATTTTTGGTGCTATGGGAGGACGAACCTTCGACATTCAGCGTTGACCGACTTTCCATTTTGGAGTTATCCACTTTGTGCGCCACGTGAAGTGTGGGGGCACAGAGTAAAAATAACGTTAAATTATATTTACTCTAGCTGTGATGGGGGTTGGGCCACTCCCATTACATTTAGGTGATGGTGGTGGTGCTGGTGGGGGGCGGGTGGCCGAATGACTAGCACGTGCGCGCTGTATCATAAGGCCTGTCATTGAGTCAACTGGCGTGGTTTCTAATCCCCGGTTGTACGTGACAAGGAGTAGGGTCGCCTTTCCAACCTCGTGGGTTTCCTCTCACTGCTAAAGACCCTTACAAACGAATTATTGAAATAAAATTAAACCATATGTTAGTTCCGAAATGACCTAGTTTGTGTAAAGTGGACGTTAAACCCCATTTCTCTCTCTCTCTCTCTCTCCATTACATTTATGAAAATTAAAACAGTCGTAAACGCGTTTCCTGATATTTCAGCCCGTGATTAGACAGCAACTTGAAAGTGGTCAAATGAGAGAGAGAGAGAGAGAGAGAAATGGGGTTTAACGTCCACTCGACTCAAACTGGGTCATTTCGGGACTAACATATGGTTTAATTTTATTTACATAATTCGCTTGCGCGAAGCGGTCTTTAGCAGTGGGAGGAAACCGGAGGACCCGGAGAAAACCCACGAGGTTGGACAGGCGACCCTACTCCTTGCCACTTATAACCGGGGATTCGAAACCACGCCAGTCGACTCAATGACAGACTTTATGATACAGCGCGCGCACGCTAACCATTCAGCCATCCACCCCCCCCCCCCGGTCAAATTAGCCTTATTTATATGGGTTTGCAAACAAGGGCCATCGAATTACCGACTAGAAGGCAAAACGATTTTTTCCCAAAAAATGTATTATATTAATTTCTTTTTTCATCTTTTCTGGGGTAGCACGTTTTACCCAAATCCACCATTATTTCAACCTATAAGACAATAATTCATATGGATATTTGATAATATACCGTTCCTTATGCCAAATTGTCATTAATAGCCCACATTTTCATGTGGACGTATTAAGCCGTCGCCCCTGTCCGTCCGTCCACAATTTATTTGTGGACACTCTACATGTTGTACAGGTCACAATTTTTATCCGATTTTGACGAAATTTGAAATATAGGTCTATCCCCCAAACGATTTTGGTTCCTTTCGATATTGGAATGTATCGGGCCATAACTTCAAAGATTATGACCCCTGATTGTACGAAAAATCACGTTTTTAGCTAGTGGACACTCTAGAGAGGTCAAACTTTTCATCTGATTTTGATGAAACTTGAAATGCATGTTTATAACCCAAAGATCTTGTTTTATTTCGATATTCGCGCATATCGGATCGTAACTTTCTGAATTAAGGCCACTGCTTGGGCTAATGAAGACGGCCATACAGTGTGCTTTGAGGGAAATTTTGCCCGGGCAGCGGCACTATCGCCTGCTCTTATATCGAATTCCAACTGCCAAGGGATCTTTTACGTGCATTCCAATGTATACACGGGATTCGTTTTTTCGTCTCATCCGAAGGACTAGACAGCTGTCCTTGTCAGGCCCTCCGTCCTGCATCACTGACTAGGGTGAACCACGCCGGAAAATCTGGATGAACTATCTCGGCCAATGCAGGGATCGAACACCCGACCTCCAGGCTAGCGAGCCAGCGTCTTACCCACTTAGCCACGTGATCCCCCGGTGGTGATAGAGCATGGCAATGTTAAAACATGCTTAAACTTAATTTGATTTCAAGACTAAAAGTTACTGTAACATTAAACACACAGTTTGCATTGACTTATCATCTGTTCTAACATGGTTATGTTCTGATATCGATCTACCCTATATTTTGTACGATTGTAAATGACAATTTGGTATAAAGTCAAGAACGGTAGAATTTTGAGAGAGAGGGGGTGGGGGAACACAAAATCGTTACGATTTTAAATTAAAATTTCCCTCATAGCTCACTGTATGGCCGTCTTCATTAGCCCAGCATAGGAGCAGAGCAGTAGGACGTTAAACCCCATTTTTTTTTTCATTTCATTTCACCGTACCGTTGACTGTAAACTGTAGCTTAAGTAGTGTAACTTTGTGTAGTCATAAAAATGTTTGTGATCCGCCTCTGATAATATAGTTATTTATTTATTAGTTATAATGGTGGGTTATAATCGAACCACACCAGTCCTCTCATTCTGAACATCAAAGATTTTATGCTACAGTTGTATTTTTGTATTTAATTTTCGAGTACAGTCCTCGCTCATCAATGACATCATGTGAACCGAATCATGACATATCATAGTTCAGAGTCGTGACAAGGTTAGGTCCGCAGCGCCATCTTTGTTATTAATGAAACTTGTCAGTCGAAGTAATTCAAGTTGTTTATCTTTCAGGAAGTAAAAGGAACTGTTACATTTTGAGTCATCGACATTTTTAAGGTACATATAAAATGTATTATGAGGTGGAATGGTAGAATTATCTAAGTCACTATATATTGATAATTGTCAATAAATGATGAGCAAACCCGAATAGTCTACTTTTATTAAACTTCTGCGGTTAGCGGGTTAGTACTATTTTTGGATGTGGACTATGCATATTTCTTAGAAATTTTGACAGTCAATACCAAAGCATATAGGCCTACATTTGATACAGGCATGATTATAGAAAGTTGTGATAGTCTTTGTATCTAAATTTTCAGGTCAATGTGTCAGGGTAACTGAAAGTTTGTTTACTGTTTGGTCTATTGGCATTGCATAGGAAAAAACGGAATTCTCTCGGGTTAATAACTTTTAATATAGGTGGCCATGTGAAAAATAGTGACTTATGAATCTGTAACTAGGATTACGGTACCTGAACTATACAACTGGGATGTTCACTGGTCTAGGTAACAGTAATGTGAGTGATGGAAAAATTTGAGAAAAGTCTTCTTTGACACTATTGACAATTGACATTATAATAAGTTCCCATTAAGATTAAGAAGGTACTGAATTAATTTACTATGTCAAATTGGACAAAACAGTCCAGTACTATCTGGGCCTAGCCAGGGATGCCCACGCAAGATTACATTTCCCATAGTCTCAGAATGATCTAAATGTAAGTAAAGTGTGGACAAGACGTACATTAAACCCCATTTCCAATCATATATATTTCAGCATTAATTAAAGCTCATCATATTCATAATGAGTCGTGGTTCAGGTTATATCTATGATGATGTTCCAGATCAAATTGGTAAGTATATTTTTGATCTATTTACAGTCTGTGTTCAGATATTGATGTATGTTTTAGTTTCTATCAAGTATCAAACTACTGTATTATACCCGTCATCATTAATATCAATTTGTGTAAGCTTATATAAATAGGTCCAATCATGTTACAAAGACAAGCAACCCCCATCCTTCCCCTCTTTCCCCACCCACAAAGGCAACACATAGCATAAATAGGTGATATATTTCCTCAACAGTATCTATGACCATCAACCGGAAAACATTTAAATTACTTATTAAAATATATTTATTACTAAAAACATTCTATCTTACGAACGACAAGCATATATTACTTAATATTAGGAAATGAAATAAATGGGTTTCAACGTCCTACTTTTCTGCTCCCTCTGAGCTAATGTATGAAGACAGGCTATGATCCATGCCGTGTGTGATTAGGGAAATTTTGCCCGGACAGCGGCGCTACAGCGTATGCCAATGTCTACACAGGACCTCGTTCTTTATGTCCAATGCGAATGAGGCCCTTAGTCCTGCACCACTTAGACCACACAATAAATTATAGAGGAACTTTCTCAGCCACAACTAGGATCAAACCAGGTTAGAGAACCCGTGTTTAGACACAGACATGGTGCCCCCACCCCCTCTCCTTAATACAAAGAATGATAGGATGACTGTACATGTAAATTGAAAGAGAAGTGAATGAGCATGCTATCAAAACAGTACGTCACCAGCATACTGACATACATATTGTAAAACCGTGTTGAAATTGAATCGTTGAAGCTCTATGAATAGTACCATATTCTGCTTTATACCTGAATGTCACATATGATTCATTATGATGGCTGAATGTTAGATGACCTAACTTTTGCTTGGGGAACACATGTAACATATTCAACCATATTCTTATTCATAGTACCGTATTGAGCCAGAAATTTGATATTTGATTGTAAAGCATTAGAATTTTGAAAATAATTTAAAATGTTATTCATCATACATATTTGTTTTTAAAGGAGAAAATCAGTATGAAAATCAGAGATCTGGCCAACAATATGAAATGTCAGACATGGGGTCAAAAGGTAGCGGAAGCGTGGGTTTAACTAGACGCAAAACATGGGCAGCTCATAATGGAGCTGATTTAGAAACAGCTAGATTATTAGAAAATCTACCAAGCAGACAATTAGGTAGGATTTATCATCACTTGTTTAGATGCATTTTCAAGCTTTTTTACTAGTCCTTTTGCATCCGAAGCTCTGTATAATTTCAGTTTCCAGAAGTCCCCAAATTCCAGACTATGTCGGTTCCTGTATAACCAGAACTATATACTTGCCAAAGTTATTGTAGTAAATGATCATAGTGGTTCTCCATTGAAGAATAAAATTCTTTAACGAGTTTCATAACTCCCTTTAGCAAATCTTGATTTCATTTCTAAATAACTAATTTTTCATTTTGAAAATTTCATGAAAGGTAAATTGGCTGTCGCATCATATTTGACATTTGGTTTATATATTTAAACCTAGTTAATTGCATATCTAAGATGTTGAGAGTATTATTTGATAAATTAAAATCTACTTTGTTTAGACCTGTAAGAGTCTCTGGGCACAATTGGTTTCTATAAGTGCTTTTGCCCATGAGTGAGTACTGTCACAGATCGTCTGTTTTAAAACCTATAGTTTCATTATAACTTTCATTTGAAATAAGACGCCAGGTGTAACTAAATGAATATCGACATTGTCATGCTGATCTATAAAATACAGGAAGTCAGTACCAGTCACTGTTTTTTTATGATTTGACCGTAATGGACAATATTCCTTCCTACATATAGATAACATGAAAAGTAAAAACATTTGAACTCAGATTATTTGTATGTGAATGTGCTATAGTGTAGACATGTTTTTTTTTTGTAGAAAATTTAACTACTACCCTAGGAAGGGATACAGTAAGGCTAAATCACAGACGTTTAAAATCATTCCATGGACCATTTCATCATGGTGATGGAGAAGAAACTTCAACAGAAATAGCTAACATGGTTACGAATGATCCAGATTTTGATGATCGTACTGAAGATGAAATTCATACGTTGCTAAAAGGAATGACAACAACTCTTTCCAGTAAAAGAGCTATTCGGTAAGTTTGCTGTCTTTGGTGCTATTTGTTGTCTTAAGGTGACCTTGCATTGGTTGGCAAAGTGGCATTCTACACATTGTCATGAGATTATTCATATATTTTTCAAAGTTATACAAGATTTTCATTGCTATCACTGTCAAAATACAATATATTCTCTTTCAACAAAACTTTTTATGTCTGCATTTGAACATCAACTTTATAAAAGTGATTAGCATGATTGATTTGAATATATTGTACATGGAGTAAAGTTTTAGATTTATTATTTTATAGACGAAAAGTTAGCAGTAAAAGAAAGCGTCAACTTGGCTGGTTTACAAGAGTAAAATATAATATTGGAATGGTAAATATAGAAACTAGAATTTTAATATCTTGAGTCATGTCCATTGTCTACATATAGGGCACGTACAATGATTTCTTTTCTTAGTATATATTCAAATAAATCTTGAACCAATCTTAAACATGGGGGGTTAAATGGCTGATTGGTTAGCATGTACGTGCTGTATCATAAAGTCTCTCATTGAGTCAGCTGGCGTGGTTTCGATTACCCAGTTGTAAGTAGCAAGGAGGAGGGTCGCCTGTTCAACCTCGTGGGTTTTCTCGGGGTCCTCCAGTTTCCTGGGTAAATACCCCTACGTGCAAGCGAATTATGGAAATAAAATTGAACCATATGTTAGTCCCAAAATGACCTAGTTTGTGTCGAGTGGATGTTAAATCCCATCTCTGCATAAAATAACCTTGAATAAATATTAAGATACAAGTTTAATTTAGAATTTCATTTGTTCCTTTTCAGAGTTGGCAACATTTTAAGTACAGTATAGCTGAAGTAATGTACTCACTAGAACTATGGAAATCTCATCTCAAATTGATTGAAGGTCATTTTGGAACTGGAGTGACATCTTACTTTCTGTTTTTAAAATGGTTGTTTCTAATTAACATCCCAGTCTTCTTTCTTACTCTGGGTTTTGTAGTATTACCACAAGTGTTATACCGATGGTATGAACATATACCAACAGGTTACCAACAAACAAATACCAATAAGAGCTTTACCGGTGCTGAATTACTTGATGGTCGAGTAAGTCTTCTTTATAAATCTAGAACTAGTATATGGCCAACCACAGTAAAAACCATTTTCGAGCTCTGGAGTCATAGTTACATACGTATAAATTGGCAAAGATGTAAGGAAAATTCATATCAAAACCATTGGGATTTGTCAGAGGTTAGGGATATCGAATTAATTAATTATTAAACAAAATCTTGCACTTCAGTTATTTCCAATCGTCCTAAAAATAATTTTTTTCCATCATGTGAATCACAGATAAACAAATTGTAAGATGTGTCCGCATGTTCTCATGTAGTTTATTGTAGTAGAATACAACAGGATGTTATACAACAACTTTAAACTGTATACAGTATAGAAACTATATTAATTTTGTAAAGGGTCCTTTAACCCGAAACATGAAGATGAATAAACCACCTCTCATTTCAACCTAAAGTATGTTTTTGTACTACTGTTGTGCGGGGATTTTTAAATATCTATTAATTTATTACTTGATGTGGTTATTTATTTATAATAATTAGATTTAAGATATTTAGTATATTTATTTCTATATTATATTTCTAGGGTTGGTTTGAAAATACCGAGCTTTACTATGGTTTTTATACAAATGAAACAATAGAAATATCTTCAGGATATAAATATCACATGAGATATGCTTATTTATTTACTTGTGGTGGCTATTATTTACTCTGTCTTATTATCTTAGCTACAAGGTATAGTATTTCACTAAGTTTTTTAAGTAGCAGTATTGTTATATTAATTGATAGAGATAAACAGCGCCCAGTTAAACATACTAGATTATGGTCACCTACAAACTTATTGAATCTTTCAAACATCCATATTTCTCAAATACAACATTTGGAAGCTCTTAATTCTTAAATCGGTTGACTAACAAACTGACGTGGGGGGGTTGGATGGCCGAATGGTTAGCATGTGCACGCTGTATCATCAAGTCAATTGGCGTGGTGGTTTCGATTCCCTGGTTGTACGTGATAAGAAGTAGGGTCGTCTGTCCAACCTCGTGGGTTTTCTCCGGGTCTACCGGTTTCTACCCACTGCGAAAGATCCCTACACGCAAGCGAATTATGGAAATAAATTGAACCATGTGTTAGTCCCGAAATGACCTAGTTTGTGTCGAGTGTACGTTGAACCCCATATCTCTCTCTTTCTCACAAACTGACGTTTGTTTACATTGACGTTATAGAGATATAAACAATGGACATTATTCAAGGATATTCCAAATACTGGAGCTTACACTGTCAGAATTTCAACAATTATATGATTAAAGACTTATAAATCAAAACAAATTATTCTGGCTTACATAGACTTATTATCGCTTCGATCATTTGATATTGGGATTAAGATTTGATCATCCTAAATAGTTCATATCTTAAAATTTTTCTTTGCTCTTATTAATTTGTTTGTTAATGGATAAATGGATCCCTATTGGTTTTGGACATTTTCCCCAAAACAATTATTGAAGCTGACATATGACCATCGATAACATATATTACTCACACTATGGAGTTCTGTTTTTGTCAGATTTTCACAAGCAACGTTTATTTTGGTATGTATATAGTTGTTATTAATTTCGACCATTTTTGCAAAATGCTTATAAAATATATTGCAGTATTCTACGATCGTACAGAAAGTATTATATAGAAGGAAGTGGTGATTTTAATTATTATTTTAAAGTATTTAATGGTTGGGACTATGGCATAACATCACAAGAAGCGGCCATATTAAAACATAAAAGTCTATATTCAGAGTTGGTTGTAAGTTAAAATTTTATATAATTAAATATAAAACATTTTAGTATCATCTATTAAAGGGGCTAAATCGCTAATTTTTGGGACCTAGAAATTGACACAAATGGGTTGCAACGCATATAATAATGTAATATGAATGTATTTAAACTGATTTACATTCAACCGTTTCTGTTTTTACTCTAATTTCTAAACAGTTATGTTCGCCGAAATACGCCAGAAGTCTCAATCGAATGGCAATTTCTAGCGTTTGGTTATTCCAGTCTACACCGATAATATTTATTGCGCATGCTCTCCAGATAAGAACATGGCGTCACCGTTTGAATGACTTGTGGAATATGTCCAGCCTCGTTTTTCGTATCCCTTATGATGAACAGTGCTGAAACGCATTATGGTACATGATTCGTGTACCAATCGAAAAATGATTATTTTTTCTTAAATATTGGATATCAGAAGTCCATCGATGCCCGATAAGTTCATGGCATCAATGTTGATTTAAATTGACAAATAATTCGTGTTTTCAATGTCGAAGATTTGGGATGATATTGAGTTATAGACTTAGCTACTTTAAGGAAACTTGAGCATGAGAAGAAGTAAGACAATTTATATGTAATTTCACAGAGTTGAATTCTATGACCTGATAACATCATGTATTTTATTATTGTTGGAATATTTTGTAGGAATATTTAGCGGGTTTCAAAGCTCCAAAGGATAAAAGTTTAACTGCAAAATGTCAGATCTTCTGGTTAAGAGTTCTGACTAATACAACAGTTTTAGCTCTGCTAGCCTCATCTGGCTATCTTATCTACTATATCTCAGTTACTATGGAAACAGTAAGTGTATATATCCATTAAAGACTAATGGTGCATTCAAACTTCTAAATGACCCAAGTTGCTTGAGATAAATATTCTCAAAATTAAAATTAAAATGTACACGAAGGCTTAAATTGTTTGTGACCAGGAGTTGGGTCACCTGGGCTGTTTAACCTCAGATTTCCTCTCACTAGTCGCTGCCTATAGATTATAGAAAGAAGCTTATGATGTAAATTTTAAATTTACCCAGTTTTGTTGCATTGATGTTAGTTCTTGTCTTAGATTACACTTTGATTACAGTTGACCAAAAGACGCTGATTACATGAGAATTTAATTTTTATTTTGACGATTTTATACAATCATCCATTTACTTGGTGTTGTTTTTTTTATCTTAGTATATTAGAGAAGATATTGTGTGGTAAGATATATTTTTATTATATATTACAGAAAGATATTGCGTGGTTAGATGTATTTGCTATGCCTCTATGTATAACAGCTATAAATTTATTATTACCGCTAGTGTTCCATGGATTAGAACAACTCGAGGATTATAGTAAACCAAAAACAGAATTATATGTTCATATGGTCAGGTAATAAAACATTAGAATATTATATCACACTCAATTATATTTTTCACTGCACCATTCATCATGATTACATTGCAAGATATAATATTTGATTATCAACAATAGATTTTGATAAAATTGTATTAAGTGGGATTTGGTGGTTCATTGCTATTAATACATCAGTTAGCCATGTCCCCCATTTAGGGCGTAGCTTTATGTAACAGCTTTATGAACCCATCTACATTCAAATAAAAAAAAAACCCAGTCTTTTTCAGACAATGATACTTACTTAAATAATTAAGTATCTGAAATCTATTAATATTTACAGAACTATGACTCTAAAGGCTGTAACTTTGTGTGTTTTGGTCAATTTCTGGTATGGAAGGTCATCAAGAAGAATGGTGAGCATTGTCATTATGTTTCAAAAAGTATTTTTATACAAACCCGTATTGTAAATAATGGTGTCACCTCAGGACGTCCATCAATCTTTATTTTCACGGCTTGTTGTTATTGAGGGGGAAATAAACCATCAAACTTTTATTCCTCATTAGGAGTAATTGAGATTTTTGCTTTTTAAAACAAACTGTGATGGTTGTTCAAGGTTCAGTACCTGATCACGTTCTTAATTAGGTTCCTAAATTAATTTTATTAACGACAAAGATGATCTCAGACAAATGTCTCTTATATTGTGACTAATGTCGAGAGTTTTCAGCATGATTGTTTTAGTGGTATAAATAATAATATTCTATGATGTGTTTGTTGATATTTTTCAGTGTTGGGAGACATTTATGGGACAAGAGATATATCGTCTTGTTATTGTTGATTTCATTTTCACACTTTTGGTGACATTCTTATTTGAATTTGTTAGAAAGTAAGTTATTTTAATATAATGTATAATGGTATTTTACACATGAGACTGACTTTGTGGCAAGTACCTTGGGAAAAGCCCTTCTTTTCATATTTTTTTTAATACCGGTACATATTTATATTTACATTAAGTTTTTATTGAGCTAATCTCGGTTGTTACTTGATTGATAGAAGAAATGATTTATTGAATAATGTTACTTTTATTCAGAATAATGGCAAAATATTGTGTAAAAAGGCTATCATTACCAGAGTTTAATATTGGAAGAAATACACTGGATCTGATTTATTCCCAGACTCTGTGTTGGTAAGCGATCTCTTTTACTTTTGATATCAAATAGTTCATACTTTGTATTTCCATATAAAAGAATTCAAGTTAATTGTGTTGAGCTGTAGAATGATTTGATATGCATAAAAATCATATGCCTTTGTTAAAACTGGATTACAACTACGTATTATATTATTACATACATTATGTTCTGAATGAATTTACTCATTTATGTGTCTCACAAATTTAAAAACTTGTGCATGTATGATGTACTATTTACAAATTACAATTTTTCAGGTTGGGAACATTTTATTGTCCGTTATTATCCTGTATTGTTTTGATCAAGCTGTTTATTATCTTCTATGTTAAAAGGGTAAGTGAGTATGAAAAAGTATAATGAATAAAATTGAACTGATAGAAGAGGAAATAAATAGGCTGCACATGATTTTCTCTTGAATATAGAAGTAATAGAGATTGTTTTCAGTAATTAGGGAATTTTCAATATCCTTTCAAAATTGTGTTGTTTGTTGGTTCAGGATTGTGTTATTTGTTGTTTCAGAGCACTATTTGCTTATTCAGATTTGTGTGTTAATTGTTTCAGTTTTTTTGATGGTTTAGATTTTAGACAGTATATTAATGAATTCTTTTGTTTGTAATTACTTCAAATAATGTACTACAGGATTGTGTTTTTTATTGTTTTAGGTTAGTGTATTACAGAATTGTAAGCCATCCGTAAGACCATGGAGAGCTGCAAGGTCACACACCATCTTTCTGGCTTTTTTGTTTTGTTTCTTCTTTTTATCTACTGTAGCTGTAGCATGTGGTATTATTTTGTAAGTACACATGTCATTTAATAAATCTTTACTGATTTACCATGGTTTTTAAAACAAGGCAAATAACTCTGTTGTTATGTCCTTAAACTCATATTATCTCCCCTTAGACCACATAGTGCCTTGTAATACGTTTCAATAAACACAAAAAATAAAATTATTTTTGGTATCAAGTGTTTTAAATAGAGGTCACATACCCTGCTTGCCCAAAACCCCCTTCATTGCTTATTAATCAATGGATGTTTGATTACATCCCAGAGGACTAAGTCTACTTGATTAGATCTCTTGATTTTTTTATTTTAAATATTTTTTTAATGAACATATTAGTATTATTATTATTTTAATGTCTGAAATGAAACCAAGAGGATAAATTAGTCAATAATCCCATTGCCTTCACATTTGTTTATTTACATGTTTGTATAGTTTAAACAGTCTTTTATAGAACAACTAATAAAAAATAAAGCTGAAGGCAATGAGGTCATTGGCAATTTTATCTTCTTGGTTTTACTTCAGACATTGTAATGATAAAGTCTCGCCATCTGTGTGGTGTCTAATAAATAAGGTGATATAATGGTAGGAAAATTTGTGTTTAATATGTATTAATATACAAATATATTCACTGTTTGATAATTATAAATTCTCTTCTTATAGTGTTCTACCTAGTGAAGAATGTGGTCCATATAAAGGACAGAATCAGACCTACGAAATTGTAACTGAGTTAATAGATGATTGGAGGGAAGATGAACCATGGTTAACCTATATTATAGATTTTATATCATCTCCTGGTTGTATAGCTGCTATTGTTATACTTTTAGGGTAAGTGTATATTTTATAATACCATATATCATGTCTTGGCGTACTTGGAAGCCATAGTGGCTCAGTGATTAAGGGCCTGGCAAAGAACAGTGTCTAGTTATTCAGATATGATGAATAAGCAAGGTGCTGCAGGATAGATCATCCCTCTCCTACATCTTTATGGACCTGCTCCATGTCTGAGAATAAGTTACTTCCCCACTTTATTGAGGAATGTCTATTTGGGAACAGAAGCAACTGTACAGTTGTTAAAGATTATCCTTGTTCCATGAGATTGTTATAATACAATGCCGTACTATTCGCCTGGGTATTTATTACATAAGTTCACCAAGAAGAAAATGTTTGTTTCGTGTCTTGTTGAAGTAAATAAATTTAGCTATTCAGCTCATTATTCATGCACAAATAGATCCCAGTATTAATTATGGCAGTATACTTACCTATGCTGTGGTCCCACAAGATAAATTTGCTCTCTGGTTTTATTGTTACATACTAGTTGGTTATATAATTATGTAAAGGCCAACACCACCACGCGACATTTTACAATACATACTTTGTCGTATAAATTGTTTGTTTATTGAATGTATTTCAGAATGGGGACATATTATATACGACTAGTTATGATTGGTCATAAAGAAATGGTGATATTATTAGAACAACAACTGGCTCTGGTTAGTTAATATTTAACCTATATCTTTAACCTGAATTTCGAATAATGAAACGAAGAAACCTATTGAATTTCAGTAATTATTGATAATGTTTAGAGTTATTGTCCTTGATCACTTGGTAAAATCCTTTGAATGGTTTAGCAACAAAAGTTTTCATCAGATTTGCTTGAACTTTATATTCTGTTCAGATTGGTGAGACCAGGGCTGTCGGTAATTTTTCACAGTTGATTAGCAGCACTGCTAATCAAAAAGTCCAATTTCGCCAAATTTGATTAGCAAATTTAAAAATTGATTAGCAGTTTTTCAGTTTCAATGTAAAACACCTAAATAACAAGATATTACTTTAATTCATAACAAATATGATTAGATTCCATTCTGACTATTCTTAGATTTTTTAGCACTGCCACAAGTACTTGTGACAGTTTGTGAATGTGATGTAGAAATTTAGTTAGGTCTTATGTCTGAAGCCAATTCTTGACAAAGACTTTCGAAGCCCCACTCATTTTAATTGTTATTTTTTTGTTACGTTAGAAATCTTCGTTAGAAAACAATTTCGTCTGCTTTTTATCTTGTATTACTATTTTTCTTCAATCGGACACACCTCGATTAACTAGACACACACGATATAAACAATAATGTTTTACGGGAATTTTTACTTTGATTTATCATTTTACAATACGTTAACATGTATTTATTTTTTTATATTTTATTTACAATACGTGGGGGATACATTGGATTTATTTCTTTCAAAATGAATATGATATAATTACTTGATGTCTCGCAACGTGAGTGGTACTACTTGATTCCCTATTTCCGGTTTAATAGTCCCTATTCATAGAGTTATGTGTTATATAGTATTGTGTCTGGTAGTTCGAGAAGAAAATGTCACACGGAGAATTCAGTTTTGTTTATAAAATTTTATTCAACATTTTATACACGTTGAAAGTGTTGAGTAAGCCTTCTAGTCTTCAAAATGTGGATTATTCTTGTGTCAATATCCAAAATGACAGGCATATTGATGATTCGCAGTAACTGCGAATCAAAAACGTTAGATTTTAATTTTTGGTTAGCAACGGACAAAATATGTATCGCAAATTGCGCTGCGATACTGGTTGTCGGCAGCCCTGGGTGAGACCTATATAGGATTTCAACAATTTTTTGTCAATTACTTCAGTTATTGCCCTTAGTCACTTTGTAGAATATTGTGAATGCTCAAACACAATGATCTGATCTACTGGAAATTTACATTCTTTGTTTTGATTCTTATGGCAAATAAGACTATCTTTTTACATCAATTTATGAAAATTATTTCAAGGCCCTTGTAGAATCTTATCATTGCTCCAATAAAGTTTTGCAGTGTGCAGTTTTTGCATCTTATTTACTTCAAGAATTATGATGTTACAACTGTTATGGATTACATGGATAACTAAACTGTTGTGGAGATTTTTGTTGTTTATAATATCTTCAACTTAAAGGCAATTAAAGTTAACTTAAAGGTCACCGTTTTCATGTTATACTGATGCATACTTAAAGATACATTATGGGAGATTTTTATAAGGAGTTAGCCATTCTTGCTTTAACAGTTCAAAAGTAGACGATGAAAGAAGAATATATTGAAAATTTCAGTCAAATTACTTTATTCTGAACATAGTTATCAACAGTGTAATTTTTGACTAGAAATGGGATTGAATTCCATCTTCACCGATTCTTAGTATGGCCGATCGTTTGATTGACAGGCGTTAACTCCACCTACTTAATCTCTGCTGTCTTTTGTCTGCTGTCATCATATCCAAATTTGTGTTTTACCTTTTTGGATTTTTATAACAATTGGACAAAATGAGTGAGAGGGTAAATTTTCATTCTTATTTGTATTTTGTGCATGCATTAAATCAATTGAATATAGGACATAATATTATAATACAATATGATAAATCTATAGGTATACACCAGTGGCGTCGTGCCTATTGGGGAAATAAAAATATTTTTATTATATTATTAAGACAGAAGACCTGTCCGTCTGTATTAGTCATCACACGGTCTCTAGGAATTGTATAATTTGTCATTATCTGTGTTTAGTTTATTGCACTTTAAATAGTTTAGATGTCATTTGTTAAGGCATCGCTAAACAGCGGCCTCGCTTCCTACTCTCTATCATTTAGCCTCGATCCGGGAGTATGACGTCAACGTAACGGTTAATCTCCGCTCACAACGCCATTTAAAATTAAATCAGTCAACGAAATTCTGTTTAAATCCAAGCTGAATCCAAGCCATCCGTGAGTCTACGGAGTTGATTTTGTGCTTGTTGTGTAAATAAAGATCTAATTTATAATTTCTATGACATCTGAAGCCTAAATAAAGACTTGCAATAATCAGATTTAGCTCTTGCATAATGTATGTTTAAAAAAAACTTTAATCTTTTCCGGTGACCTTTAATTATATGTAAATCTTTAAGAGGTTCAAAGATTTTCATGTTATTTTATTAGGAGGGAAAAGATAAAAACTTTCTATTACAAATACTTCAAAATGTCAATAAACAGAATAGAAAGATAGATAAAAAGACACCTGATCGACCATTTGCTTCTCCTTCTGATGATGTAGAAAGTATTACATCTCCAGGTTAGTATTTTCACTTCTATGATGTCTATTATAAGCCTACATTTAATGTGGATGTTTATTGTTGTCACCTACATCCGTCGGTCCATTTGAATTTTTTGTGATTGCTTTATACACCTATATTCTTCACAGATTGTTTTCAAATTCTTAGAAATTTTTTTTTTTGTGATGAGGAAGAATCTTGTTGAAACTTTTTAAATCTCGTTAGAAAAGAACTTGAAATGGATTTTTAAAAGACTTGGCAATAGAGGCGTAAGGGGGAACCTGATTGAAATTCAGAAAAATTTGATGGCACATTTATTTTCAAATTTATGAAATCTTGTAAATATTCTACAGGAAACAGTTCTCAGTGGATTTTTTTTTTTGACTTGGTGAGATTGTTAACTGGGGCATAAGGAAGTAACTTTTTGAATTTCAATATTTCCAAATTGTGGATTTTGAACGCGTGTCTCTGACTTATATTTGAACTTACTGGTAATATATTTGATAAAACTTGTTTAATGGGAGGGGACGAATAATGTATAATGTATGTGCGTTATATGTCCTACCTCATGTGTTTTCTCCAAGCCTTCCCACAGCTAAAGACCCCTACACGCAAGCAAAATATTGAAATAAAATTGAACCATGTATTAGTCCCCAAATGACCTAGTTTGTGTTGAGTGGACGTTAATTTCGAGTTGACTGTAATATCAGACTATATTGCTGCTGATGGGCATACAAGGGGCCTGAGAAGTCCCTGTCTTATTTTTTCAGATATGATTTTTAGACCTGTTGATCTTATCAATTGTTTGTTTGATTCTGATTGGATTTTTTTTTCATTTCCTAAAATAGCACTAGAAAAATACAATATTGGAAAATTTATTACCAATAATTTTGTTTCTTTAATATAAACTTTAGTTAAAGAACATAAAATTGTTTCAAAATTTAAATCTTTGCTTTGGCATAGTGCTGTATTAAGAAAAATATTTTTTCTGTGGATGCATTTTTGGGGATTATATTTTATTATCAATTGCATATGCTGCCTCTAATGGGTGTTTACAGATATCTTAATGCATTTTTTCCCTTATAAATGAAGAGAAGAGTATTTAATTTTTTGCTTTTACAAAATGTTGAATGTATGAACAATTGCATAAATTAGTAATACATGGTTAAAAATCCTGTATTTTTTAAAAATGAATCAAATTGTTTCTTCTAAAGTCTACTGAATCTCTTTAACCAATTACTGAATATTTGACCAATGAAGATAAAGATTGATTATCAGAATACATGTATACCTTAGTTTAATAATTACTATAATATTTCGTTAGATGGTGACCTTTCTTTCGAAAGACTATGATATTTCAATAGATGTTGACCTCTCTTCTCAAAGACTTATCAAGTAAAGCAGGGTTTGAGTCATATTATATCTGTCTTGTGGTTGTTTTTTTTTATATTTTTTTGGAATGAAATTATTTTGATTATATTTCTTTCCCCTGAAGTTTCTAGCATTTTATAAATATATGTATATGCTATGTTTAAGTGTATTATTTTTTGTTGCATGATATCTGGATATTGTAAAAGACCTACTAATATTACATTTCTTATCAAATTCAGGGATTATTTTGAAATGTTTTGGAAAGTATATAAATGTGTAGGCCATTCAAAAGGAAATTTTTTAAAGGATACAAGACATAGATTTTTTAGTTCAAAGGTGCCAATATTGATATGGTGAATAGAGATCCAGATTTTTCAGAAATACACCTTTGTTTCAAAAGGACATTGTTTATGTGTTAACAGAAGACAATTTTTTATGAGAGAAGCACAAGTGGAAATTTTCAGGGTGATAACTATTACCCTTTACCAACAAGAGCCTAACCAACCTGCTAGTAGTAACACACATGCTACTTTCGGTACAGTACTATTGAGACTATAAACCTGGTTATTGCATCAATTCCAACTTGCTTCTTCAGTTGTTTCTAAAGGTTGTCCAAGGACTTCAGTTTAGGATGTCTTATAAGACCAATTAGAAATAAATGTATCCTACAAAGAGAGAAATTTTTGATTTGTTGCCATGGATTGTGCTAGTAGTAATCTGTCTTTTGATTTTAAGTAAAGCAGTGTTGTAATAAATGTTGTGTTAATCACTATTATTATTAACATCACTAACAATATCTGGGATTATCTATGTATAGACAGTGCTATCAAACTTTAATATCTTTATATGTGAACTTTAAACATTAACATTCATAGTAGCAGTAACACATATATTTTTATGGTAATTATGAAATATAAAATTCATATTACAGAACAGCATGAAGAAGGACTAATCTAATTACTAATGGAAAACTAAATCTTAAGATATTTAAGTCTGTTTTTGCAGATATAAGAAAATAACTTACATGTATATTACAGAACAGCATGAAGGAGGACTAATCGAATTACTAATGGAAAACTAAATCTTAAGATACTTATGTCTGTTTTTGCAGATATAAGAAAATAACTTTCTGTTACTTGATTATTATAGTGTCTTTTTATAATAATACTAATTTTCTTTGAATTTCATATGTATATATGACACCTAATTCACAACATTTTGATAATTTAGCAAAGTTTATTAATTTGTAACCAAACAAATAAGAGTACTTGAAGTTTAGAAATAATTAAAAATTAAAAAATTAGTTTGCAAACAACCTTTTCTTTACTACACAGATTAGATATAGTTCGCTAATAATTATATGTAGTGAAAGGTATTTACAGACATAGGGAGTCTGTTTCCTTTTTTTTTCCTTTCAACTTGTACCCCTGTCTATTTATTTTGTTTGTTTTCTAGGTGGAAGAAAATTTATTCGACAAGTTGCTGAAGCTTCAGCTCGTGGTGGACAGATGTGAGATAATTTTTTAACAGCAATCTCGTTGATCAGAATTTTTATATATTTATCTGAATTTCATACAAAAATGGGATCAAAATGTTTTCCGTTTGTATATGTATATTTAGCTTTTTTCACGTTGAGGAGATTTGATAAGCTAACTTATGTTATTATGTTAATAAAATTTTAGATACTATATTTTACCATTTATTATTTAATATCTTGAATGATAGTAATTATTTTATTGTAATATTTTACTAAATCAAAATATGAGTATGGATGTTTATATTTATTACATTGTAATTAAATTGAATGAAATAAGCTTTAATGTTTAACATGAAACTCTAGTTATGCTTTAACTGCCAATAAAAACTTGACCTAATGTATAGTCTAGAAAATCCAGAAAAAAATGTAATGCTTTACCTTGTAAAATATTTTATTGCTATTTTGCTATTTATTAATATTTTATATGGTGGTTGAGGTTGCATCTACACTGTACATTGATTTGTCAACTTTAATTTTATGTGTTTTAAAGCTCCTAATTATATTTTTGCACAGATGATTTCCACTAGTAAATTTATGAAATGACATTTGATTTCTTACTAGTAAGTAATTAGATGCTCTTGTCACCACAGTGACTATTATGCCAATTATAGAACTGAAACAAGGATTCGATATTGACAATCATCATAGCACCTTCAAAAATTGTTAGTTTTATGTATTGCATGTTCTTATTGATTCATTTGATATATATTATGAAATTTGATTAAATATGCAATCTACTGTCTTTCATATTCCAATTTCAAGCATTATCTATAATCTATGTCATTGCTGTTTGATATTTCTAATAGCATTGCACATATTTACGATTACATTTGATATATGTATTCTATATTGTGTTCATTATTATATATCTATATATACTTATTTACAAATAAAAGTATTTTTGATAACAAATGTGTGTTTTGTAACTCCTGTCACTAATGTGTGTTTTGTAACTCCAGTCACTAATGAGTAAGTCGCTAGTCACAAGATCAATAAAATTAGTCAAATAGAAATAAACTACTTTAACTCATCTCAACACTTAAATTATATCCTCTTGATTTGGCATGCTTTGGATGGTATTGTACCATTAACCAAACAAACTGATGTTGATTTGTGTCAGCAGTACAGGTCATAAATTCCATAATGTGGATAGGGACTTATATGCAGTCCAATAATACACCCACCAGCATCAAAGCAAATGTAGCTTCTAAAATCATTGTCAACAAATTGTACAAGCTTAAAGCTAAAATGTTGATGAAATCATAACTGTGTTCAAAATGTACTAATAGTTTTGACATTTGATAAAATTCGTCATCATTTTTCCAAATGATTCCATTGAAAACTCTATCCTGCATTGGGTTAAAAAGATGACTTGAAAGATAACTCCACAAATCACATTCAGAATTTACAAACCAAATATTTTTAAATTCAATAGGGTTCTTCCTCGTACTCAATAAAATTCTTATCAAGATGATGTATGTCTGAATGTAAATAAACCCAATATTGTAACTTGAAAGTTAAAATTTATCCATTTGAATAATTTTTGGAACATTTTTTTTTTCTTTAGAACAGTGTTTTTGATGACTATGGTTTATTCTGGGATTTTTGACCTGTAAAGAAAACACACCAACTTTTAGCATAATTTTTTCAACTAATCCATTACAATTTTAACAATTTTAATGTTTTCCGAAATTCTACCTGGATTATCGCCCTTATCATTGTTAACTTTTTGAAGTTCTAACTTATGACCTCCAGTAGCAGAACGCCATTCCGCAGATGACCAACATCAATACCCGTCACATTCACTCATAGTCATTGCTAAGTTTTTCCATGTCTTCTGTTTTATTGTTTATTTTCATTTTGAGTGAAGCCTGCCTCATTACAGGCCCAGGACTATACAGGACTGTATGATACAGGGCGCACATGCTAACCATTTGGCCATCCAACCCCCCTTTATGTAGAGGAATTACAATATTCATTTCCAATTAACAAACATGACAGACCTATAATCTGCCCCTTGGCTGTGCTATTCCAACAAAATAGCTCAGATGATAACATGTCCTGCTTAAACAAGAGTTTCAACATTTGAATTAAAAATAAAATATTTTGTGTACATAAACTTTTATTGGATGCTTTTGATAAAATAGTAAGTTGTGGTAATTGTATTGAATATATTATGTGAAAAGCCACTTCATTCATAATTAGTAAGCTTAACATAGAAGTTACATGATTTAAGGCAAAAAAAACCAAACATTTGTTTTTCATAAAGTTAATCCCACCTTGGAAAGAAAAGTAAACAAACAGTGAAATTGACTGGTTGGGAATTAAAATTAGTAGTAGTTTTGTGCAAAAACATTCATAAATTTGTCAGATAATTCAAGTCATGTTCTTTAAGAAAACAAATTAATGTTAACCAAATGCATGAGAATTTGAATGAATTTAAAGTAAAATTCCTTGATTTTAACACCTTTATTTCTTATTAACCTAAACAAAACTGACTTGTAGAAGTGAAAAAATACTTTGCAAATGAAATAATTTCATGTTCTTTAAGAAAACAAATTAATGTAAACCAAATGCATGAGAATTTGAATGAATTTAAAGTAAAATTCCTTGATTTTAACACCATTATTTCTTATTAACCTAAACAAAACTGACTTGTAGAAGTGAAAAAATACTTTGCAAAGAAAATAATTTCAATAAAGAATTCCTGTACCAGTAATGGTTTAGAAGTTTGTGTAAAAAAAATTTTTTTAGACATAGGAAATTATTACAAAAAAAAAATTTAAATTCAGATCTAATATAAATATTTATATATACAATATCACAGTTCACAAAATAGAAACCGATCTAGATATAACAATAAAAATACATGTAGACACTAAAATAAAATACAAGATATAAACTTTAACTAGAAGGGAATAATTGAGTGTATACTGGTGCAGTATTAATACATGGATGGAATTATCAGTATCACATTAATTACACTTTAAAATGTATTCAATCAATCTTTGAAAAGTCAACAAAATTTTTAATAAAATATTCTTTTTCTTAAATATTCAACTAGAAGGGAATAATTGAGTGTATACTGGTGCAGTATTAATACATGGATGGAATTATCAGTATCACTTTAAGTACACTTTAAAATGTATTCAATCAATCTTTGAAAAGTCAACAAAAATTTTTAATAAAATATTCTTTTTCTTAAGTATTCAAATACACGCAAAGAAAATATATCTTAATGTTGGAAATAGAATTATTTTAATTCTAATATTAAAGATGTTTATTCGAATTAAAGGCTTAATAAAGCGAATGGATGGATAAAATTAAACCTGAATTGACTAGATAGGAAATACTTTGATTTAAATGTTGAATCATACAATAGCTAGAATCAGTACATTGTCTACATTAAAGAAATTTCATATACAATAACCCACATACCTAAAATAGCTATACCTATAATCAACAATTTAAATACAATCATAATTTAAAGCATTACCATAATCACACATAAAATACAATCTATAAGTGGTCTTATATTGATGAGTTATCTTGTTGAATGAATTATAAAATAAAAAGTGAATGAACAATGATGATGAATGTTAATACCAAAGACTTTATAAGAGTATGTTCTTTTTTTTTAACAGAAATTTGAACTAATTAAAAAACTTTGGCTCATGTTTACTCAGTTCTGATCAAATTCAACATGAAATTAATATATTCTTACAAACCTGGGCCTAGATGTACAATACTTTCCCAAAAATCTGTCTCATATTAGTTTCAAGTTATCTAAAAGTGTTGTGTTAATTAAATATTGATGAATATCACAAGCTAATCATATCACAGGTATACAGCTGTATCAAATATTATATTTCAAACCATTAAAATATTTATTACTATCAAATATTCTATCTGAATAACATAATAGATATAAAAAATTCATAATAAGTTTATTTCCTCTTAAAACTTGAGTTCGTGTCACTGCCTAAAGACCTAACAGGAATATTATAAATGTTGGAATTGTTTAAATCGTGTAAAGATTATTTTGTGAAACCAATAAGTAATATATTAACTCTTAAAACAGATTTTTATTACTATCAGATTTTCTAACTGAATAATGTGATAGATATAAAAATTCATAATAAGTTTATGTCCTTAAATCTTGGACCTTGTCACTACCTAAAGATCTAACAGGAATATTATAAATGTTGGAATTGTCTAATCGTATAAAGATTGTTTTGTGCAACCATTAAGTAATATACTAACTTGTAAAACAGATTTTTAATATACTTCTATTTAAGATCTACTGTCGGTCACAAACTCATAGTTCGATAAAACTTTGAGAATTTTAAGAAGAGGTACCTTTAGTATAAATATATCATAAATATATCGAGTCGAGTATATAACTTCTATTTAAGATCTACTGTCAGTCACAAACTCATAGTTCGATAAAAAAAAATATGAGAATTTGAAGTAGAGGTACCTTTAGGATAAATATACCATGAATATACAGAGTAGAGTATATAACTTCTATAGCGGCAGTTAAATATTATCACAGAATACCTCTATAAAACATTTATATTGTCAAATATAGAAATAAGAGAGAGATATCTTAAATATATAGTAGTTTATTTAATAGTAAAAATTATTAATCTTGAAATATTAAACAGTGTTTTGTGGTTATACTTGATTAAGTGAATACAGTAATGGTGTAAAATATTATTTGTCATCTTCATCTTCCTCAATATCTTGTCTAATTGTATCAAGAAAAGATTTCCCTCTTTGAGACATTTTATTGTGCTGATCATCATAACTTTTCCGTCTCTCCTAAAAAGAACAAATATTGTTACAAATTTATCTCTTGTCATAATAGATGCAGAACTAAAAGAAAAAACCTAATATACAAAGAAACAGGAAAGCTTCAAATTAGGCCTACCTAATTTATGAACTTACAGTACTTGAATATAAACCTAAAAATCATTACATTGGTAGTAGGAATCTATTGCACCAGAACGAAAGATGAAACCTTTGTAATGAATATCAGTATTTCCAATCTACGGCATAAATTATGGTATCTAATTTAGCCATCTTGATACTTCCATTCCCAGAGTATTTATTTCAGGAATAATAATTAATATACTTTCCAACTTTGCCAATTACAATGGTGTTATTAAAGCCTAAGCTATGGTAAAGTACCTCCATATTAATTATATATATGTATTCTGTACCCAATTGGTCAAATCAACCACTGAATTTTAACATATATCAAAGTGATAAGCACTCAGTAAATAAGCTTCAATCTCTTCACCAGATTCAGTTACAATACAAACCAAAATTTACCTGTATATCTTTTTCATGATAGGGATTAATAGATGATGTAGATGTATTGGTTGTACTTTTAACAGTTTCCTCATCTTCACTTCCTACTTCGGCTTTCTGTGACATATCAATCGACTGGAAAATACAACAGTTTATCAAATCAGTGCTGAGACACTTGGTTGGTCATGATCATATTTTAAAATCACCATAAACAGACCTGAATTTCACTAAATGTTTTTAAATTTCAAAGTTGAATAATTTTAATGAATATCTGATGTCTCTGCATAGCAACAAAAATGGCCACCAGCAGCAGCTATATAGTCTGAAACGTCAACAAAGGTTGTTGCACATTTATTCTCTTGTAGAAAGTGGGAGCATTTACAAGGACACATAAAACTGACCAAAAGTAACAAACCATGAAGTAGTTATCAGAAATAATTAAAATTTGACTGGCTACTAGGAGTTCCTATGGATAACGTGTTATAAAAACATGTACAGGAAGTCAATGATAAACTTAGCGGTTCTCGTTATCGGAAATCATTAAAACCCAATAATATAAACACTCTTAGATATTAGATATTAACTGTTTCAACTAATAAAGGGCTATAACTCAAGACATTAATTAACAATATATGACCACATCGAGATGTGACCATATAAATATGGACAATTCTTACCTTATCATCATTCCATCGTGAGCTGTCCCCTGGAGGTAGATCCCCTGCTAAGTTTCTAAAATACAATCATAATAAATATTTAATTTCTGTAGACAAATAATTATTTATAATCAGTTGTATTACCAGTAGTTGTTAAAACAACTAATGATTTTAATTTTTATTATTATAAAAATTATAGTGATACTACTTACTTTCCATATATTTGAGCAAAACTACTCTGTGGATTTTCTAATTCCTTTTCACAGGCTCGTAAAAAGTCAGCGACTGTATGTTGCTCAAATTCTTCGGCTAAATAAACAGGTTTACGACCAAAAGTGTCTTCTGCTGTTAAAACTGCTCTGTTAGCTACCAACCATTTTACACATTCTAAATGTCCCCTGAAAACAAAATGGCTTATTAATCTAAGTACTTTTTAAAAGTAAAAAAAAATCAAAAATGACATAGATAACATAATTCAATTTAAATGATTTTACATATATCTTACCCTCTAGCAGCTAAATGCAATGGGGTCTGTTTTTCTGCAGTTTCACCGGTAACTGATGCACCCATAGCATGGAGAATCTGCAAATATCAGACACATAGAAATGTTAGCAAGGCTGACATCCTTGTGATATTCAGAACAGTAAGACCCTGTTTTCTGTTAGTTTTTTTTTTACAAATGTTGATTTCATTCTTGAAACATCTATCGTTTTACCACTAAATGATTTACCTCTCCTAAGATACATGTATGACCTTTCTGTGACTTTGCCAATATTATGTTCAATTTGAACTTCAAATCAATAGAGCTAACACTAATAGATATTTTAAATTAATTTGCCAACATACATCGGTGGTCGGTATTTTTTTTTGACACCACTTCATATACTTTGCACTATTATCAACAAAAATAAGTAAGTTAAGACCAATAATTGAGATGTGCACAATGGAAGTGTAAAAACTAACTTAATTCTTCTCAAGAACTTAATTAATCCTTATAAGACATATAGAGGTAGATTTCACAAATTAAAAACATTTATATGGATATACTATTTCTGAATTTATTAACATGCTACGTTTCGATACACATACAGATATCGTTATCAAGCAAATAATGATATATAACAAAAATGTGGTGCAATATATAGTTAACAATTGGAAACCATGTAACAGATTAATCATTAATTAAGAATAAACAAGATGAGAGAAGTAATAATATGGATAAACAATTACAAAAGGATTAACAAGATGAAAGACTGTAATGTATTGATAACAATTAGAAATATTAGCAGATCATATTGTCTCCTGGCAAATTATGTCTCTATTTCCAGCTTGGTCAAACAAATGAACCTCTCCTGAATATCAAAACCAAGATCTCCTTTTTTCTTTAATAAATATTGTTGAATGTGTACTGATAAGCTTTTCAGGTACTTACCATCATAATATTAACATGACCATGTAATGCAGCTAAATGCATAGGTGTATAACTAGTTGGTGTTTCTACATCTAGTTCTACACCAGATGATGCCAACCACTTTGTCACACCTTTCTGACCATTAATTACTGCTTTATGTAAAGGTACCATACCATTCTCATCAGTAGATCTGTAAAAATAATAAACATTCATCATTGAAAATAAAATATTTTGTTGCAATTCAAAATATTTCCATCTACTGGTTTTCTACATAAACAAGCCAACAGTGAGGCTGATGTCCCCCGCCGAAATCCCGGAAAAAAATCGATGACACATGTTGATTAATTGCACATTTATATTTTTCAAAAGTTTTGACCAATCAAACTCACTATCAACTATAAACTAAGTTTCATCACTCTTTATCAGATAGAATCAAAGTCAAAGAAATTGCTTAGCTCTGCTTAGCTTTAGCGAGAAATGTTAATCATTGAACTCAGTCAAGACATTCACTTATAATTATAATGAACATCTACATCAAGTTTAAACATTCTACATCAATAAAAACAGAGTTATGTTACAAATTCTTGACCAATCAAATTGCTTATCGCTCCTTAGCCTAAGCAGAAAATTCTCATCATCGAACTTAGTCAAGGTAATGATATAATGAATCTAAAAAGAAAATGCTCATCTTCAAACTGCATTAAAGCATTGACCTAATAAAAGCATTGACCTAATAAACACCTAGACCAAGTTTGAACATTCTAGCTCAATTAGGTTTTAGTGTCCACAAGGCATTGACCTAATAAACACATACACCAAGTTTGAACATTCTAGCTCAATTAAAAGTTATCGTGTCCCAAAGCATCAACCAATCAAATTGCTTATCTCTGCTTACCCTAAGCGGAAAATGCTCATCTTCGAACTCCATCAAGGCATTGACCTAATCAACACATACACCAAGTTTGAACATTCTAGCCCAATTAGGAAGAGAGTTATCGTGTCCCAAAGCATCAACCAATCAAATTGCTTATCTCTGCTTACCCTAAGCGGAAAATGCTCATCTTCGAACTCCATCAAGGCATTGACCTAATAAACACATACACCAAGTTTGAACATTCTAGCTCAATTAGGAAGAGAGTTATTGTGTCCCAAAAAGTGTGACGGACAGACAGACGGACAGACAGACGGACATAAATTGCTTATCTCTGCTTACCCTAAGCGGAAAATGCTCATCTTCGAACTCCATCAAGGCATTGACCTAATCAACACATACACCAAGTTTGAACATTCTAGCTCAATTAGGAAGAGAGTTATCGTGCCCCAAAGTATCAACCAATCAAATTGCTTATCTCTGCTTACCCTAAGCGGAAAATGCTCATCTTCGAACTCCATCAAGGCATTGACCTAATAAACACATACACCAAGTTTGAACATTCTAGCTCAATTAAAAGTTATCGTGTCCAAAAGCATCAACCAATCAAATTGCTTATCTCTGCTTACCCTAAGCGGAAAATGCTCATCTTCGAACTCCATCAAGGCATTGACCTAATCAACACATACACCAAGATTGAACATTCTAGCCCAATTAGGAAGAGAGTTATCGTGTCCCAAAGCATCAACCAATCAAATTGCTTATCTCTGCTTACCCTAAGCGGAAAATGCTCATCTTCGAACTCCATCAAGGCATTGACCTAATAAACACATACACCAAGTTTGAACATTCTAGCTCAATTAGGAAGAGAGTTATTGTGTCCCAAAAAGTGTGACGGACAGACAGACGGACAGACAGACAGACAGACGGACGAACCCATTTTAATAGTCCCCTGCTTTCTTCGAAAGGCGGGGGACAAAAAAAATGAAATAATAAAGATACATTGCTGTTAGCAGCTGATAAATCTAACTTTAAATTCTAATTCAACATAAGTAAGACTTAAGTAATGCCAATAACCCAGGATCTTTTTCAAATTTAACAATGTTAAGGGCTGATAAGAAAGAGAGAAAAATGGGGTTGAACATCCACTCAATGCAAACTAGGTCATTTCAGGACTAACACATTGTTCAACTTTATTTCAATAATTTGCTTGCCTGTAGGGGTCTTTAGCCTTTAGCATTGGGAGGAAACCGAAGGACTCAAAAGAGAGAAAATCCATGAGGCTGGACATGCAAAGTGTTTTTTAGATAGTAATTTTGTTGATGAAAACAAAAAATATATTATGGTTCAAACATTAACAGAGTCTGTCATACAGATGATTATTAGGAAATAATTGGTGGAGTTAAAAGATACTAATGAGAAATTCAAGCTAGGATTAATTGATTGATAATAATATTAATAATTTGATTTATGGTAAGACTACTTTTCATTGTGTACGGTTTCAAACTCCATTAATGCCAAGTTACATATTTTTGACAACTTAATTGACAACTCTTAAAACCACATCTAGCCAAGCAAAACAAATGTTTAATTTTATCAACATGAATAAAATCTCTAAATAAAATGTAAATTGGGCCTTAACATTTTTTAAACCAGCGGTTACCAGGAACAGTCATTTTGTCGGGCAGTTTTTTATTTGATTTTCCTGAAATTTGTAGTCAACCTTGACCATGGTGGAATGGTGATATTTTGGAACAGTTTTTAAAATCTGATAAAAATTATGACCTCTAAATGTGATTTTTTGTACAATCAGTGGCCATAATCCAGGAAGTTACGGTCTGATATGTGCAAATATTCAAAGGAACGGAGACCTCTGAGATATAAACATATATTTTAAGTTTCATCACAATCAGACAAACATTGTGACTGCTAGTGGGTCCACAACCTTGGTATTACATACTTTTACACAATTACATTACTCAATCATCATCAGTGTGTAATGATGGGATATTAGAATGATTTTTAAAATCGGATAACAATTGTGACCTCTAGAAGGACCACAAGAATCAGGGGCCATAATCCAGGAAGTTACAGTCCGTTATGCGCTAATATCGAAAGGGACTGAGATCTTTGGAATATAAACATGATTTTTAAGTTTCAACGAAATTGGATAAAAATTGTGACCTCTAGATGGTCCACAACCTTGATATTACACACCTTAACACTATTTTGTCCGGCAGTTTCTCCCCGATTTTCACGAAATTTGAACTCAACCATTATAATGGTGTAACGGTGATATACTTAAATGTTTTTTTTTTAAATTGGATAAAAATTGTGACCTCTAGAAGGACCGAGAAAGTGGCATGTCTGAAAGTTGGATAGGAACCATTTTCAGGCTGCCTTTTACAGTATTCTACAATGTAGGCCTACTTAAAACTATGTTCATTTAGTTGTCCTTTCAATTTCTCCAGATTTACACAATAGGGTAAAGAAATTCTGTCTTGATACACATACCCATAATTCAAACCAAAAATAAAATAACTTTGTGCAATATTAAGCTACAATTAGACCACATGATAGGCCTAAAAACCTAAATATTATTAAAACCAACCAATCAAACTTGGACTATTACCATAGGCCCCTAGGCTCCAACTGAATTCATAGATATTCAATGAAAACTAATCCAAGCATTCTAAAAACACACAAAATAATAATAATGTGAAATAATAAAGTCAAATATGGAGATTAACTAGAAGCCAAATAGAGTTATCTCCCTTATAATACATAGAAACTGACGTCTGCAGCCTACAAGAATATGAGCATTGCACATGTGCAGGTTTCATTAGCCTTGTCACCTGTGTTATGGAAGGATGCTTTTGATTTACACACATTAAAAAAAAATATATATATATACTATTCAAAAAAAGTAGGGGATATTTGATTTTGGGGGCATAATACTAAAATATGCATATGACTACGAAAAAAGTCACTATAGAACCTAACAGAAGAAACATTTCCAGTTACATGTGACGCCCAAACGCACCAATAGCTACCGCATGGAATGCAGGTGATGCTTGGGATCATCATGGGGGTCCAACCCAAGATTTGCACGACTCTGACTTTGAATGTTACAGTCATTGTGGCATTGAATTCCAGGGTGGAAACATCAGTTTAATTGTTTTAGTGACCAGAAAACAAATTTTGATATGCGTCGGCTTACCCAAAATGAAAGGTTACGTGCCCTTGGCATGCTACAGATCGGCACAACACAGGCGGTTGTGGCGCGGACGATGAATGTTTCTCAGTCTGTCATAAGCAGGCTATGGTCCAGATACCGTGATACACAATCTGTACAGGACACACCACGCTCAGGTCGACCAAGGGCGACAACTCAAGCCAAGGATCGATTTATCCGTACCTTGGCCTTGAGAAATCGTGTCATCACAGCAAATCAGATCAGCGCTCGTCTTCAAACAGACACTGGTGTGAGAGTGAGTGGCCAGACGATTCGGAATCGACTGCATAGGGGTCACCTTCGCGCCCGACGTCCTCGCGTGATCCCTTGTTTGAGAGATCATCACATTCAGGCAAGACGTCGTTGGTGTAGGGATCGTCAACACTGGGATAATCGACGCTGGAGCAATGTGATGTTTTCAGATGAGTCAAGGTTCACTGTTGATTTTTTGGACAGACGTAGGAGGGTGTGGCGTCGTCGAAACGAGCGCTTCCAAGACGTTAACGTCATCAGACATGATCGATTTGGGGGTGGTTCTGTTATGGTGTGGGGAGACATCACTGTTGCTGGAAGAACGGCTTTACATGTTGTTGCAGGGCGTGTTACAGGCCAGTACTACCGGGACAACATCTTGGCAGTCCATGTTGTGCCGTTCGCACGACGTCATGGCCGCCGTTTCATCTTCCAGGATGACAACGCAAGATGTCACAGGGCCAGGATCGTTACAGGTTACCTCCAACAACAGAACATCACCACATTACCTTGGCCAGCACTGAGTCCCGACCTCTCCCCCATCGAGCATGTCTGGGACATGCTTGGACAGAGGTTACGTCAACGTCAACAACGTCCTGCCAGTGTCCAAGAACTTGCTGCTGCGTTGCAACAGGAATGGGACAATCTGGACCAAAATGACCTTAGACGTCTCATTAGGAGTATGCCACGTCGGATCAATGCTTGTTTGGCAAACAGAGAAGAATTTACCCGTTACTGACTTGGTTGTGATGCTGTGGTAACTTTGCTGTTTGACCCCGGGTATCATTTTACCCTTATAATGGTCAGTCTGTGCCTTACTTAGTCTAACGATCATTTGGAATAAATCGATGAATGTGAACTTCATTTCATTTTGTCATTTGTTTCTTCGTCAGTTTCATTAGGTGACTTTAATAACACTTAAAAATCAAATATCCCCTACTTTTTTTGAATAGTATATATATGGTAGAAGATTAGGTCAAACCAAATTAATATTAAGTAGGCCTACTTCAGGGTTCTAATATAAATAAATATCCACCAGAACAATTTCTTATGTTGACAATTTCAAAACTTAAAAGTGTGGAACTTAAAACCTTTGTGAAGCTCAAACAAGTACTTTTTGTTTTTAAATTATTTTTCCACCATGTTATGAGAAGTAAAATTTTAACAACTGTTCAAGAAGAAGAAAAAAATTCAAACTGGTGTTGCCTTATTGGCTAAGCAAGCAAGGGACAAGGTAGGTGCTACTTTCTACTTGGTTGACATATTTATAATTTTTAATAAATGTTTATCTAAAAACAACTGATTGAGGTCAGTGGATTCCCTTCAATATCCTTCCCAAGTTTCAGGGCTCACGCTGTCAGTTGCCACACTACAAAAACACAAGACACAACAAACTGTCTACATATCCCCAGTACCCTTTTTTAATAGAAAACAATAACCAACAATTTGCCAAATATCAAACAAAAACACTTCAATCATCAATATCCATTCCAAACATTGTAATAAATACACTGATTACTCTACAAGCTTTGAGCATGCAAAACTAAAATAACATTGGTTCATGTTTTAAATTCATAAATCCAACTCTTAAATACCGGTAATTAAAATTGATTAATTACAGCCATGATGGTGCATGAAATCTGGGGTTATGATTCCACGTATATGTTCAGTGAGTCGCATCTTAGGGATTCTGATCATCTAGTCATTTGGCGGGTGTATGATGTATAAGGTGGATTGTCCCCGCTATAGATGCTAGTTACACCCGATCCTATGCATGTATGGCTTTCTAGACAGAGAGGGAGGCCAATCGTGGCCAGCGCGAGTCTACCTTGTATCTTTCAATCAGCGTGATTGATTGAGATACACTGGGTTTCATGTATCATCATGTTTTCCATATTAATCTTAAATACATAGGCCCCATAGTACAAAAAATTGGATGAAATTACAACGTTGAATTAAAATATGTAGCTGACATGGTATTTTGGTTTTGGGCCCTGTTGCGCAAAGTAAATATATAACTTGGGCACATGTAAGTTAAATACAGCTCTAAATTTAATGCATGGATGCAAGGCCCCTCCCCTCCCTCAATGTACAATGTACACCTTAAAGCTGTAAATTTAATGATGAATGATTTAAGGGTCTCCCCCCACCCCCCCATAATTTGCAAATATTTGTTCTTTATTTATGTTTGTATATGTATGTCACTTTGCATTGACTTCACACAATGTGTCTTTGGTACAGAAAATACAGGTAAGAAATTTGAAAAATGAAACAAATTCAGAACAGCATCAAGACATAATTCTGTTCTCTACACAGACAAGACAGAGCAGAATAAAAACATAGAGTTTTCAAAAGGTAAGTAGGAATATTCCTATCACATTTTTTATTATTATTAACCGTGTTGTATTGTAGATAACAGATAAGAGTGGCTAGTATTAGGACCTGGTTATCCTGGTGTTTGTTTGTACTTAACTCTTCAGGCAGTAGCGGATTATCAGTGAGGCTGCAGCCTCAGGCCCAAAGATTTTGTAAAAAAAATTTTTTTAGACTTGTCCGATACGATTAAAAACGCATAGACAATGAATGTTAGGGGGGTGGGGTTTAGGCCCAACGGGAATCAACATAGGCCCAACGGGAATCAACATAGGCCCACGCCATTTTAAATAGGCCCTATTTAAAAACTAAATAGGCCCTCCAGCAACTGCCGCCTCAAGCCTTGGTGGAGCTTATTCCGCCACTGTTTTCAGGCATTTATTTATACTATTCTGAAACCCCGCCAAGGTTTCCGTGGTAAAAAATTAGAGGGGTTACTAGAGTTAGCGGGGTTACCAGGGTTGGGGTTGTATAGAGATTGTCAACTGATCGTTTAGACTGATGTGCTAGTATCCTTATTTGTGGTAACTAGGAAAACTGTACCTTGTGTTGGATTTTTATATTGCTACTTGTCATAACAATATTATAAAGTGATAGTATATAGACAAGGGTGCTGAAGTAACACCTGTGAGAGGGTTAAAAGGCTAAATATAAATCCAAAGTTGGAACACCCACAGGTAGGGAGTTCTATATAAAAGTAAAAAAAAAAAAAAAAAAAAGGGTTGGGATGCTCAAAATTAGATTGTATAGAAGTTAAACATGGTTAATATGTTCTGAACGAATGGTCACTGTGGTAGACAGGCCCACTTCCAGATTTTGGAAATGGCACCAGTCAAACATACGAACGTTTGGGGTTGTGTTGTGAAAGCAACTACAATGTATTTGCAAGACAGTGAGTGAATTCTGTAATTTAAACAATTGCATGCAATATTTTAAATCAATCTTTATTCAAAGATGGCCTTAAACCATAAGCTCATTGAGCTCACAAAAACATTATTTACACTTACTCTTTTAAGTCAGGAAAGTGTTCATCAAGCTGCTTTATTCGTTCAAGATGTCCATTCCATGCTGCCTCATGTATTGTCATACCTTTGGTTAATACTTTCTTTTCTTCATCCATTTCTTCGTCACGTTTTTTAAGTCTTTCTTTCTGAGCAGCTTCCAAACCGGCCTACATGCAGACAAAAGAAACAAAACTTGAAAACAAATACTCAGCCTAGTGTTTTAGCAAAATTTGGTTTAAGAGAAAAAGAAATGGTTTGTCTTTTATTCTAAAGGTATGAGGATAAATAGAGGTCACAATTATTTGACCACACTAATTCATCAAACGATTTTTGTTTTATTAAATACTACCAAAGTAAACAGATTCCCAAATAGTATTAAACTAAAACTAAAAATTTACAACTACAAAAATCGGTGGTGTATATAAGTGTCATGCTACAACATACTTCCAAAGTTGACTAATCAAAAATCTCTTACAGATATATGCATTCCATCATAACTGGTGCATTTATAAGTTAAAAGTTAATGGCAAGCATAGCATGTGACTAGTTTCTTAGGGCATCTTAGCATTCGGCACAATTTGAATGATGTCAGTAGCTTGCACTCTATGTACAATTTCATGATTTGGTTTGACAATTAGATGGATCGATTGTTGTCTTATAATGCATGGAACAGACTAAGTCATGTAAATATTTACATGGAAACAAAATTTATAAATTATGATTGGGAAAATCCGTATTTCTCCATTTTCATGTAATTAAAATTATGCCTATTACAAAGTTGGTATTTGTGAAAATGAAATAAAAGTAGAACCGAAATATTAATATTCCAAACTTGTATTGATATATCGCATCGTGGAAGGCAATATATGTATGTATCAATTTTTTGGGACTAATAAGGCTATACTACTTGTATTCTATTCTACATGGTTGTTAAATAACCAGGATAGTGCAAGGTAGAATATATGTAGCATATGTGGAGTTTAGAAAGAACTGATCTTATACTTTAGGTTTCGTATCGATCTGATAAAGAATGAACTCACTCTATAACCGCTCAAATAATCTTTTTTACTATCATATCCATTTTCATCATTTTCACTATTTTTTCTTCTGCTTTCTTTTCCTTTCTTTCTGTTTTCTTTATCATTCTTTTTGTCATCTTTACTGGACTTCACTCTATTATCATTACTTCCATGTATAATTTCTCCATTTAACCTTTCTGTAGAGGCTGTCTCACCTTGTATTGATTGGAATGTAAAAGTCGGACCGTTGGCTTTATTGGATGAATCATTACTGATTTTTCTCAAGTTTTCTGAATTCTTATTTTTAGCTCTGGGAGAGTCTTTTAGTGAAAACACCTTTTCACTTTGAGTATCACTATCATATTCTGTTTCAGTGTCTGTATAAGATGCATCACTATCACTCGTATAACTTGATTCCGATTTTCTGCCATTTTGTTTTTTTGGTGATTTTTTGTTTCCTTTTCCGTTTGATTCTACAGATGTTGTATATTCACTCGAGTCAGTTTCTGACTCTGACTTGCCATCTTTTTGCTTTTCTCTCTTTCTTGATTGTTTTTTATCCAATTTGGGAGGTGCTTTGGAGACAGGTGTAGGTGTACGTCTTTCTCTGGGTACAGTCGATTCATATGGAGTTTGTATAGAAGCTATAAAATAATCAAATTAAAGATCACTTATTCTTTTTCTAAATATAGGAAGGGAAATGGAAGCAGTCAGAATTTAACATATGATTTACCAGCTCTGCTTTCATGCAATACTTTCAATTTAAACATACATTATGCAAGAGCTAAATCTGCCTATTGCAGGTCTTTCTTTAGGCCTGAAATGTTATAAACTATTAATTAGACATTAATTAATTTATCCAAACCATAATCAACTCTCTATGCCATCTTATGTGCCAGATTTTCACTGGATTTGAATCCGATCTGCTGCTCAACACTCATTGATGATTAAATCCAAAAATGGATAATCTAGACTACGTTTTTTATTGTACCGAATTTAGTAATGATGATCGAGTCTAGGCTTAAAATTTAAAAGCTAATATCTTGGTTCAGAGTGGAGCAATTTGACTGAAATTTCCAACATATTCTATTTACGTTATCTATTTTCTAACTATTATAGAGCGAACAGTCAACTCTTTATCTAATCTCCCATAATGCCTCTTTAAGTTGCATCCATAAAACACAATATATTGTAAATGAAGATATTAATATCATTTTCAAATAATAATAATAAAAATATTTTACTAAAACTTACATTCAACTATAGCTCGTTCTCTCTGAACCGGTAAAAAGAGATAAGTGTTTTTATCAGCATATTGTCCTGATAACCAACGACCACATGGTAGATCATAGACTCTTTTATCGTGCATATCAGATACTGTGACACTGTCTAAAAACCATGCATAACCTAGAAAACCAAAATTCAGATGTATGACATACATTTTAATTACTAGGTTGATCAAAATCTGGAGCTCAAGAAAAAGAGCTTTGTTTTCAAACACTTACTAAAATACTTAAAGAATACAACCTTTTGACTGGCTGAACGTTAAAATCTGAGCAGAAATTTAAATCCCCAGGCAGTGGGTTGGGGACAGGTGACCCTACTCCTTGTCACATACAAGCACGGATTTAAAACCTATCCCCCCCCCCACTCCCTGCATACTTAAAATATTTATGTTTAAAGTTTTTGTGAATGGTATGCTTAGTTGTATTATAAGCTGGTAAATATAGAAACATCCACAACAAATTGCACTGCAAAAGTTAGCTTTTGATTATCATTCAGTAGGGCATTCAGCATATAAAAACTAGTCTTGTATCATTCAGACAAATATAAGAAATATAAGAAAGATTATAAGACAAAATCTAAGAAAATGTTTTCATTGATATCATTACTTTCAGTTTAATCAATGACACGTGTCATTTTCTTCACCATGTGGCTTTCAGTATGTTACAGTTCAAACAATTGTTAGAACATTCAAAGCCTATGATGAATTCAATTCAAACAGTGCATAACAGTTTTGCAACCACATCTGATTGTTTTGGTCAGAAGAATCTGGAGCAATCATATCACTCAGTGGGCAGTAAAGTGGTGTCCTACAATTCCGAGCCCCATTCACAGGGTGGAAGCTCTCTGTCAGTACCAACCCAACTCTAGTCTACTTAGTGGTAGCAGGTAGACCCTTAGGCTGTGATTGCAAGTAGCAGAACTAGTAGGTGCCAGTATGAATATGTCTGACAAAAGTTTGTGTGCTTTTTAGATCATTCTCACACTTTTCAGTACTTTTGTGCCATTATTTGATATATATACCGGCATATTGTTTAGTTATAACATACACATTAACATTGCATCCAGTAAATCACAAAAAAAACTTACTTAGTTCTGGTCTATCATGACCTATCTTTATTTTTGTTAATTTACCAACATGATGGGCTGATATTGTAAAAAAGTCTTCCTAAAAATATAAATAATATGTTTTATAAAAACATGTGAATTCCTCCATTGGAATGATCAAAATCATCACGCTTTATGTCAAAAATAGCAACTGCTATATATTTACCTTTCCTTTCTGAAATTTCATTTTGTGATTTTGTGATTCTGTAAGCGTGAATTCTTTACTTCTACCACTCTCTCCATATAAGGTAATTTTGGCATCTGCTTGAGTACTAGCACCGATTGTATTTCCTGTTTGTACAGTGAGTTGATATTCAGCCATCGGGCCTTCTTTTACTTCATCTTCAGTCTGTAATAAGATACATATGTACATGTAGCCTTGTAGCCTTTATTCATAGATTTTGAAGAGACCAAGATAATACCATGATTGTTTCAGAGAACAAAACACTCACAAGAAAATAAATAGGGTAAAATTAATTCATGACAGTAAATTACCAACATGCAGTTTTGCACTAGAATGGAACTAAGTCAGTTTATTACTTTTGATTTTTACTTTAACTATCTATGTTGAAAATTTTTAACAATTCTCATATATATTTCAACCTTGGCTGAATCCATCAAAGTAGATTTGTAGTTGTGATTTGTATCCATATCTTATAGATTAACATTTGGAAAGGGAAATTAGCTGAAAATCTTACATGATCATAGTTTTCTAGTAGCCGCCTTTCTGTCTGTATACCAACACTATCAATATCAGTACCAATGCCTTGAGTTTGTACTGTCTTAGATACAGTCACTTCTTCTTCATCATGTTTCTTATTATCACTAATATATGTACGGTTCTTATACTTTTTGGCAGATCTTGTTCGGGGTGGGGCTGGTGTTTTCAACCGTTGTACATCATCAACTGATATGGATGATGAGCGTGTGTCATCGGTACGTGTAGTAGCATCAGATGGAGTCGGTGATCCTGGTCTTTCTATTGGACTTCTAGCAGACTGGCTTCTAAGAAATATTTTATTGAACATCGTAAACAATTCTTTCTATTAATTTTTTTTTAGATACAAGATTATTCTAATTAAAATTAGACCTTTATTTTATTCAAAACACATTTTTTGATCATTAATGAGACTGGATAAATAACCATTTTCAATTCATAAGATATAAAAATTCTGATATACCTTCGAGGTTTCCTTACTACTGAATCACTGTCATCGTAATACTGAAAATATTAATAAAATTGCAAATCAATAACTAAGCAAAATATGAAATTCCACACAATATTCCTTTTGAGGGGTGACAGTCGGGAGGGATAATTCCAGCACAGGCCTGATGGATGTTAGGGGGCAGACCTGAAATGTCAGAAATAATCACACAATATTCCTTTTGAGAGGTGACAGCCGGGAGGGATAATTCCAGCACAGGCCTGATGGATGTTAGGGGACAGACCTGTTTAAAGACAGTGGCGCCTGTCGTCAGTACCGAAGTCTCAGAGCATACTGTGTAGGGGCCTCCCCAAGAAAGTTTTGAAAACTTGACGACTGCATAATCGATCAATAATCCATAATCAATATATTCCAAATTCACGGTATTCAATTAAAAGAAAAGAATAATTAATGTATTTATTAGATTTCGGGAACAAAAAAGTAAAATTAGTGTTTTATGACACTTTATTTTGATAACTAGATTAAACCATATTTTTTTCCCCTACTTTACCCATCTGCTAAAAGTTGGGGGGGGGGGGGGGCTTCTAATTCATGGAATACTCTACGGCTAGTCAACTGACATAAACCGAGTGCATTACAATATAATGTAACAATAACCTGTAACAAACTGGACTGAGTAATTGACTTGATTTGTATTGCTATGCCTGGAAAGACTTTGCTTTGACCCTCCCCCTTTCAAAATGTCTTTATGTGCCACTGCACATTGAAGAAACAATACAAGGAATAAATAGCTTACTGTAAGTTGTGTGTTGAAGATCTTTCTACCATTTATATCATAACTATATTTGGCTGTATGTGGTCGTCTATTTTCCTGTTAGCATGCAATAATATATCTATACTATTACATAAATCACCATATTAAATAAAAACATTAATTCTATTTTTATTTCGTATAGCAATAAATAACTCATTCTACATTAAGCAACAATATAGAAATTCTTTTGTCCTGCATCACTAATGCTAATAAGCGATCATTAAATTTATCAAAAAGAAAAATCATTGTTTGGGACAAAAAGCATATTAAATAGTAAGCAAGCACACTTCTTCCATATGAGACACCAGGTATTAAATAATAGATAACTAGGAACCATTTCCATACAATTTTTTGAGAATGGAACACAAATTGAGAGAGAAATAAGTCACATAATTCTTTGTTGTGCTACATTAATATTGTGATAATCTAATTCAGAAGTGCAACTGGATTTACATATAACAACTATTGAAGAGTGTACCTTATTTATATGATCGGCTGACCTATGAACTTTTACCAGTAGCAGGTTTCCCTGTGTTCCACTCTATACAAACAACAGCATGCAAAGTGAAGTAAAGCCATTAGTGAAATAAAATACATTACCAAAAAACAGTGCTATAATTATAATATCAACTAAAGCTAGAAGAGTTGTGTTTGATTTAAAATGATTTGCCTACTAATAAATTTAAACACACAATTAAATTGCTTTCTACATAATTCATCAACTGTTTTATCCATCACTGCCAAAAATTCTAATCAGAATATGTAATATTATGCTTCATAAAATTGACAATGAACAGATAAGAGAAGAAATATATCAGGAATAATAATCTGAAGATGAAGTTTTACTACTGTTATTTTGTGTTGAAAATTAAGATTTAACAAACATTTAATTACTACGTATTAGGATAGATGCATGGAGTAGTTATTATAGAAACTAAAATGATAGATGAAGTTTTACTAACTAAATTTCTATCCAAGCACTTATAGCTTGCATATTTGAAAATGTAGTTTTGCCTATGTAAATGTAACCTAGCTACAAATGTAAAGCTTATACATTTAATTCAAATATCTACACAATAAAATATTTGTTTTTCAAACAATTAAATACAATACAGATAGGTTTACAAATCATCAAGAAGTGAAACAAGAAATACATGTAAAATCATGCCAAATATTTTTACAATCATTCATGACATTACAAACATCAAATTTTGCAGATATGAAGATTTTAAAATTTTACATAAGTCTATTTTTGTACGGTACCTCAAAAGATCTTGGTGCAGTTTGCGGTCTAGGTGATCGGGCTGAATCGAGGGATTCAACTGTTTCCTGAAATAGTAGTATCACCGTGCAATATGGGTATGTTAGTAAAAGATGGGGAGGAATTTTATTCAAATATGGTTCAATATGCACAATTCATGGGAGAGATATTTTGCAAAGAAAATGGGGAGTGATTACTTTAAAATGTATTAAAACAGATCAGTTGATTAAAGATGAAATATCTTTGAACTTTAAAAAATTGGATGGGAAAAAAGATAGACTGGAAACATAGGGTTGCATTAAGATAATATAAGATTTAAGTTGGATGGTTAGAAAACATGTGAAGAAATTGTTATCATTATTAGATACATGCAGGGTGATGCAGTGATTCATACAGTGAAACCTTAACCTGGCTAGCACATATCACACCTGTTGCACAGGATGTCATAAAAGGACTGAGGGGGGCCTAAATTTTAGTCAAAATATTGCTATGAGAATCATCCATTGTGTTGTTTATGCATATATTTTAATCTAATCCTTTTTTTTAAATTTGCATGCAAGTCATATATGTCTGAATAGATATGAGTAATGTTTGGAAATTTGATCACAGTTGATTAGTTTAATTTGGCCTTGCTTCAAGCTTCAACCACAAATGAGTTCAACAAAGTAAACAATTATGTAATATTTGTTACACTCTAGATAATCAATGATTGTTACAAGTTTATTTCAGGCAACAATAATAATTATCATCAAAAAGAATACTTTATTATGTCAGCCTTTATAAAAACATGCAAAGTAAGTTTCACTGTATGTATGAATTATTTTGTGGGAATTTTATTATCATTAATTATACATTAAATATAAATCTTACAGTAGCAACCAGTAATTTAGCTGCAGCATTAACTAATCTATCTGCTTCCTTCCTAGTTGTAGGATCATGTGTTTGCTTTCTTGATTGACTCCAGCTACTCTTACTTCTGAGAAAAAATACATAGATTTATTAACACTACTGTATGCTTCAAAAAGTTACCCGTTTTCATCTTAAAACTGTTAACTAATTTAAAATATCTTCTTTCCATATGACTTACAGTCCCAGCCTCCCTCCCAAAAAAAATTGATCAGAAACATACATGTAGATCTTGCAAGGTTGATCTCAGCGATTCCTCAATAATAGTTAATTCGTTTGAGGGTGAAAAGCCAACTTTTCTGATAATGTGAAGTTTCTTGCACCTTAAAAACGACATGACTTTTAATGCTGACATAGTTCCTTTAGGAGCAGATTCTGTTCGGACCCTGTCTGCTGAGCTGCAATATGAAGATACCACTCTTCCCCACCTCTGTTCTAAGACTATTTTGGAATCCTTACCGACTATTTTTCACCGGGATTCTTCTTTGTTCACCTAAAGGAATCATTTCTTGCCATATCTGACACAAATTTATAATAATTCAACACTATTTTCAAGTAGAATTTTGCGATTAAAAAACATACACAAAATACATTTGAACTTATCAGCTATTACAAGACTCGAACCTGCAGAGACTGAATGTTTTTTTTTAATCACAAAATTCTACTTGAAAAACAGTGTTGAATTATTATAAATTTGTAATGTATCAGATATGGCAAGAAATGATTCCTTTTGGCGAAAAATAAATAAAGAATCACTGAAAATAGAAGGTAAGGATTCCAAAATAGCCCTAAAACAGAGGTATGGGAAGAGCAGTATTTTCATATTGCAGCTATAGGCCCGGAATGGCCAGTGGAGAGGATCTGATCAAAGACCATTTCTAAAGGAAATAATGCTCAAGCTGAAATACTTGCTAGTTACCAAGTCAATAACAATTGTATGGGAGAACCTTTCATGAGTTTAATAATGTTATTTTTCGGACAAGGGGTCTATAAATCACCAAGTTCATTAATCACTGTCTAATTTGTGTAATGACTTGAAATCTACTATAGTTAATGTCATTGCATTGTTTTAATTTTATTGTAAGCCAAGAGGTTGTTTGATGGATTATTGATCCTACTATTTTTAACTAGACTAACGATTCTCTATTTAGAGGCTTGTTTTATAGTAGAGAATACACATACAGCTAGAGATAACAATTATATTTGCATCAAGAGCTGTACTTTATAGAAGCATATAAAATACATGATTGTGCAAACAAAACCTGTCTTCTTTTTTTCAGACAAGCAGTCATTTAAGTAAATATGGACCGGCCATTTTATGACAATTATACTTGGAAGTTGTATGTACCAGTAATCATAAGTTGTTATAATTTCTGTTAATTCAGTATGGAACTTCCAAGTTTATGTTTTTTAATTTACACAAAAACCATCAAAGTTTTAAAATACTTCATCTTTTCTTGGTTAAATGCAAAAATTCTAGAAGTTAGGAGCTTAAGTAACTTTAGATTAAAAATAATTACCTTCGTTTACCAGATCTGATGGAACTACTACCTATGCTTGTTGTGGATCGTGGTATTAGGTGAGGTCTTGCAGAATATATATAGAAATATTCAGGTATCTTTGGGGTCTGAAATATACAAAATAACATTTATTTATGTTTATTCCCCAAAAAATATTATTCCTAGAAAAATAAATTTAAAATTTTCTTGGGGAGATGACCAAACCACCACCCTACCCCGAAGCCCATTTATCCATTTATTTGTTAACTATGGTTTGACAAGTGTCGAACATATAAAATTTGGGCTACTGCAATGATTGCATTCAAAAACTCAGCTCTATATGTAGTTCCATTCCAGGAATTCAAACATTTCTAAATATAGAATCTCCAGCATTATTATATAAAAATATAGGATATTGCTTTGCAGTAAAATATTGGTCTCCACTAGACTTTACTTTTCAATATTGTTGAACACAAAGAATTAATGTCTCAAGTGATCTAACAAACATATCATCACTGTCTAATTTGTATGACTTGTAAAGTAATCCACTGCCATTGTGTCAATAGAAATTTTATAAAACTGTATAGACCTAAATCATTAAAATAATCAAAATCATTATATAATCATTTAGTTTCAATTGAAGATACTTTTATAAAAGGAATATATATGAAATGAAATGAAATGAAATGAAATGGGGTTTAACGTCCTACTGTTCTGCTCCCACTGGGCTAATAAAGACGGTAGAAAAAAAAAAAATATATCAATAATGTTTCAAATCCATATGCAAATGCTACTGAAAGCAACAACATGTATGCTAAGATCTAATTATGAAAAAATAGTACAATTATTATTATACAGGAAGAATGCTGAATGAAAAAAAAAGAGCGCTTTGACTGTTTCCTCTTAACAAACTCAAGTAGCTATTATTACCCCAAGAAAATTACAGAACAATTTCTGTTCTTGAACCATGTGTGTGGTTAAAGCCTTGAAACTTATTTGAATTTGAACCAGATTTTTGCTTAGAGGAAACAAGGTTATGGGAGTTAAAATAGTGCAAGGGGAAAGTACTGGATTAAATAATATTTAAAAAGTGCATGTGAATAGTATTGAATCAAATAATCTCATTAATTTTATCAATTCATTGCCTGGATTCAAGTTTGAGTTTGGTTTTGTATATGTGTCTAAAACACTAATTGAAATACAAGACTTAGTCTGTCCACAGGATGAGTGTTTTAATGGGGAATTATATCAACTTTGCAACTCCCAAAGCAACTAGTTTCAGTTAGTTAGTTGCAAGTGTGCTTATGTCGATTATATCAGCAACTGAAGACAACTAAGAGCAACTGAATTCGGAGTGTGCACGTTTACTGGGAACTGATAGCAATTACAATTAACATGTGACTGTTAATTTATTCATCAAGTGATCAACAAAATGGGGAATACCTTACAAGTAGCACCCCAAAGGCATTTTCGGTCTTGCCTCAATTCTATCAATTAATAGATTATTGTCGACATTGTTTGCTACCATTTTGCTTATTTATAAAGTCACATGACACCTGTCTCTTATCGTGTGATGTTATTTGTATGGAAGTGAGTTGATGCCAGTCGATGGCAACCAGTTGCCGTTAGTTGAAGCGAGTTGCAGAAAGTTAAACATGGGCAACTGGCTTCAACTGAATGGAACTACGTGTAGTTGCTTTGAGTTGTAAGAGGTGCTCAGGTCTACCTTTTTCAGTTGCATTCAGTTGCCGAAACGCCAGTTGCTCTCAGTTTAAGGTCAACATAAGCCGCCTTAAGTTCGTAAACTAGCAGGGAATAAAATCAACATAGAATATACCTGGTGATAAAGACTTGGGGAATTTGTTGGAGAATATATTATATTGACTGGTCAATCATTACAAAAATTATTACTTACATAATATAAAACATGAAATTATTGTGAACAAAATATGTGTTAAATGTGAAACATGCTCCATTACTTTCAATGGCATTTTCTGGTCAATATCATGTAACGCAAAAAATTTGGTTGACCCATTAACCTTAGCTATACAATACAGTACTTGCATACATGTATACCAGTATTAATATTTCTATATGCATTATGTAAGATGTAGATAAAGAGCTGACACTTCTTGCTATAAAAGTTAAAAAAATAAATAATGAAAAGGGAATATGTTGAAAATTTCAGTCAAATTATTTCATTCTGAGCAGAGTGAATAGCGTAGTGTTAGAGGAATGGTGTAGTGTCTATTGGCATTGCTACTGTTGTTACGATAATAAACAATGTTTAGAATAAGCATTGCATTAATTTCTGATGCAGACATTTCTTCTATTATATTATTTTATGTTATTTATTTTTTTTTTTTGGGGGGGGGGATAGTAGTTGTGGCTAAATGTCTATCTTTACAAATTTCTATGACAAGTCAGTTAAAAGCATATAATAAATAACACTCATATACATTGAATATTCTCAGCAAATTCCCCAGTAATATTAAACTAGTAGTTAATATTATTAATGCAAAACATCTAAAGAAACATTTCACTAAAAACTAAACTACAAAACAGTGAAATACAGAACACAGTGAAACTACCTTCTTGTGTTTAGATTTGGCCGATTTATTTCTCTTTGATAAAAGAGGTAAGGCTGGATCGGTGAGCTTTATTATATAAATAAAATATAAACATAAAATATAGCAAATCAACTTTTTAAAGAGTTCACTTCAAAAATAAATTATCTTAGTATATTTTGAATATTAAGTAACTTTTGTTTACCAAAATTACTGTGTTTTAACTTTAACACAACATCCAAAATCAAAATAAGCTTTTATCCCATTTTAAAAGTGAATTCTTCATTTATTCATGCAAATATATAAATTCCATTCATTCTATTCAAACATCATGCTATAAATATAGTGAATTGATACTAAAAATATCTTGTTCTACAGAAATCATAGAAGAGATCTCTATTTAGTCTAATCGACATACATAATTTGCATTCCAAATAATATATCATGCAGATTAAAACTATAATTATTCAATAATTTAGCCAGGAATTTGCAAAGTGGGGTGATCAGGTTGGAATGACTTAAGTGAACACTGCGGATGCTTATTTGCTGAAAACTTTTGCAGGGATTCTCCTTTGAAAATAATTTGACACCCTGACTCCATTCAGTGCGCTGCCAAGGAGAGATAGAGGGGGGTGGGGTCTTGATCACACCTATGTTGGCCTATGGAAGGACAAAAGGCTGTAAAAGGTTCTGAAATCTGAACTACCCTACTGTGAACAAGTGGTAGCCATATACATGTAGTCCCAAGAAACTGATGTCTTGTTAATTTTTGAAATGTCATATATCCCAATACATGGCACTTACGAAACCTTTCAAAATCAAAAACTTGAATAACACGTTTGAGTTCTGGACGACTGTTTTTTGGGTTTTTTTTTAAAATAAGACTAATATTGCTCCATAAAAAATGTATCACATATCAATTGGTAAATGTTTAATCCTATCAGTTCAATATAGTATTGATAAGTTATGCTCTGTTAAGTATTATCAAAGTCATGTATTGAATGTAAACATGTGTATATAATTATCGCCAAAAATATGAATAATAACCACTTTAAGATGTGTACTCTAAGCAAACAATAATATAAGAATATTACATATCCTGAGCTCCAATGTTTATTTACGATTCATTTCTTTTATGTGAATATTATAGACATGCAGTACAAAATAATTGATTTCAAGTTATCTTTTATGGCTGATCTATTTGTTGCCTTGAGTGAATTTTAATCTACTTGTCCTCGTACTTTATGTTCAAGGGAGTGGATTTCTAATTGCATATTTGTGTAAACCAGAACCTGGGCACCATTAATTATCAATACAGGTTTACAGATAATTAATGTACAGTTAGGTTTAAACTCACCAGAAAATGATAGTTTGTCATGTGCCTTTTCATCTTTCTTTTGACTTGTGCCTCCCTAGGTCCACTATTTTGCTGCAATAAAGAATGATAAATACTCTATTAAAGATACATTAGTTAAAGATACACATTATGGGAGATAAGATAATGAGATGGCAATTCTCGCTATAATAGTTAAAAACTAGATAGTGTAAAGGTAATTTGCTGAAAATGTCAGTCAAATTGATCCACTATGAGCCGAGAAAGAAGCGGGTGAAATTTTGGCATAATCTCGGTCATCATTACTAAAATCATTAATATAAACAGCTTAGTCTCGATTATCCACTTTTGTCGATTTAATTATCAACGGCCGTTAGCGGCATATAGGAATCTAATCCAGCCAACATCGAAGGCTAGCCTTGACATCGAGAGTTTATTATGGTCTGGATAAGTTAATTAATGTCTAATTGATAATTTAGATAACATTTCAGGCCTAAAGAAAGACTTGTAATAAGCAGATTTTGCTCTTGCATAATGCATGTTTAAGAGTTTAATAAAAGGGTGGTCATTCTTGCTATAATCATTCAACAATAGATGATAAAAAAGAATTTATTGAAAATTATCACTTGTAGCAATGATCTCTGTGTTAAAATTACATTTGGAACATGTTTAACCAGTTCTATCACATATGTGATAATCACTGACACAAATATTATTGTCCTTAAAGTAGATGAAGTGTAATTCTGAAGTCATTTATGGCACGAAAATACTGGATATGCCAAGAAAATACTGGAAATGAACTATGTTGAACAATATTGGTATAAATATTTGTTTTGTTTTTCCTCTAAGATAGCAGTGAGGTTAAAATTTTAAGCAAATTATAACTTATATTTTAATGTGCTAAAATTTTAAACATCACTACTATTTACAAATATTGCTTGAGTTTGTTTTCAGTTAAAGCTCTCTATAACTATACTGTAACATAAAATCTTAAACCTTCACTTTTTGGAAGTTTTTTTATTTGCAATCCAAAAATTTGATGATGTTAATTGTGTTGTTTATCACTAAATAGATATAACAATCATGGTGATGTGGAAGCTGGATTGAGTAAGCATTATGTACATTTTTATTCAAATATTAATCTAAAAGTCACCCATGGGTGGAAACATCAGCTTATTGAAAATTAAATATTAATACATTCTTTCAACACAACTGTGAAATACTGGATTACATTTACTGAAGTACCTGTATAAACTATACAATTTACACTAAGAGCTGTAATTGTCGATAGACATGTTGCTTCTGGCATCATATGACAGAAATGGCAATATTATCAGGTCATTCTGACATTTCCAATCAATAATTACAAGTACATGTACTTTAAATGACTCTAATATTATATCTACATAAACTAGCATTCAAAATGTTCAAATATCAAAAAGAAAAACATTGTGATTTTTGTCTAGGGAGATAAACACTTCCTTTTTACATTTAGAGGGGTGTTATTGTGCAATAGATGTTCCTGAGATCATTTGGACCCAATATTACATAATATTACTCTTGAGAAGAAACAGTCATTATGTAAGAAACAGAAAGTGTAATACCAAAAAGCAGAAACAGATTTTTATTGAAACAGACAATGTCCATAATCATGTGTTACAGACAGGTATTCACCTTACATGTAATTATAGACTGATCTAACAGGATTAACCTTTATTGACAACATTAATTAGATTACTACAAAATATACCCATTGTTGATATTATTTAGTTAATCTACACCACATACATTTATAGTGTAATCAAGAATGCTAATTAAAATCAGATGGGTCCCAAAAATAACAGATGTTCAACTTTATTTGTTGTTTTACATGTAGTACAGCATTGTGTTCAATCATGAAAAGCTTTGAGGATCAAATCCAATACAAAATTAAATAACAAAAGAATAATAACAATCAAGAACAAAATCATGTTTCTATTTGATTATTTTCATCGTTTAGGACCCCTTTTCATCCATTAAAGCTTAAACGAAGTAAATTTCTGATTCAATGTAGATTATAATCAATGAACAGTAATAATTAGCATTCAATCAGCGCCCTCACATGGGAGGGGGGGCTGAGGGGGGTATATGCCCGGGACAACACTTCATGGGGGAAGGGGTCAAATTATCTAAGTGCATATTTATGGACTAGCCTTCTTGGAGGCAGAGATAGCAAATCAATGGCCTTCACTTTCCCTAAACCTGTGCAAATAGGGAGGGTAGAATTAAGGGTTTTTTTTCCAATATATATAGTTTATTTTTGATTAAATGGAGAGTTGAAGGGGAATTAAACATAAAACTTTTACATAAAAGTTGTTTTAATAAATTGTTATCTAGATAAAGTGTAACTAATCACAGGCACTGAACAAAGCAGTTACAGTATGCAAGGGGGGGGGGGGGTAGTAGTCACATAAACTTTTGCCCTGGGGTGCCCATGCCACATAAGCACATGAGGGCCATGCATTCAATCATGAATCAACCATTTAGATTTAAAAGCCAATTAGATAGTTCTTTGATACATTAATTTTAACCCCAGTGACTTCAATATACATTTTATTTTGCACGCATGCATAATATCAGTACAACTGTTAACCAAAGTTTCAGTGGCTACTAATTTAGTATGTGTACCCCGCCAAAAATACATACACTGCAGTTTTCCTATTCCGGGATGTTTCAATAATAATCAGTAAACAAACTACATAAAAACATAAACAATGCAATACACAATCTCATTGTGGTCATTGTTTTTTATGCCTATTCTCATGCAATATTACTAGGTTAGGTACTTTAATAAAGTAAAACCAAAGTCATTTCTCTATTTATAATATGCCATTGCATAGAGGTACATCTAAATTACTTACTTTAACAGTAGTCATCTTTATCAGATAAATCCAAATTTATTACAAGTCCATTAAAAATGTTGGGTTTTTTTCACAAAAGATACAAGCTTATTCTTTTTTCTTATAAATAAATCAGCACCTCTTATCAGTGTTATTTGAGTTACTTTTGATCTAATTAATTTGGAGAGAAAAACAAGTAAATTGGTTTAATCTTCAAACAGATCAGTATATTTAATCTCTATGTAAATCGACCAATCCCCTCCTAGTGACAGAGTCTACCCCACAATCACGATAACAACACTACAATATTGCTAGACACCATTGATTTCTTGATGCTGGGTAATAATCTATTCACACGCTTAGATCAAGATAATGCATACACTGAGAAATTCACTTAGTATTTAATTTCTTTTAACTCTTGAGTTAGTTAGAAATGAATAACGAGAAGTAGTAGTCAATAATAATGAAGAAACGAAGACCTCTTGTATTGTAATGATAATAAAACTTGTGCCTATCAACCACTTGTATTTTGTCATCTTGCCAACAGTTCAAACTATAATAACAGATCAATACCTACAAGCAATAAATAGCTGACAAACTTTCTGTATCACTGAACATACCAAAAGAAAACACAATAATATACAATTTTACACAATAATAACTCAAATATGTGTATTAAATGATTTCCTCAATTATCAGGTTTATGGCTTTAATAGTATTTGCACATATGTACAAGTATTTTCTGGCCCAATTAAAGTTACAAATATATCAATCTTAATTCTTATAAGGAAATATTATTTGAACATGTTGTAACATGATAATTATTCTTTGAACCATATCGTCTGAATAATTCAGTTTATAAGAATTCTATTAATGAACATGTAATTTAAAAATAAAAGATCGCTTGTTGATATATATGTTAATAAAACAGAAACCCTTTGATGAGTGTCATAAAAGTAATTAAGAAAATGTATTTAATTGTGCAATACATTGTAGATTGTATAAGTAAATGCAATTTAACCTAATTATAATACTATAATCCTTGTAAGACATATAGAGGTAGATTTCACAAATTAAATTATAATACTGTTTTTTTTTTTGAATCAGAATTTAGTGAGCATCTAATAGTGGTTTCAAAATATTACCTCTTTAAAAATTACTGCCAAAAGGTTTAATGTCCCTAACCGTGATATAGTAAACCCTTGAAAAATACAATATTATAGCTTTTCTTCATACTTGTCGCTTCAGTGACTAACTAGTCACTCTCAATTATCCAAGACCAATTACCTTGCACATTATCCATAGGTACCGTACACAAACACTCTTAAAATGTTTCGGTTCTTACGTATATTGATCCATATGAATATTGTAACATGAAACAGCTTTATTTCTTCGACATTGGAAGTCCTAAAAATTTCTGGTAAAAATTCTTGCAAGTCAACGAATAAGCTTTGGCTCACCGACTCGAAGATTCATGCAAGTGAATTCCGCCAAGTATCAAATATGTCCCAAACTTACGTTTTAAATTGAATAGAAAGGCCAATCACTTTGCCATTCAGACAGAAGTGTGTAAATTTATATTCTCAAATTTATATTCTCGAATATCTGGACCGGTAATAAATTGGATTAACCGTTTAGGATCTGAATCAGAAACTGTCCAAAATGAGTCTGGTGACCAACAAAACCTATAAAATGATATATTCCATGGGTTATTTTGCAAACAATGTGTGTCAAGGTCAATTTCAGATCATTTTTGGCCGCCATCTTGGATTTTCGGCTCTCCAGGAGTTAGCCCGTAGATTTCAGAGGCAGTAAACAACAAATATCTTCACTAGGGTCTCCCTTTTATCAGAAACAATCGTCAAACCTTGTTTCCCGAGAAATTGTCACAGATCTGTGGGTTATGTCCTGTCCATATTGTGGGGTTTTTTTTAAATTTCAACTATTTGCTAGTATTTCGAAACATCATTAATCTAGTTTCTTTTTGATAATGTTAATGCTTTAAAAAGCTAATTCCAAATTATAAAAAAAAAAAGCCATTAAGGAGCTAAACCTTTAATTCAAGATTATCCATAAATTAAAATTCAATATTGGTCCCTTTCAATCCAATATTTAAGAAACAACGAACATTTTAAAAGCGTTTCCCAACATATAGTTCTCTATGGTTTTGAGCACCATTTGTAATAAACAAAGAAAAACATGCCCCACAAGTCAAGGCGAAAGTACGGTAATTAAAATGGCTGATAATTAAAAATAGCTGAATCACAAACAACCGCCATCTAGACTGTTCACATCACCAAACATGATAGAAATTAAAAAATTGAATGTACTGGTAAATCACTTTACATAGATTCATATTACATTATAATAATATATCACTTTTAGTTAGTTCCTTTTGAGAAATTTTAGTCTATTTTAAAGGCGCTTAATCTCTATTCTTTGGCACCTAGAAATGGACACAAATGGGTTGCAATGCATAATATTGTAATAATAATGTACTATATAAACTGATTTACATTCAGTTGGTTCTGTTTTTACAGTAGACTAATTTCATTTAGTCACTTCATTACAAATGGTGCTCGAAAGCATTCTGGCACGCGATTTGTGTGCGAATTTTAAAATTTCCATTTTGTCTTAAATGTTGGATATCAGAAGCCTATCTATTCTTTAAGCTAACAACATCAATGTTGATTTAAATTGACCAATAAGTCGTGTTTGCAATGTCGAAGACTGTGGATGATGTTGAATTAGAGACTTTCCTCCTTTCAGGTTCCAGAGAATAGAGCTATATTTCAAGACAATTTTGTCCTGCATAACTAATAAAAGTTTCAAGGTCGATCCAAATATTTGCTACATTAATGATGGTCTGGTAATTGGTTTCAACATCGGTAACTGGTTGATTAGTGGCCTAATAACTAATAAAAGTTTCAAGGTCGATCCAAATATTTGCTACATTAATGATGGTCTGGTAATTGGTTTCAACATCGGTAACTGGTTGATTAGTGGCCTATCGAAAGAAATCAGTATCGACCAATATTCAGCCATTTTGCCGATACTGGAGTCGCCGATATCTGTTAAAAAGGACTCTGTAAATATCTCTAAAATATCATTCAAGTTGTGAACAATTAAATCATTAATTTGCTTGACACTCGGTACGATTAATTTGGTTGCCATAGAGGCCATAAAAAGAAATAATAAACAGTGCAAATTTTATCGTTATTCACACATTGATAGTTTGAGTCTCTCAATGTGGTTTTTTTTTTTAAGAAAACTACTTCTGCTCATGTGCAAACAAACATAAACGTACAACAGTCCACCCGATAAAACATGTGACTGGAATATGGAATAAGCACATTGCATGATGATCAAAAAGATAAAATCAGAGAATGCAGCAGTACGTCGTGGAGGGCTCTCTTCGAGCCCATTTCAATGCATGCTGATATCCTACATCATCATGCAGTGGACTTAAACCAGAAATAAGAGATCCTGAACTCGAACAATAATACCTATTTAGGCCTTTGAATTTTAATTACATTTTATAAACTATGAACTAAACAATGGCCCTCCTCTGATCACTGTCGCTGATGTGAAATAGTTCCAAATCTTACTACTCCACAGCATTTTTTTCTTCGTTTTATCTAACTCACTACAGTATTGGTATACACATGATTGGGATGAGGGATGAAGTATGGAAGGTGGGGGGGGGGGGGGGAGGAAATGGCGGGAGAATATCACATTGCCACTGTTGACAGACGAGAATCTATTGCTTTGCTGTTGTATCATTACCGCATGAACCATTTTGACATAGATATAAGGTGCCGACCAAGTTTGGGAATTATATCGTATTCAACATTTAATAACTGATAATCTTGACTTTATTTATTATTCATACAGCAAATAATTTTAGTTCACAATTGATGGTGTGTATTTTTGACTGTGGAGGAGGTGTGACCCAATTATTTTTTCCTTAAAAGTAGTAAAACAGTTCCAGGCGTTTCCGGACTAACAATGACATGTAACTACATCTATTATCATGACATTCGAGACATTTTAATGTGTAATAGTTTTATATCCACCACTATAGGTAACTGTGTCTGTATCAGCAAATATATTTCGCTGTCAATATCTGATATCGGTAAAACCCATAGTTTATTAGTAGCCATACTTTAAGTGACCTTGATTATTGATGACAACAAGACTGATGACTCTGCTGATGGACATTGCCCCAAAGTTACATGTACTTATTTTCATCCTTTAAATTTGGCTTCTGAACTATAATCCAAAGTAAAGCTTCATTGTCATTGAGATAGAGAGTACTAGCAGCACCTTAATATTAGAAGACATTGGTAGTCCTTCGGATGAGACGAAAAACTGAGGTCCCGTGTATACATTGGAATGCACGTAAAAGATCCCTTGGCAGTTGGAATTCGATATAAGAGTAGGCGATAGTGCCGCTGCCCGGGCAAAATTTCCCTCATAGCACACTGTATGGCGTATGCCCGTCTTCATTAGCCCAGTATAGGAGCAGAACAGTAGGACGTTAAACCCCATTTCATTTAGAAGACATTGGTAGAAAATTAATACTATATCCATTTATATATCTATGAATTTAAGGCCTTGACAAATGGATACCTTATTGCTATGTGGTCCTATAACATAACTATCCAATAGATCAAAAGTAGATGTACATGTAATAAACCCTTCAGTTATAGAAATGCTATTTTATCAGTAGCTTAGGTTCTACATGAATGTACTAGAAAATACTTGATATTAACTGTCGAATACAGTCATACCAGTTAGCTGACTACTTCAAAACGTAAAAGGATCTACCGTACATGAATGATTGATAAGCTTACAGTGTACTTACAACAAATTTAATAAATGGAACTTAGAGGACAAATTCTAATATATTAGAGAAAGAGACAGATAGGGTTTAACGTCCACTAGGTCATTTCAGGACTAACATGGTTTAATTTTAACAATGCTCAAAGGAGTTAACATTGTTTTGAACTAGAGTAAAATTAGATATATTCAGTAAAGTATTAGTAAAGGGGCTTATGTCGACATGAGTGTTCTTACAACTGGTGTCAACTCGTTCATGGAAATAACATCATGTGATAAGAGACGTGTCATGTGACTTTATAAATATGCAAAAAGAAAGCGACCGAAGTCATCCACCTTTCAAAATAATAATGTATTAATAGAAATGTGGCAAGACCGACCATGCCTTTCAAGTGTTTCTTCTATGGTATTCACCATTTTGTTGATCGCGTGATGAACAAATTAAGTCACATGTTAAGTGTAATCGCTATCAGTTCAGAGTCGACACGAGAGGCTCCAAATTCAATTGCTGATATGATCGACATAAGCACACTTGCAACTGACTGGAACTACATGTAGTATAGCTCTGAGTTGCAAAGCTGACTTAAGCCACAGAACCCAACACTAAAATGAATATAAGATATTTACTATGCTATCTTGGGGATATTCTAAAGTGCATGTAAACAGAATAAAATCATTACCTTACAGCTTTTTGTTTAGTACATGTACATATTGAAAATACTTCAAAATATTTTTTTACTTAACATGACAAGTGTAAAATTAAGTATTCATATTTATGGCACAGTTATCTGTCTGTAGTGTCAATGAACGTAATAAATTAATCAGAGCTGCAGCACAGCTGCCTTTTCCATAAAGTATTTACAAAACAATATTCATTAATCTCTTGATCTTTCAAAAATATTGTTTAAATCCAAACTTACCATCATAACAGATGGATCAACTCGATAGCTATTTACTCCTGAAAGATCAAATCCATCTTCTAACCTTTTAACATCACAGTAATATTTCCTGAAAAATAATATCCCGATATTATCCATCATAGATACAAAACTTGTTCGAAGAAAGCCCTTAGAACCATCCGCTACTGTGGCTCGAGGCAAGTAAGTAATTGTGGAACCAAATTTCTTTAATTAAGGAACTAGATCTAGTGCTATATCCACTGCTTTTTAAAATAAGCAGGCCTTTTGAGCCCAAAAACGTTTCACCCGGGCTGTTTCATTCCAAATTTACAAGGGTCGTTTCTTCGGTATCACGTCATTTGGGACTCAACATAAACGACATTTGGGACTCAGTTGACGACGTGTTTCATGTTAATAAATATTTTCTTTCGTGTTTTGAATTGGCCTATTTCTAATAAATTATCCCGAGTCCCAAACGTCGTATACCCGAGTCCCAAACGCCGTATACCAAAGTCCCAAATGTCGTATACCCAAGTCCCAAATGTCGTGGTCATATTTTTTTGGGTCCTAAATGACCTTAGTCCCAAATGACATGTAATCGGCTCTTCCCACTAATTCAGTAATTATTGGTTGTTTCATCCCATAAATTAAATAACTATTATTATGAAATTTTAATATTTTATTATCTACTCAAAGCAAATTATGGTGTGTAGTGGGCCTTTTCGACTTGAAAAATGACATTCCAGACATTTTCATTATATTGAAAATTCGCCTATAATTTTAGTCCAGCAAGCCTTGCACCCAATAAACAGGTGCACGACAGGTGTTTTAGCATGGAATAAAGAAATTTATATAATAATACTTACAATTCTTTGGCAACAGATTTAACAATTGAGTCAGAGGAAGACATATCCCAAGAACAATACCCCTAAGAAAAAAATACCATAAACCTTAAAATTTATCTTAGAAAAAGGGCCTCAAAAGTATATCATTAAAATTCATTTCATGCGAAGATTCAATAAACTAGAAACCAAACTACAATTGTAAATAAAAGATCTTGTTTCGCGAATGCAAATAGTTCGAAAGAATACATACCTATTTCAAGCTACCACTTTCGATTTCTTCCTAATTGTCATTTGTCTTAACTAAGAAAACGTTTCAAGAGTTGATTAAATATTTTTGAATTAAAAATAATATTGAATAAATATTTATACGGTTGCTAATATTCGTTTCCAAGATAAACCCGATTCGTACGCAAAGAATCAAGGGACATCACTCGTGTAATTCTCGTTTCCGGTGCGGGAATTTAAATATGGCGGGTTTGAAAACACAAAATGCAATAACATTGAAAGGATCTACAAAACTTGTTACTGAATTCTTCAGTAAGTATCGCTGTATAGAATTAAAATGCGTATGAATTTGCATTATAAAATGCACTGTGTTGTAAAGTAATATCTTCAATGTTTTAAAATGTACAGCCTATATTATGATCAATTTGAGGGTTTTGTTTTCATATTTATTTAGTTGGCCATTTTAATTTTTTTTTTTTTCTTTATTTTGACATGAAAGTGGGGATTGGATGGCCGAATGGTTAGCGCGTGCGTGCAGTATCATAAGGTCTTTCATTGAGTCAACTGGCGTGGTTTCGATTCCCCGGTTGTACGTGACACGGAGTCCGAGTAAGCTAGGTCTGTCCTCCGGTTTCCTCCCACTGCTAGGAAGTAAAAAGACCCCTCTACGGCTACACGCAATCGAATTACTGAAATAAAATTGAACCATATGTTACTCCCGAAATGACCTGTTTTGTGTCGAGTGGAGGTTAAACCCCATCTCTCTCTCTCTCTCTCACTCTGATAATGATATGAAAACCTGTGACAATAGGCATTTTTATCGACCACTGATTAGCCAAAGTGATTTGCATTCAATCTAATTATCATCTTTAAATGTCCATCTAATTCAAATCGATTACCCTAATTGATGAATTTATGGACACCGATTTACGATTAGGCCTACCACAAATCGCCAAATCACGCTAGGCTACATGTAGGCCTAGGTGCGATTTAATCCGGTGATCATGTGTTTTTTCAACTATGTCATGTCTAGCCACAAGAATTGTTTGTTGAAGCTAATCAGCGCATTTAATGCACTCAGTAAAGACTTTACTTTAAAATTCAAATCGATTTGGCAAGTCGATAAAAATGCCTAATGATTCAGCTGGTGTATTGGCTATACCGGTACTTATACTAATAGCTCTCTGGGCTATAATATTATTGGCTCATTCCATAAGTTTGGGGATGGGACCATCAGTTCTCATCTACTGATCTACATCTGCATGTAGCTGCAATATTTGTAGCCGTGATTTAATTGTCTAATTCACGGCTACTATTGATACACTATTCAAGGCTTTGCACAAGTAAAATTAGGTTCAATTGCAAAATTTTCAACACATATTATGACCCTTGTCAGGATCCCAATCACCCAATAATATTGTCCCAGTCAGGTTCAAATACATGTATGGCCCAATCGGCCAGGTTGCAATCAGCCATCGCCCAAGTCACCTGCATACACCTTTATTGAACTTTGTTAAGCTTACACATGACTGACATTTGGCTATTATTGTAATTTTGTAGTCTAATAAATATATAGTCTTATTTTTGTTTTCAGATTATGGAATAAACAGTATATTATATCAAAGGGGTATTTATCCTCCAGAATCTTTTACCAGAGTTCAAGATTATGGTCTGACACTACTAGTATCAACAGATGAACAATTAAAAGAATACATTGATAATGTTATTAGTCAAATTAGAGGTACATCTGTCTAGAAATAAATCTATACCACAATCTCTAAAAAAATCTTTAAATATGATGCATATATATCCCACTCCCAAGTGAAATGTAACTATTGACACCTAATTAAGAAAGTTGCGTTAAAAAGAAAATTGGTGTACACAAAATCAAGAAAGTTGAGTTGAAAAGAAAATTGGTGTACACCTGTTCGTCTGTCATAATCAAATATAGACATGTGAATTGAGCTTTCAAAGTACAATGTTTTTATTATTTCAGAATGGTTGATGAATATGACAGTGCAAAAACTAGTTGTTGTTGTTAAAAGTGTTCATACAAATGAAGTTATGGAAAGATGGCAATTTGATATTGAATGTGACAAAACAGTTACAGCTGATACGTACGTATTCATTTTAAAAAAATCAACAAGTATTTGTGGTATATTTTTGTCTGTTATTCTGACACGGGAAATTAATGCAAACAAAAATTCACTGTGTTAAATATTACATGGAAATATAACAATGGGATTTACAGTTTTATGTTATTTATATTTAGGAAAAGAAATAAATCTGAAAAGGAAATAAAAGAAGGAATTAAGTCAGTTATACGACAGATAACAGCTTCGGTTACATTTTTACCTCTTCTTGAAACAGCGTGTAAGTATTTTATATAAAATCAGAAATAATGAATGAGAAAGGATTTTAGCACCATTCTTTATTACTCATTAATTCTAACAGGATTACTATGAAAATGTAATATTTAATAATGTTTATTAATCTTATTTAAAAGATACGGTTTAATGTAACTTAATGTAACAACATCAGATCAGGATCATAACACGTGAGAATGTTGTTTTCACAATCGCAAATGCGACACAGATCACACAAACAAAATTGACAAAATGGGAATGTTGCAAATCACCATTTATAATGCAGACATGGGGTATAAAATGTGTTTTTGAAAAAGCTTGGGCAAGTAAAACTGCACACCGAACTTATACCGTTGTTGTTTTTGGTCATGAGTACCGGAGTAGTCGCCCAAAGGTTTAGATACCCTCAAACTACCAACCTGAAACTAACTTATAATTGCCACAGGTGACACTTCTACATGAGGGGTCAACATGACTTCATTGTTGACACTGTTCGTCGCTGACTGTGCTTTGTCTGAATGTGTGCCATATGGTCATGTGTACTGATTTGATTTTTTATCGTTTGCATAATAAAGTAAAGTTGTTATGGCCTTCAGGCCCATGGAGGTTGTTGATTTTCTTGTGTCTGTAAATATGCAGCCAACAATCATACCAAAATTCAAATTTCAGCTATATTATGTCTTGCCAGTACATCAGGTCAAATCTGTTGTGTTCCGCAAAATATTTCAACAGAGAGGGATGAGACAGAGAAAGGGAGACAACAAAATTCATTTCTAGTGGTCTTTTTCTAACCTCAATTTTTTCTAGTTTCTTACTACCATCATTTGGTTTGCATGTACATTGTATTTCATCTTAATTCACAATCCTTTCATATGATTTCAGGTTCATTTGATATATTGGTTTACACAGATAAAGATTTAGATGTACCTGAGAGTTGGGGAGAATCCGGACCTCATTTTGTTGTCAACTCAGATGAAGTTCGATTACGTTCATTTACTACGACAATACACAAAGTAGATGCAATGGTTACGTATAAAAAAACTGATTGAAGCATTAATATGTGAAATGAATTGCTTTGCAATCCCAGAATTGTTTTTCATGCTCCAGATATGAATCTTTAAAGTGTTGAAAATATTGAATGAAATTGTAGTAAATATGAGGTTCAGATGAATTTCAAAAGGAGCAATGTGAGAAAAGTTGAGAACATGTGATCAGTGCTCATTACTTTTATTACCTCCACTTATAATTGTGTAAACTACAAAAATATACCATGCACTTTACCTGGCAAAAATTCCTTGGAATTACCTTTACTTTTCCTATGTATTGTTGCAATATGAATATACACATCTACATTTATGTTTGCTAATTTTGTCTTTATTTCTCAGCTTCTATGTTTTCTTGAGATTTAATTTGACACCATATTTTTATTTGTGAACATTTCATCATGTTTGTAAATATGTAAATAAAATATCTATATTTCTTATCAGATTGTATCTACTTGATAAAACTCTGTAATTTAAAGGTGGAGCCAACTCCTGAAATGGAATGGTCGAATGCATTTTGACCTGCATCAGAAGAGGTGGTCTTATATGGTTGCATGATAAATTACAGGCATTAAATGTATAATTCATCCAAAATCAAAGCCTGATCAACCCTGTTATTATTTCAGTACTTACTGCTGGCAAAAATTATATAGCCTGAAGTATATCTTAACAGGAAAAGTAAATGATGAACCTCCCCCAATCCAGTAAGTAAGTGCAGGGGGACTGCACTACACACAAACACACAAGACAAATCTACTGACCAAACATCGCAAACATCAAACGTACACATCAGATCAAGTAAATGTATCCCCAGGGGCTAGGCGTAAGCATCCACTGCTCTGTACAGTCCCGGACCTGTAGTGATACAGACATCACTCTAAATGAAAAATGAATTATTTCCCAAATGTATAATACTACTAAGTGTGAGTCATGATCGCCTGTGTGCAACAGGAAATCTAAATGTAGGCACATAGAAGGAAAAATCTTAAGAGTAACCGTATATGTGAAATTTAGTAGAAAGCCAAGTATAGACGTGCTAAAGAATTCAAGTGTATTGGTTACTAACATATGGCATACGTCCTTATATGTGTCATTCAGACTGTGCGATAATGTAGTGTTTACCATTTGGAAATTGATGGAAGTGCATAAAAATGCTACCATGTTGTAAAAAAAAATGCAGATACAAACAGACATGGAATAATACATACACCTTTTCTGTTATAACTACATACATGAAGAAAGTATGTAGAACCATTAAAAATTTGTAGGTCTCAAGGGTACATATTTTAGCTCTATTGATCATCAAACTCCAAATAAATATTTCAGTGAAATTGATTCAAAATAACATTTATTGCATCAAATTTAACAACTATCAACAAAATTATAGTACATAATATATTAAAATTGCATTACATACAAATTAATAAATATAATAAATAATACAGTTTGATGGCATTATTCATAGTAGTATTACATAATACACCATTACTACTGGACCCCTTGTCCCATACATGCATGCTACTGTCTGTACAGTGATATTCTTGAACATCTGTTCGTCACAAATTTGTGCCCAGTATCAAAGTTATTTTGTAAGGATAAATAATGTTTGTTGAAGATGCACTCTCTTTGTAAATACCATGCACCCCATAACTTTTATCTTAGATAAACTCGCTTATGACATCGAATTGTCCATTAAAATTGACACCTTAAGCATAATCATCGTCGTCTCTCCATTCACGCACATACCAATTTCTCAAACGCCGTAGAGTTCTAGCAAGTCTTTCCATATCATCACAAAATCCTTCATCTTCTACATCCAGTTGTACTGGACATCGGTGATACTGGTTCTTATATTCCAATAAACAAAAACACCTTTGACATTCATAGGTTAAAACACTGTTGGAAATACATTTAGATTCAAAGAATCCATCATCGCCGACAAAATGAAAATGTAACTCGACCATTTTGTCAGAATCCACACGAAGACAAAGTCTAGCTAGACAGCACACCTTAAGTATAGACTGAGTTTTACATATTATGCTTGGGCTATATTGTATATCAATCCCATCTGTTCATAACCATGGTAACGAAAATTATTAGACTTTAACTGTTGGAGTGCTAATGTAACCTTTATCTTCCTAATGCGATCATCGGATTATCAATTAACTGGTCAATTAGATTAACATATTACATTACACTAAGGAATAAAAGCTGACATGCTGTGATTACTATTTATATTGTCTAATTATATAATGATTGATACAGTAGTATCATTCATTTATGGAGTAGTTCGTTGATTACCAGCAATGCCCGAATATTTTGACACCTTATGCGAAATGCGCATGCCATATGTGCATATTCTAAATATTTGTTTAAAAACTGGCGCGTTTTATTCATTCATTCAAATTATACATGTACGTTAAAATCTTGTAGTGCTCACTCGAATAAAATACAAATATTTTATTGTGTATCTCCCACCATAGATTGCCTATAATTCAATATAAAATATATTTATTCATTCATTCGTTTATAGAAGAAATTTCTGTTTTTAAAATAATTTTTTTTAGACAATTATTTTATCTGACAGTACTACTCGAACAAGATTTTTTGAACTGTTTCCAGTTACACTACATAAACACACTTTAGATTAACTTTTAAGTGTCAACTCTTTAATTGTTCTTGAAACAATTTATGGGAAATCTTCCTTTGTTTTTTTCTGTTAACTCACGAAAGCCGTGCTATAAATTTACATGTAACTTAATATATTATCGTCATGCACCCCCGTCCGTCGTCCGTTGTTTCTGAGACTAACTCGAAGCCTACTGAGGCTAAAGTTATCATCAAATTGACTGGTTTATTACTATTGGCCATTTTTTCGTGTCTGTCGATTCTTCCATTACCCATACAAAAGAATATGTACGTAACAAAAGTGTTGTGGACTGGTGGGATGACATAGCTAGGCTCAGGGGCCGATCCAGAATTATTTTTGTAAATCAACACTTTTTATGAGAAAAGTTTCTCGGTCGTGTGCTTTATCCTTTATCGTCAGATGTGGGACAGGGTGGGCACTCAGAGCACGAGATAATGATATAGACATTATTTGATGTCACAATTAATGCTTTGCATCCATGAAATTGAATCACAATGTCATTGGGTCAATTCTAGTCCTGGGTTAAGGTGGTGTAGTGTCTAACACCAGTTAGATCAGTGTAGCACTGGTGTTAAAAAAATCTCAGTTCAAGTCGTTTATTACAACACTGGTGTAAAAGAGCAGACGACAAGAAGGGAATTTCTTTTACGGTTCTTAGATTTAGTTTTAAGGCTTAAAATGATTTTTTTTCCATATAGCCTACTGCCAAAACGTAAGACAAAGAATATGTCGATCGCAGACCTACTAATTTACGAGAAATTTTAGGAAATTTCGACTGAATAATAATCAAATGAGACTACAAAAATTCAAAATAGACCCTAGTTACTTAACTTCCTGGAAGCGGTTAGTTTCCCCCAATTACCTTTCTTTTGGTGTTTTTTTTTAGTTGGCCAGCTCATGCAAAGAATTGAATGCGTTAGAACAGAACACAAAAACAAAGTGTAACATTTAAAAATAACACTATAGTTTTATATTTTTTCCCCTACCAGTGTTAACACTGGTATTAAACTAGTTTAGACACTGGTGTAAACACTAGCTGGTGCTAAATCGAGAGGCTCATGTTAAGGCACTAAAAAGAACACCAGTTATACACCACTAGAACACAACCTTTACACAGGCGTAACCCGGGACTTGAATTGACCCACTGTATTAATTCATAATAAAAATTGACGTCAAACGAGGTGTTGAATGTTTAAAAAGCTCAATGTGTATGTATATAGGGGAGAGCCGGGATAGTTGGAACACTTTTTACACGTTTTAGCATATAAGTTTATAACTAACTAAACGAAGATAATGAGCTTTGTTGTGTAGTTAGTTTATTCACTCCCTCGTACAAAAATGCAAATATCACATTTCTAATGGAATAGGGGCCAGAGATTGGGGAGATTTTGACCTACAGGTCAAGGTGTTCCAACCTACCCGTCGAAATGGGTAAGTTGAAACACTGAGAAGGTAAGTTGGAACATTCGAATATGAAATAGTATTGATCAGTAAAAGCGTAGTTTCGATATGTACAACAAAAGCAAATGTATAGAATAATAACAAAACACTTATGGAAGACAATTACTGATTTATTTCGGCGACATTACGAAGATTATCTCAAAGTTTTTGAGCCAAATATCAACAAATACGTAAACTATCTATATCGAAGGAAGAATAAACAAAATAATAAAAAAGGAAGGGGGGGCAATCCTAAAAATTATGACTATGACAATTGTGTAATTACATAGTTTGCACTTGCAATATGGCTCTGAATCGACGCACGCCGTATGGGACCAACCGCCGCATCCTCCCACGCAGACAGATCACTTCTCTCGAGGTTTAATATTGCGCCACACATCATCACACACAATACATGCACAGTCACCTATAGATGAACCAGTTTTTCTGGCCGTAAAAGCGAGGCATTTTTTCACTTTTTAAACTTTTTTAAAGTTCGATTCTTTTGATTTTTCTTGTTCCCTCCGTAAACAAGTTTAATACGTTTAATAATAATTAAGAATAAAACTACTCCCGTCTTCTACACATAATTAGAGATGACAGCTGCTGATATATGACTACAAACCATTATTTTCTCTTAATCTTTTCATCTGGACAAGGCTATATGTCGTATATTATCGCCCCCACCCCCAGACCTACAGCAATGTTGAATCGTGAGAAACTTTACTTAGTTTTAAGTGTGAGAAAATTAAAAACAAAAGGCCTACATGTACAAAGACATATAGTAGTTAAAAAACCTTAAAAGTCCGTGTATAACCAGAAAATATAAAATTGAACTTTAGTGAGGACTAACAATATCTTTAATACTGGACCTGTAAGTATATAAAGGGCGGCGTGGGGGGGGGGGTACCCACATCCCAAATATCATACACATGAATTATTGTGACAAAGGCACGTTGGAACACCACAGGGTAAGTTGGAACAGTGTTCCAACGTGCCCTACGGCTCATGTTCCAACTAACCCTAGTGGAGTTGTACTAGCATATTCAATGATGACGTAATCAAAACAAACACTAAACTGAAACAATTTATCTCGTAAAAGCTGCATTAAAAGACAATTTTGTCGATATAATTTTTTTTAGTATTGATCAATTAGGTGCGGAGATATTAGGAAAAGTCTTTACCTACAAAATTTAGCAAATTCACCTCTAATTTCGTTATTCTTCGATAATTACTGGAGTTTTCTGACAAATTGAACGAACTTTCATATATAATGGCTTCGTTGACGTACGGTACCCGGATAT